GCCCTTATACTCCATGGATCTGCCCTTATACTCCATGGATCTGCCCTTATACTCCATGGATCTGCCCTTATACTCCATGGATCTGCCCTTATACTCCATGGATCTGCCCTTATACTCCATGGATCTGCCCTTATACTCCATGGATCTGCCCTTATACTCCATGGATCTGCCCTTATACTCCATGGATCTGCCCTTATACTCCATGGATCTGCCCTTATACTCCATGGATCTGCCCTTATACTCCATGGATCTGCCCTTATACTCCATGGATCTGCCCTTATACTCCATGGATCTGCCCTTATACTCCATGGATCTGCCCTTATACTCCATGGATCTGCCCTTATACTCCATGGATCTGCCCTTATACTCCATGGATCTGCCCTTATACTCCATGGATCTGCCCTTATACTCCATGGATCTGCCCTTATACTCCATGGATCTGCCCTTATACTCCATGGATCTGCCCTTATACTCCATGGATCTGCCCTTATACTCCATGGATCTGCCCTTATACTCCATGGATCTGCCCTTATACTCCATGGATCTGCCCTTATACTCCATGGATCTGCCCTTATACTCCATGGATCTGCCCTTATACTCCATGGATCTGCCCTTATACTCCATGGATCTGCCCTTATACTCCATGGATCTGCCCTTATACTCCATGGATCTGCCCTTATACTCCATGGATCTGCCCTTATACTCCATGGATCTGCCCTTATACTCCATGGATCTGCCCTTATACTCCATGGATCTGCCCTTATACTCCATGGATCTGCCCTTATACTCCATGGATCTGCCCTTATACTCCATGGATCTGCCCTTATACTCCATGGATCTGCCCTTATACTCCATGGATCTGCCCTTATACTCCATGGATCTGCCCTTATACTCCATGGATCTGCCCTTATACTCCATGGATCTGCCCTTATACTCCATGGATCTGCCCTTATACTCCATGGATCTGCCCTTATACTCCATGGATCTGCCCTTATACTCCATGGATCTGCCCTTATACTCCATGGATCTGCCCTTATACTCCATGGATCTGCCCTTATACTCCATGGATCTGCCCTTATACTCCATGGATCTGCCCTTATACTCCATGGATCTGCCCTTATACTCCATGGATCTGCCCTTATACTCCATGGATCTGCCCTTATACTCCATGGATCTGCCCTTATACTCCATGGATCTGCCCTTATACTCCATGGATCTGCCCTTATACTCCATGGATCTGCCCTTATACTCCATGGATCTGCCCTTATACTCCATGGATCTGCCCTTATACTCCATGGATCTGCCCTTATACTCCATGGATCTGCCCTTATACTCCATGGATCTGCCCTTATACTCCATGGATCTGCCCTTATACTCCATGGATCTGCCCTTATACTCCATGGATCTGCCCTTATACTCCATGGATCTGCCCTTATACTCCATGGATCTGCCCTTATACTCCATGGATCTGCCCTTATACTCCATGGATCTGCCCTTATACTCCATGGATCTGCCCTTATACTCCATGGATCTGCCCTTATACTCCATGGATCTGCCCTTATACTCCATGGATCTGCCCTTATACTCCATGGATCTGCCCTTATACTCCATGGATCTGCCCTTATACTCCATGGATCTGCCCTTATACTCCATGGATCTGCCCTTATACTCCATGGATCTGCCCTTATACTCCATGGATCTGCCCTTATACTCCATGGATCTGCCCTTATACTCCATGGATCTGCCCTTATACTCCATGGATCTGCCCTTATACTCCATGGATCTGCCCTTATACTCCATGGATCTGCCCTTATACTCCATGGATCTGCCCTTATACTCCATGGATCTGCCCTTATACTCCATGGATCTGCCCTTATACTCCATGGATCTGCCCTTATACTCCATGGATCTGCCCTTATACTCCATGGATCTGCCCTTATACTCCATGGATCTGCCCTTATACTCCATGGATCTGCCCTTATACTCCATGGATCTGCCCTTATACTCCATGGATCTGCCCTTATACTCCATGGATCTGCCCTTATACTCCATGGATCTGCCCTTATACTCCATGGATCTGCCCTTATACTCCATGGATCTGCCCTTATACTCCATGGATCTGCCCTTATACTCCATGGATCTGCCCTTATACTCCATGGATCTGCCCTTATACTCCATGGATCTGCCCTTATACTCCATGGATCTGCCCTTATACTCCATGGATCTGCCCTTATACTCCATGGATCTGCCCTTATACTCCATGGATCTGCCCTTATACTCCATGGATCTGCCCTTATACTCCATGGATCTGCCCTTATACTCCATGGATCTGCCCTTATACTCCATGGATCTGCCCTTATACTCCATGGATCTGCCCTTATACTCCATGGATCTGCCCTTATACTCCATGGATCTGCCCTTATACTCCATGGATCTGCCCTTATACTCCATGGATCTGCCCTTATACTCCATGGATCTGCCCTTATACTCCATGGATCTGCCCTTATACTCCATGGATCTGCCCTTATACTCCATGGATCTGCCCTTATACTCCATGGATCTGCCCTTATACTCCATGGATCTGCCCTTATACTCCATGGATCTGCCCTTATACTCCATGGATCTGCCCTTATACTCCATGGATCTGCCCTTATACTCCATGGATCTGCCCTTATACTCCATGGATCTGCCCTTATACTCCATGGATCTGCCCTTATACTCCATGGATCTGCCCTTATACTCCATGGATCTGCCCTTATACTCCATGGATCTGCCCTTATACTCCATGGATCTGCCCTTATACTCCATGGATCTGCCCTTATACTCCATGGATCTGCCCTTATACTCCATGGATCTGCCCTTATACTCCATGGATCTGCCCTTATACTCCATGGATCTGCCCTTATACTCCATGGATCTGCCCTTATACTCCATGGATCTGCCCTTATACTCCATGGATCTGCCCTTATACTCCATGGATCTGCCCTTATACTCCATGGATCTGCCCTTATACTCCATGGATCTGCCCTTATACTCCATGGATCTGCCCTTATACTCCATGGATCTGCCCTTATACTCCATGGATCTGCCCTTATACTCCATGGATCTGCCCTTATACTCCATGGATCTGCCCTTATACTCCATGGATCTGCCCTTATACTCCATGGATCTGCCCTTATACTCCATGGATCTGCCCTTATACTCCATGGATCTGCCCTTATACTCCATGGATCTGCCCTTATACTCCATGGATCTGCCCTTATACTCCATGGATCTGCCCTTATACTCCATGGATCTGCCCTTATACTCCATGGATCTGCCCTTATACTCCATGGATCTGCCCTTATACTCCATGGATCTGCCCTTATACTCCATGGATCTGCCCTTATACTCCATGGATCTGCCCTTATACTCCATGGATCTGCCCTTATACTCCATGGATCTGCCCTTATACTCCATGGATCTGCCCTTATACTCCATGGATCTGCCCTTATACTCCATGGATCTGCCCTTATACTCCATGGATCTGCCCTTATACTCCATGGATCTGCCCTTATACTCCATGGATCTGCCCTTATACTCCATGGATCTGCCCTTATACTCCATGGATCTGCCCTTATACTCCATGGATCTGCCCTTATACTCCATGGATCTGCCCTTATACTCCATGGATCTGCCCTTATACTCCATGGATCTGCCCTTATACTCCATGGATCTGCCCTTATACTCCATGGATCTGCCCTTATACTCCATGGATCTGCCCTTATACTCCATGGATCTGCCCTTATACTCCATGGATCTGCCCTTATACTCCATGGATCTGCCCTTATACTCCATGGATCTGCCCTTATACTCCATGGATCTGCCCTTATACTCCATGGATCTGCCCTTATACTCCATGGATCTGCCCTTATACTCCATGGATCTGCCCTTATACTCCATGGATCTGCCCTTATACTCCATGGATCTGCCCTTATACTCCATGGATCTGCCCTTATACTCCATGGATCTGCCCTTATACTCCATGGATCTGCCCTTATACTCCATGGATCTGCCCTTATACTCCATGGATCTGCCCTTATACTCCATGGATCTGCCCTTATACTCCATGGATCTGCCCTTATACTCCATGGATCTGCCCTTATACTCCATGGATCTGCCCTTATACTCCATGGATCTGCCCTTATACTCCATGGATCTGCCCTTATACTCCATGGATCTGCCCTTATACTCCATGGATCTGCCCTTATACTCCATGGATCTGCCCTTATACTCCATGGATCTGCCCTTATACTCCATGGATCTGCCCTTATACTCCATGGATCTGCCCTTATACTCCATGGATCTGCCCTTATACTCCATGGATCTGCCCTTATACTCCATGGATCTGCCCTTATACTCCATGGATCTGCCCTTATACTCCATGGATCTGCCCTTATACTCCATGGATCTGCCCTTATACTCCATGGATCTGCCCTTATACTCCATGGATCTGCCCTTATACTCCATGGATCTGCCCTTATACTCCATGGATCTGCCCTTATACTCCATGGATCTGCCCTTATACTCCATGGATCTGCCCTTATACTCCATGGATCTGCCCTTATACTCCATGGATCTGCCCTTATACTCCATGGATCTGCCCTTATACTCCATGGATCTGCCCTTATACTCCATGGATCTGCCCTTATACTCCATGGATCTGCCCTTATACTCCATGGATCTGCCCTTATACTCCATGGATCTGCCCTTATACTCCATGGATCTGCCCTTATACTCCATGGATCTGCCCTTATACTCCATGCCCCCTTTCCACCATGTGCCGCACCCCCTCCCTTCAGGTTCGTGCTGCACTGGCATCGGCGCAACTCCTCTAGTGAGCACGGTCCCATGTGGGCAACCTTTCCCCTTCATCCATACCCATCTGTCAGTTCAGTTAATGTAATATTGTTCCTCATGCCCCCGTTCCGCCATGCGCCCCACCCACTCCTCCCTCCCAGGTTCGTGCTGCACTGGCATAAGCGCAACACCTCTATTCTCCTCGCTGCTGACGTGGCAACCACTGGTTGGATCGGCATGGGCTGGTCCAAGGACGGCAAGATGGCCGGCAGCGCGGCAGCCATTGGGAACCTGCCACGTGGCACCATAAAGACCGGGGCGGCAGTGGGGCCGTACGCGATGACGGGGTATAACAAGGCTGACGTGGCACCCAGCGGACAATTTGAATTGATCAACGATGCGGTTGGGACTTCGTCAAATGGCCGGACTGTGATGAGGTAGGCGGCGGTTCAGTGCGGTGAAGGTGGGTCAGGTGAGGTGGGTCAGGGTGAGGTCGTGGCACCCAGCGGGCAGTTTGAATTGATCAACGTCGTTGTTGGGACTTCCTCAAACGGACGAACTGTGATGAGGTGAGCCGGTGAAGGTGGTTCAGGTGGGGTGGGGATAGGTTAGGTTGGGTTGGGGTGAGGAGTGGTGAAGGAGGGTAAGGTTGGGTGGTGGTTGGTTGAGGGGCATGACCTGCTACTCTTCCTGTCTCTTCAACCACTGGCACATTTCCCCCTCATCCCTTCCTTCCCTCTCCTCACGCTGCCCTAGGCTCGAGCACACCCTCCTGCCAAGTGAGATGCCATTCAGTGGCAACGAGGTGCCCATAATCCTCCTCTGGGTGGGCTGCCCTCCGTCCTTCCTCCGCTCCCAAAGCCTCTCTCTTGTCTTTTGTAGGTTCGAGCAAGATGCCGTTCAGTGGCAGCAGAGTGGCAAGAATCCTTTGGGCGTAACTTAATCCCACAGCACTCAAGGGCCCTCTGTCCTTCCCTCTATGTTGAAATCGCTTTTGAGAATCCCCAAAAGCGATTTCATCCTTCGGGCCTACTCTCAGAGCACTAAGGGCCCTCCGTCCTTCCTCCCCTCCCAACGCCCCGTTCCCTCCGCTCTCGATATGGAAAGGTAGTTTCGACCCAGATCTAGCAGATCTATCTCAGTCTAGTCTCCTCTGGGCTGAGCTTAGGCTAGTAGGGATTGAGTAGGTAAGAAAAATGTCATTCAAATCTGAGCGTACGCGCGTTCCTTCCTCCCCTCCCAACGCCCCGTTCCCTCCGCTCTCCAGGTTCGAGAGAGGTCTGCTACCCGGCCAGATGCCATTCAGTAACAACTTGAAGGCCGTCATCCTCTGGGCCTACTCTCGAGACAACACGCAGGAGCTGGCGTTCCACGGAGATAACATGTGAGTGAAGGGGGGCCGAGAGGTGTGGTTCTGTGTGTGTGCCCACCTGGTTCACTGCGGGGTGGCCACCATCCTCTGGGCCTACTCTCGAGACAGCACACAGGAGCTGGCATTCCATGGAGACAACATGTGAGTGAAGGGGGGCCGAGAGGTGTGGTTCTGTGTGTGTGTGTGCACCTGGTTCACTGCGGGGTGGCGACCGTCCTCTGGGCCTACTCTCGAGACAACTCTCAGGAGCTGGCGTTCCACGGAGACAACATGTGAGTAGGCGAGGGTGAAGAGGCGACGGGGCTGGTAGAGGCTCACACAGCAACATGACCTTGGGCGCCTTTGAGGTGGCCACCATCCTCTCAGGCAGCATAGCAACCGTCCTCTAGGCCTACTCTCGAGACAACTCTCAGGAGCTGGCGTTCCATGGAGACAACATGTGAGCCAGCTCCTGAGAGTTATAGGGTGAGGGGGCTCCATGGAACGCCAGCTCCTGAGAGTTGTCACGAGTTTGCGAGGGTGAGGGGGCTGGCGGGTTTGGAGGATTGGAGTGAGGGAGGGTGAGAGGGCGATGGGGGTGTGGTAATGTGTGTGTGGACCTGGTTCAGTGGCAGCTTGGTGGCGATCATCCTCTGGGCTTACTCTCGTGACATCTCTCAGGAGCTCGCTTCCCATGGAGACAACATGTGAGCTTGTTTCGTTTCTTTTCTTGTGGTTCTTGCTTATTTGTTTGTTTGTTTGTTTGTTTGTTTCTAGCATGGTTTGGGTTTCCAGTCTTTGGGCTGTGTTGAGCAGCTTCGTACTTATCCCACTCGCTGTCCTCCCACCCCTTTCCCTCTCTTCTCTTTTCTCTTCTCTCCTCTTCTCTTTCTCTTCCCTTTTCCTCCACACACAGGGGATCAGTCAGAGTCGACTTCTCCTCTGGAGGTTCCTCCCCCTCCACCTCCCCTGCTCATGCCCTCGGCAATCCTCATCGCCAGTCTCTTCTCTTCTCTTTCTCCTCCCCTTTCTTCCACACAGGGGATCAGTTACAATCGACTTCTCCTCGGGAAAAGCCTCCCCCTCCTCCTCCCCTGCTCTCATCGCCCACGCGGTCTTCCTCGCTCTCGCCTTCTTCCTCCTCATGCCCTCCGCTATCCTCATCGCCCGTCTCTTCCTCGCAACTCCCTCCTCCCTCTCCTCCACTCCACTCCACCTCTCAGACGCCAATAGCACAGACTCCCATCCCCCCTCCTCCTCCTCCTCTTTCTCCTCTTCTGCTCCCCATGCTGACGACGCGATGTCAAATGACCCGCGTAGATTGTTCTGGTTCACATGGCATAAGTACCTGCAACTGGCCGCGCTCGTCTGCATCTGCGTCGGGTGCATCACGGCGTTTGTCTCATCTGGGTCTCAAGGGTTCCATTATGCCCATGCCTGGATCGGTGTTTTCCTTCTCGTTCTCCTCGTCGCCATCCAGCCTCTTGTTGTCTTCTTCCGCCCATCCTCCCGCCCGTCTTCTTCCGATTCGTCGGACTCTGCCGGCCAATGGCATTACGCCAGCTGGACTCGTGGGAGGTGGCGAGTGGTGCATTGGGTGGTGGGCGTGGTGGGAGTGGTGTTTGGTTGGTTCAACTGCTTCCTCGGGCTCACTCTCTACAGTAAAAAGTTTGCTGCTGGAGTCTTGGTAAGTTCCATTTCTCTGCGTTCTTTCGCGTTACATAAGACCATCGAAGTTTGAATCGCTGCGTGCACATTGGATGCGTTGCCGTCGTATTCACCATTTGTGTTCCACGCCTTTGGGTCATGTGTTGATGTGTCGCAGGGAGGATATGCAGTGTTCGGTATTCTCGCTATCATCATCGGCTTTCTTTATGGTGCTCTTATCGTGAGAGATGCAAAGAGGAAGAAGGATGCTAATGCTGCTGCTGCTGAATCCACTGGGTTTCAGATGCAGTCCAGGGCAGTTCCGTAGTGGAGTCTTCCGTGCTGAACAAAATGTGGTGCCCTTTTGTTTTATCCTCACATCTAGTTATATGCTTGTTTGATGGTTGTTAGGAGGATGTGATGGTGTTTTAACCCTCTTCAGGAATATTTTTTTTTGCTGTGCGTTTGCCATAGCGATCGAGTGTACTGTGTTTTGGCGTTTGAATATACATAATTTTCGATCCTACAGCCCTGAAAGTGATTGGTTCCTGCTCTGCTTGCTGCTTGGGGCAATGAACGACTCCAAAGATTGGCACTAACAGTCGTGCGAGCCCATCTGGTCTGTGGAAGCTAGTGGTAGTACAGCAGCATAAATCATCGGCCATTATCTCCGATACTCAGATTTTGCCTGAGCGCGTTCTCAGGTGTAATCAACCTGGAATTTCTCAACGTTGATTGGTCGTCGCTTCATAGTCACATTTCTCACACTGGTCGAACTCATTAGTAAGTGACAAAAACAGAAACATCCAGTTTACCCTCCTGACTTGGATATAAGAACGGAAATTTAGGTAGTAAGAGAATGAAGCCCATATAATTCACTTGGTAGTGCTCGGTAGCGCAACCGACCGCTAAACAAAGCTACCGAAAGCACTAGACGACGCTACCAAGAACTATTCGGGCATGGCAGAAAAAAAAACCCCTAGGGAACCTGGATGCATTTTCGAGAGGGGTCAACCCTAAACACGGGAATGGAAATTGTTTTTAGGTTTGATGCCTCCCGAGTCGCATCCCTTTCCGATTGGGTTTTTTTTTGTTTGTCAAGTGGGTTGCAATATGTTGTCCAAAATACTGGGCGGCTTTCGGTATTTAGGGTTGATCCTTCCCGGAAATCATATAGGTTCGCTACGGGTTATATATATATTTTTTGCAAGCGCTGCAATTTTTTTTGAGTGACTGTATACAATTATAAGACAGAAAATCTTCCTACTATATCGCAAAACCGTGTTTCTGTTGGTGATTACACCTGAGAACGCGCTCAGGAAAAATTTGAGTATTGGAGATAATGGCCGATAAATCATCGAGCGATGCCAAGCGAAACAGTCTGCGACTGATGCTGTCGTTCTACGGCTGGTTCTCCCTGATGCCATCGCGAATCGCGACAGCCTGGGCGATCCGAGAATTACCATTCCCCGCGCGTGGGTCACAATGTGCGGCTCGGAGACTTTGGTCAAATTTCAGTTGTCCAGCCAACTCCCAATTTCTGTGAAAGGCGCATGAGAAAATGAAATCCCTACTCCTTGAAATCCCTTCAAACATGCGGTACAAACTTTCAAACAAATAACGGACCGTACTGGAACGCTTTCTGTGAAATCCCGTGTGGTGTCTCCAGACAGGGCGAGATTTCTGAGCAGATGACGAGTCTTCTCTCCCTAGAATGAAACTCAGTTGTGCCTGTACTGGTCTTCGTCGCGCTTAGTGCTGTGCTGTGTAACAGATGCGGCCGCTCCAGCGTCTCCAATAGTTGGTACGTAGCATCACACATATCTTCTAGTGTTGAAGTCAGAGTCGCGATTGGCTTGTATCTCGGTTTCGTAGTTGTAGTGGTCGCAGTCTTTCCCCCCCACCTCTTCCTTTAGACTCGCCTCGAGTCTCGACTAGTGCTTGTAGTGCATCCTCGATAATGGCGTCCTCACGTGTTTCGATACTGCTGATTGCGCTACCACTTCTCCTGCTGCTGCTGCTCGCGGGATCTGCGGAAGGAGCCGGCTTTACGGATCAGATCTCGAAGAGCGTTCGCGATTTTTTCAGTCAATTCTCGAAAATGTGGAGCTCCGGCGGCGGCACGTCCGAGGTCCGTCTGCCAGAACTCCACGCTTCCCGGCTACACCTCATCTTTCCAGCTAACTGATGGGTAAGATTGTAGCACAAGCTTCGAGGCGGCCCGAAATATGGGTTTCGTGGCGAGTACGAATGAGTCTGTATTCTGTACCTTCTGCTTCTTGAGGCGCCTCAAAAAGCTTCGAGGTGCATTTTGAGGCGCCTCAAAAAGCTTCGAGGCGGCCCGAAATATGGGTTTCGTGGCGGGTACAAATGAGTCTGTACCTTCTGCTTCTTCATTTCCCTCCGCGGCGTGCCTCGTTACAAAGTTGGGATTTCGAAAATGGGGAGCACCGGCGGCGGCACGGCGCCGTGCAAACTTGGGATCTCGGCACCGTGCCGCCAGAATCGTGCAACAGAGTCGACTCAAAGCAGAGCCTCGGCGAGCTCCGGCGGCGGCACGTCCGAGGGGTATCCGTCCGACTGCCAAAACTCCACTCTTCCCGGCTACACGTCGTCTTTCCAGCTAACTGACGGGTAAAAGAGCTGGAACCGTATACATACAATCCTCGACGTGCCTCCACCTGGGGATTCAAAAACTGACTCCCTGGTTCCCTTCCCCAAGCCCCACCATATACTGGGTTCTCCGTCACCTTATTTGCCGCACATTCAAATGTAAAAATATATTTTTTGAGACGGCTCAAAAATAATCTTTCTACACCTAGTTCCCTCCCCCAAGCCCCACCATTTACTGGGTTCTCCATCACCTTATTTGCCGCACATTCAACTTACTGTCTCTCAGTCTGAACTCTTTTTAGACGCCTCAAAAGTCAGTCTACACTCTTCCTCCCCTCAACCCCTCTAACCTCCCTCCCCCTCCCCCTCCCGCTTCCCCATTCCCTCTCTCCCAAACAACTCCCTCCCTCTCCTCCCCGAGCCTCACCATCCGTTGGATTCCCACCAAAAACACGTCGGAGCTTCAAATTGCCGTCGAAGCACTTTTTGATTAGCTCAACCCTCCACCCCTTCTCTCCTCTCCCCCTCCCTCTCCTCCCCCAGCCTCACCATCCATTGGATTCCCACCAAAAACACGTCCTAGCTTCAACAATTGGATTCTATTCGTTGCCCCCCACTACCTCTTCACCCCCCCTTCCTCTCTTCCCCACCCTCCACCCCCTCTCAGCCTCACCATCCACTGGATCCCCGCCAAAAACACGTTGGAGCTTCAAATCGCAGTCGAAGCACTTCTTAAAGCTCGCGTCTCATATTTCTCCTTTCCAACCAAGTGTTAAACGCTTGGGATCCGGTAACAGCCAGTTTTGTCGCAAAGCACACAAAGGCAAGGGGTGGTTGGTAAGGTTGGTTGGGAAATCACGTCGCAAACTTCCCCGCGAAAACCAAGCGTTTACAATCTCGGAAATGAGACACCGAACTCTCTATCCGTCAGAAAGCGGGGCCAAACCTGTCCCCCAAGGCCCGTCTTCTACCCAAACCTGCACACCCTGGTTTGTTTTGGCCAAACCTGTTTGGGAGTTCGCTGTTTTTTTTTCACCCGCTCGTCACAAATTTCGTCATTCGTTACCCAATCAAGTAGTGGCAAACCCAACCAAGTGTTAAAACCCGCAGCCTGAATTACAAAATATGAGTCAACGCTTGGTTTGGTAGTTCTGAGGTTCGGGCAATATGAGGTGCGGAGAAATTGCGAAAGGTGGCAGGTTAGCGAAACCTGATGCGACTCTCCTGTGAGGCAAACAGTTCGCAGGCAACCCGCAGGTACCAACCTCCGAGAGCTGGATCAGAGTAAGAAAACTCGTCCGACAGAACAAGCTAAAATACTCATTCACTCGCGTTAGAATCCGACCATCGCACACCAGCTAGGTTTTAGAGTGAGCACTTTTTCAGACAACCGGAATTAGTAGGTGCAGCTTGTATACGCAATCGAAGCACGTAGAAATTAGCGCTTTGCCTACCTCGCGACCCTCGCGCATGCTTTCTCCGCCCACCGCCCTCGCCCCGCCCGTCGCCCTCGCCGCCTCGTCGCCCGTCGACCTCGGTTCCCTCGCCCATCGCTCCCGCTTCCCCCGCCCGTCGCTCTCGCTTTCCCCGCCTACACCCTCGCCTCGCCTGTCGGCCTCGCCGCTTCCCCGCCCGTCGCCCTCGCTTCCGCCCGTCGCCCTCCCTTCCGCCCGTCACCCTCCCTTCCGCCCGTCGCCCTCCCTTCCGCCCGCCGCCCTTCCTTCTCCTCGTCGCGCTCCCTTCCGCCCGTCGCCCTCCCTTCGTCTCGTAGCCCCTCCCCGTTGCCTTCCCTTCCGCCCGCCGCCCTTCCTTTCCTTCGTCGCGTCTTTCCGCCCGTTGCCCCCCTTCGTCTCGTCGCCCTCCTTCCCGCTCGTCCCCTCGCAATCTCCGTCTCTCTCTTCTCCCGTCGCCCTCCCATCCACTCCTCGTTGTCCTCGCCATCCCTCCCTTTTCCCTTCTCATCTCGCACACTTGTCACGGCCCCTTTTCACGTGCACCCCTTCCTTCCTGCTTCCCCCCATCCCCTTCCTGCTTCCCCCCATCCCCTTCCTGCTTCCCCCCATCCCCTTCCTGCTTCCCCCCATCCCCTTCCTGCTTCCCCCCATCCCCTTCCTGCTTCCCCCCATCCCCTTCCTGCTTCCCCCCATCCCCTTCCTGCTTCCCCCCATCCCCTTCCTGCTTCCCCCCATCCCCTTCCTGCTTCCCCCCATCCCCTTCCTGCTTCCCCCCATCCCCTTCCTGCTTCCCCCCATCCCCTTCCTGCTTCCCCCCATCCCCTTCCTGCTTCCCCCCATCCCCTTCCTGCTTCCCCCCATCCCCTTCCTGCTTCCCCCCATCCCCTTCCTGCTTCCCCCCATCCCCTTCCTGCTTCCCCCCATCCCCTTCCTGCTTCCCCCCATCCCCTTCCTGCTTCCCCCCATCCCCTTCCTGCTTCCCCCCATCCCCTTCCTGCTTCCCCCCATCCCCTTCCTGCTTCCCCCCATCCCCTTCCTGCTTCCCCCCATCCCCTTCCTGCTTCCCCCCATCCCCTTCCTGCTTCCCCCCATCCCCTTCCTGCTTCCCCCCATCCCCTTCCTGCTTCCCCCCATCCCCTTCCTGCTTCCCCCCATCCCCTTCCTGCTTCCCCCCATCCCCTTCCTGCTTCCCCCCATCCCCTTCCTGCTTCCCCCCATCCCCTTCCTGCTTCCCCCCATCCCCTTCCTGCTTCCCCCCATCCCCTTCCTGCTTCCCCCCATCCCCTTCCTGCTTCCCCCCATCCCCTTCCTGCTTCCCCCCATCCCCTTCCTGCTTCCCCCCATCCCCTTCCTGCTTCCCCCCATCCCCTTCCTGCTTCCCCCCATCCCCTTCCTGCTTCCCCCCATCCCCTTCCTGCTTCCCCCCATCCCCTTCCTGCTTCCCCCCATCCCCTTCCTGCTTCCCCCATCCCCTTCCTGCTTCCCCCCATCCCCTTCCTGCTTCCCCCCATCCCCTTCCTGCTTCCCCCCATCCCCTTCCTGCTTCCCCCATCCCCTTCCTGCTTCCCCCCATCCCCTTCCTGCTTCCCCCCATCCCCTTCCTGCTTCCCCCCATCCCCTTCCTGCTTCCCCCCATCCCCTTCCTGCTTCCCCCCATCCCCTTCCTGCTTCCCCCCATCCCCTTCCTGCTTCCCCCCATCCCCTTCCTGCTTCCCCCCATCCCCTTCCTGCTTCCCCCATCCCCTTCCTGCTTCCCCCCATCCCCTTCCTGCTTCCCCCCATCCCCTTCCTGCTTCCCCCCATCCCCTTCCTGCTTCCCCCCATCCCCTTCCTGCTTCCCCCCATCCCCTTCCTGCTTCCCCCCATCCCCTTCCTGCTTCCCCCCATCCCCTTCCTGCTTCCCCCATCCCCTTCCTGCTTCCCCCCATCCCCTTCCTGCTTCCCCCCATCCCCTTCCTGCTTCCCCCCATCCCCTTCCTGCTTCCCCCATCCCCTTCCTGCTTCCCCCCATCCCCTTCCTGCTTCCCCCCATCCCCTTCCTGCTTCCCCCCATCCCCTTCCTGCTTCCCCCCATCCCCTTCCTGCTTCCCCCCATCCCCTTCCTGCTTCCCCCCATCCCCTTCCTGCTTCCCCCCATCCCCTTCCTGCTTCCCCCCATCCCCTTCCTGCTTCCCCCCATCCCCTTCCTGCTTCCCCCCATCCCTTCCTGCTTCCCCCATCCCTTCCTGCTTCCCCCCATCCCCTTCCTGCTTCCCCCCATCCCCTTCCTGCTTCCCCCCATCCCCTTCCTGCTTCCCCCCATCCCCTTCCTGCTTCCCCCCATCCCCTTCCTGCTTCCCCCATCCCTTCCTGCTTCCCCCCATCCCCTTCCTGCTTCCCCCCATCCCCTTCCTGCTTCCCCCCATCCCCTTCCTGCTTCCCCCCATCCCCTTCCTGCTTCCCCCCATCCCCTTCCTGCTTCCCCCCATCCCCTTCCTGCTTCCCCCCATCCCCTTCCTGCTTCCCCCCATCCCCTTCCTGCTTCCCCCCATCCCCTTCCTGCTTCCCCCCATCCCCTTCCTGCTTCCCCCCATCCCCTTCCTGCTTCCCCCCATCCCCTTCCTGCTTCCCCCCATCCCCTTCCTGCTTCCCCCATCCCCTTCCTGCTTCCCCCCATCCCCTTCCTGCTTCCCCTCATCCCCTTCCTGCTTCCCCCCATCCCCTTCCTGCTTCCCCCCATCCCCTTCCTGCTTCCCCCCATCCCCTTCCTGCTTCCCCCCATCCCCTTCCTGCTTCCCCCCATCCCCTTCCTGCTTCCCCCCATCCCCTTCCTGCTTCCCCCCATCCCCTTCCTGCTTCCCCCCATCCCCTTCCTGCTTCCCCCCATCCCCTTCCTGCTTCCCCCCATCCCCTTCCTGCTTCCCCCCATCCCCTTCCTGCTTCCCCCCATCCCCTTCCTGCTTCCCCCCATCCCCTTCCTGCTTCCCCCCATCCCCTTCCGTGCTTCCTCCCGTCCCCTCCCCTGCTTCCCCCCATCCCCTTCCGTGCTTCCCCCCATCCCCTTCCTGCTTCCCCCCATCCCCTTCCTGCTTCCCCCCATCCCCTTCCTGCTTCCCCCCATCCCCTTCCTGCTTCCTCCCGTCCCCTCCCCTGCTTCCCCCCATCCCCTTCCGTGCTTCCCCCCGTCCCCTCCCCTGCTTCCCCCCATCCCCTTCCGTGCTTCCCCCCATCCCCTTCCCTGCTTCCTCCCGTCCCCTCCCCTGCTTCAGCCCATCCCCTTCCCTGCTTCCTCCCGTCCCCTCCCCTGCTTCCCCCCATCCCCTTCCGTGCTTCCCCCATCCCCTTCCGTGCTTCCCCCCATCCCCTTCCCTGCTTCAGCCCATCCCCTTCCCTGCTTCCTCCCGTCCCCTCCCCTGCTTCCCCCCATCCCCTCCCCTGCTTCCCCCCATCCCCTTCCTGCTTCCCCCCATCCCCTTCCTGCTTCCCCCCATCCCCTTCCTGCTTCCCCCCATCCCCTTCCTGCTTCCCCCCATCCCCTTCCTGCTTCCCCCATCCCCTTCCTGCTTCCCCCCATCCCCTTCCGTGCTTCAGCCCATCCCCTTCCCTGCTTCAGCCCATCCCCTTCCCTGCTTCCTCCCGTCCCCTCCCCTGCTTCCCCCCATCCCCTTCCGTGCTTCCCCCCATCCCCTTCCGTGCTTCCCCTCATATTTCCCATGCGCGACACCCTTGATCTCTGGGAAAATGCCCGTCGCAAGTGCGGGCGCTGCGCGTCGGCCAACCTTTCTCATTCTGTTCTGCCCACCCTCTCCCGTTCCGTTCTGCCTCCATCTCTCATTCCTTCGCACTTTCCCTCATTCCTTCCCACCCTCTCTCATTCCGTACCACCCTAACTCATTTCGTCCCACCCTCTCTCTTTCCTTCCCACCCTCTCATTCCTTCCCACCTTCTGACATTCCTTCCTACCCTCATGCTCCCATTCTTCCCTCTCCCTCCTCCCTCACTCTCTTTCTCTCCTTGCACCCGCACTCTCTCTCTCCTTCCTCTTGCACTCTCACTCTCCTTCCTCCTGCACTCTCACTCTCCTTCCTCCTGCACTCTCTCCCTCCGTCCTCTCGCACTCTCACTCTCCTTCCCACCACCCTCAGCCCTCCTTCCCCACCCTCTGCCCTGTTCCCACCTGCCCTCCCCATCCCTGCCTTTTCCTCTCTGCTCCGCCCTTTCCTTCCCCAGCCCTTCTCAACCCTTCCCTTCTTTTTCATGCCCTGCCCTTCCCCCTCACTCTTCGCCTTCCGTCCTCTAGTTCCCATGCATGTCCGCTTGTGTGGATTCCCCTGCCGTTGTTCCCTTGCACCTCACACCACCTCCCCCATGTTCCTTCACACGAATCGTTCTGCCTACCCCACTCCCCTATTTTTCAGTGGTGAAGCAGAGGAGCAAGCTGAGGTGCATCTAGTCGAAGCTTTGCACCATACCACCACCTGTTTCTTGTGTGTCGTATGCATGCATGATACTGTATTTTTGTTGATGAGATGGATCCTAAAGGCACAATACTGTAATGTACTTTTGTTTCTGCAGTGCAAGACATTTTTCCAAGACGCATGTACACTAAAGTGTCAGAAGGGTACAGAAAGGCAGGTGCACGATACTTTTAATTGTACCCTTTCCAAGTCCTCGAAAAAAACATGAGGGGAACTGTATTCTCTACGAGAATGGCATGGGATGATGGGCCTTTGAGCGAGTTGCAGTACCAGAAAAATCATCAGTGTAGTCACTGCAATAGCCAGGGAGAGGGAGAGAATACGAGCGATGGGAAGGGGAAAGCAGGGAAAGAGGGGGAAGAGGGAAGCAGGGGAGAAGGGAAAGGGGGAGATAGGACGATGTGAGAGGGAAAGGGGATAGGAAGAGGGACCCATGAAGTTACGAACAGAGGAAACGAAGGACGGATGAATGGAGGAACAGAAGAAGGGAAGGCCGGATGAATGGAGGAACAGAAGAACGGATGCAGGGAGGAAGAAGTTTAATCCGGAAAACGAAAAAGGGGGGAGGAGGGATAAGGAGAGGAGCGATGGGGAAAGGATGGATGGGAAGAGGAGCGGATGGGTATAGAGAGGGATGGATCGCGGAGGTGGTGAAGAACGAACCTTTTGGCGAGGCGGAAGAGGGGAAGAAGCAGGGAGGAGAGGGGAAGAAGCAGGGAGGAGAGGGGAAGAAGCAGGGAGGAGAGGGGTGGGGCGGAAAGGGGTGGGGCGGAATGGGGTTGGGCGGAATGGGGAGATGAGGGATGTGGAGATGAAGGATGGGGAGATGAGGGAATGGGAGATGAAGGAAGGGGAGATGAGGGAAGGGGAGATGAGGGATGGGGAGATGAGGATGGGGAGATGAGGTGAGGAGGAAATGGGGTGAGGAGGAAATGGGGTGAGGAGGAAATGGGGTGAGGAGGAAATGGGGTGAGGAGGAAATGGGGTGAGGAGGAGACGGGGTGAGGAGGAAATGGGGTGAGGAGGAGATGGGGTGAGGAGGAGATGGGTTGAGGAGGAGATGGGGTGAGGAGGAGATGGGGTGAGGAGGAGATGGGGTGAGGAGGAGATGGGGTGAGGAGGAGACGGGGTGAGGAGGAGACGGGGTGAGGAGGAGATGGGGTGAGGAGGAGATGGGGTGAGGAGGAGATGGGGTGAGGAGGAGATGGGGTGAGGAGATGGGGTGAGGAGGAGATGGGGTGAGGAGGAGATGGGGTGAGGAGGAGATGGGGTGAGGAGGAGATGGGGTGAGGAGGAGATGGGGTGAGGAGGAGATGGGGTGAGAAGGAGACTCGCGGCGCCTCCGACTCAGCTCGACGCTGAGCCCGTGACGGCGGTGTTGCGGCAGGTAGCAATCCCCCACGCCTCTGCCCCGCGTCAACCCCGTCCTGGTGGCGTGGGATGGGGTGGTGTTGACGGGGGAGAGGCGGGGATGGTGACACGGAGAGGGGGACACAGTGCGGGTTTCCGCCTCATTTACAGCAGCACGCAGGGATGGGGAGGAACGGGGTGGGGCGGAACGGGGTGGGGGTGAACGGGGTGGGGCGGAATGGGGTGAGGCGGAATGCGGCGGGAGGAAGAGAGCGTGGGCGGCGGAAGGAGAGTTGTCGCGCGCGACGAGAGAAAGTGCGTGCGGACGGAGCTGGGGCGAAGCGGAGATGGGTGAGGCGGAGATGGGTGAGGCGGAGATGGGTGAGGCGGAGATGGGTGAGGTAGTGTGCGACGGGAGGGAATAGGCCGTGTGCGACGAGCGGGGGGTCGCGTAGGATTGCGCATAGACGATGGAATGGGAGTGAGCGTAGGCGAAGGGATGGGGTGACCGTGGGCGACGGAAGTGACCGATCGTGGGCGACGGAAGTGACCGATCGTGGGCGACGGTACGATTGAGCGATAGCAATGGGGAGGGAGTGAGCGTGGGCGACGGGAAGCGTGGGCGACGGGAAGGGAGGGAGCGTGGGCGACGGGAGGGAGTGAGAGTGGGCGACGGGAGGGAGTGAGCGTGGGCGACCTGAGGGAGTGAGCGTGGGCGACCTGAGGGAGTGAGCGTGGGCGACGGAGGGGTGTGCGCGTATACGATGGAAGGGGAGTGAGTGTGGGCGACGGAAGGGAGTGAGCGCGCTTGTTCTAGGGGACTCCGCGTGGGCGACGGGAGGGACTAAGCGTTTGCGACGGAAGGGGAGTGAGTGCGGACGATGCAGTTTCCTCGCGATGCCGCTTTGTAAATTGAACAGAACTCAGCGACGCAAAACGCGATGGGATGGGCTGAGAGGGCGGCGCAGCTACGACCAGAAGCGATTCCGTCGCAGAGGGCGGTGACCCTAAGCTACGGGGTGAGCGTGGCCCGCGACGCGACCCAAAAGTTCGACTCAGGCTATCGGAAAGCTAGGGCGACGGGTCGTAACTCCGGGAGGAATAGAGGATGCGAAGAATGGTGGAAGCAAATTTCGCGGAAAAGCGATCACAGGTGGAGACATGTGAGGTGTGTAGCTTCTAAGCTATGGGCGTCACTACCAGTCCGCTAGGAACTATGCAAAGTTAGTCGACCTGAATTACAACTTTCAGAAAGGTGTGCACACTCGGGGCAAAAGTCCCCCAGGTTGGGTTGCCCAGACCCGAGCGATCCAAACCTGTGCTGCCTACGACCTCAGTACGTTGTGCGAGTGACACATGGTAACCAGAGAGGTTTGGGTCTGGTAAGTGTTGGCCCTCCCATGGTCGGGAAGAAAGCAAACCTGAGGTTCGGCTCCCGAGGTGTTAACACCTCCCAAGCGGTTTGTAATTCAGGCTGCGGGTTTTAAACGGTAGAAATTTTGAAACCAAGTGTTAACTCAACCCTCCACCCCTTCCCTCCTCTCCCCCTCCCCCTCCCTCTCAGCCTCACCATCCACTAGATCCCCGCCAAAAACACGTTGGAGCTTCAAATCGCCGTCGAAGCGCCATAGGAAATTCTCGAAAGTCACCTGTTGCCCTCGCCGCATTTCCACCCCCTCTCAGCCTCACCATCCACTGGATCCATCCCAAAATACGTCAGGACGAAGTTACCTGTGGATCCACTGGCAGGTCGAAACTGTTTTTCTATGAACCATCCCAAAACACGCCGAAACTTCAGATCGCCAAAAACACGTCGGAGCGTCGAATCGCCTGCTGAATCTGTTTTTTCGAGAATTCTCAAAAAACAGATTCGTCAAAAATCACCTGTTTCCCTTCCCCCTCTTCCCTCCTCTCCCCCCTACCCTCACCATCCACTGGATACCCGCCAAAAACACGTCGGAGCTTACAAAACTGTTTCCGCATTCCCCCCCTTCCCCCCCTTCCCCCACTCCACCCCCTTCCGCCCTCCCCGCTTCCACCCCCTTTCCCCAGCCTCACCATCCACTTGATCCCCGCCAAGAACACGTCCGAGCTTCAAATCGCCGTCGAAGCGCGGCGAATCGCCTCCTCGTCGCCGGAGAATTAGACGGCGACGTCGCAGGCGCTACCCGGGAAGGGCTGGTTCTCCGTGGGATGGTCGCAGAGCGGCGCGATGTATCCCGGCGACGCGGTGGTAGGCAATCAGCAGCGCGCTGCGGTCGCCGCGTACAGCATGACCGGCCACGACGCGAGCGCGGTTCGGCGGACGAACGATATCCAGCTGGGGAAGACGAGTCTGTCGCGCAGCAAGAGCTCCGTTATAATGAAGTGCGTGAAAATCTATAAGGCTGCTTTCTGTCAAAACAAGGGCATGTTATGTATAGATGTTTACTGTACTCTCCTGACTTCTACATGTTTTTTTTCATGTGTGGCAGCAGTGTATCATTCCAGAATGACGATTTCGTCTTCCTGTTGTCCCCCCCAGGTTCTCTCGTTTTGAGAACAACGGCGGAGTCGTGCCCTTCAGTATAAAGGGCTTCGGTATAGTCACGTGGGCGTACGCACCAGACGGCACCAGAGTCCTCGGATCCCACGACAGCAACAAGTAAGTTTTCCCGAACCTGTGCCCCGAACCTCTGTCCCGAACCTGTGCCCCGAACCTGCATCCCAAACCTGCGTCTCGATTCTCACATTCCGAACCTGTGTCCCAAACCTTGTGCTCCAGTCTAGTGCTTGCCGAGCATCAGCAAACGTTAATCCAGATTGATTTCACCTGTGACGCTGCTGCTCCCCCGCCCGCCCCGCACCCCTCCTCCCCTTCCTGGTCCTCTCCTGGCAGTGTATCGCGCATCTCCTTCCGAATCTCCTTCCGAATCTCCTTCCGAATCTCCTTCCGCATCCCCTTTCCTCCGCCCCTCCACCACCCCACGCCTCCCTGTTACCCCCCTCCCCACCCTCCTCCCCTTCCTGGCCCTCTCCTGGGAGTGTATCGCGCATCTCCTTCCGAATTCCCTTCCAGCCTCCCTTTCCTCCGCCCCTCCTACACCACCCCACGCCTCCCCCTCACCCCCCTCCTCCCCCTCCCGGCCCAAGCAGTGTATCACGCATCTCCTTCCGAATTCCTTTTCAGTCTCCCTTTCCCTCGTCCCTCCTACCCGTCCCCACGCCTCCCCAACCTCTTCCCTCCCACAGAGGGTCGGAACAAGTCGGTTTCTCCTGTGACGTTGCTGCTCCCTGCTCCCCTCCTCACGCACCCGCTTTCCTCCTGCCCCCCACTTCCCCGCCAGAGGTTCATCACAGACAGATATCTCATGCGACGCTGCTGACTTTTGAGTCGACTCAAAAGTCACCTCGTTTTCTCCTGCGACGCTGCTGCTCCCCCGCCCGGCCCTGAGCCTGACCTCCCTGCATTCTCCCGCCTGACCCTTTCTTCTCCACTCCCTCCCAATCCTTCCCCACCCAATCAAATCCCCCCACAGGATCATCACAGACAAATATCTCCTGCGACGCTGCTGCTCCCTCGCCCGCTGCTGACCTCCCTGCATACCCCCTCGTCACCCTTTCCTTCCCACCCCCTCCCTATCCTCCCCCACCTCTCCCCCCCCAGAGGATCATCACAGATCGATTTCTCGTGCGACGCTACTGCTCCCTGCTCCCCTCACACACGCGCTTTCCCCCTGCCCCCCACTTCCCCCCTGGCCACCTCTCCCCCCCCAGAGGATTATCACGGATCGATTTCTCGTGCGACGCTACTGCTCCCTGCTCCCCTCACACACGCGCTTTCCCCCTGCCCCCCACTTCCCCCCTGGCCACCTCTCCCCCCCCCAGAGGATCATCACAGATCGATTTCTCGTGCGACGCCACTGCTCCCCCACCCGCCTCCCGCCCCACCTCCTCCTCGTCGCCCGGCCAGAACTGCAAGAAGTCAGCCCTGGCAGGATACCAGTACCAGACGAGCCTGCAGGGCAGCAGGTGAGGCGTGATTGTAACGAAGCAGAGAGGTGTGCCTATAGGGAGGTAGTGCCCATCCCACCTCCTCCTCCTCGTCGCTCGGGCAGAACTGCAAGAAGTCAGCCCTGGCAGGATACCAGTACCAGACCAGCCAACAGGGCAGCAGGTGAGAAATTACCATGTCACATGTGACGGTGAGGAGGATGACGTTTGCCTACACAGCTGCTGCTCCCCCGCCCGCCCCCCGCCCCTAGCCCCCCGGGTCTCCTCCTCCTCTTCCTCGACCGGGCAGAACTGCAAGAAGTCAGCCCAGGCTGGATACTTTTGAGTCGACTCAAAAGTCACCCTGGCTGGATACCAGTACCAGACGAGCCTGCAGGGCAGCAGGTGAGAAATCATTTTGGCCTATGTGAATTCATGGAACGTTCAGGTGTGTGCTTACACAGGTAGTGCCCATCCCTCCTCCTCCTCCTCCTCCTCCTCCTCCTCCTCCTCCTCCTCCTCCTCCTCCTCCTCCTCCTCCTCCTCCTCCTCCTCCTCCTCCTCCTCCTCCTCGCCCTCGACCGGGCAGAACTGCAAGAAGTCAGTCCAGGCTGGAAACTTTTGAGTCGACTCAAAAGTCACCCTGGCAGGATACCAGTACCAGACGAGCCTGCAGGGCAGCAGGTGAGCTATCATTCTGTAATATGTGATTATATGGAGATGCTACTTGCCTGCAGGGCAGCAGGTGAGCTATCATTCTGTAATATGTGATTATACGGAGATGCTACTTGCCTGCTCGGATAGTGCGCACCCCTCCACCTCTTCCTCGCCCGGGCAGAACTGCAACAATGCCGTGTGTCATTGTAACAATGCAACAATGCCGCAACAATGCAATTGTAACGAGGTGACTTTTGAGCCGACTTAAAAGTCGAGTCGGCGTTTCAAGGATACCAGTACCAGTACCAGTACCAGTACCAGTACCAGTACCAGTACCAGGTGAGCGGTCACTAGATGATATATGAAACACCCTGTATGCAATGTGGTAATATAGGATGTGCTACTGCGAGGCGTGCAGCCTCATTTTTGAGAATTCTCAAAAACCAAAATGCGAGGCGTGCAGCCTCATCAAACATTCCCCTTACACTTCCCCCTTGAGAGAAACGGATAAATCTCCCTAACGTGGAAAAGCCCTATCCTAACTTCCTACCCCGCTCCTCCTGCTGCCCCCCGCCTGCCCTCTCCTCTCCCAGCCCGCTTCTACACTGGAGAGAAGCAGCAAGGAGATTTTTGAGACGTCTCAAAAATCTTCTTTCTACACGTGGTTTCCAAGCCCGCTTCTACACTGGAAAGAAGCCGCAAGGATGCGCTACTGCGAGGCGGGCAGCCTCATCAAGCATCCCCCCTACACTTCCCCCTTTGATGCAGTCATCGGGAACCTTTTCAAGTCGACTTTTGAGTCGACTCAATCAGCTTTTACGGCTGAATGGTGCCCACTGATGCAGTCATCGGGAACCTTTTCAACCACCTCCTCCCCCCGCTTCTTCCCCTGCCTTCCTCTCCCCTCGCCCTTTTGCAGTCTGCTGTTACACTGAACGGAAGCAGCAGGAAAGGCAGTAAGTAGACATGGCAGTGGAAGCCACGTCCGGCAGCCCAGCGAAAGACGGATGGATGTCCCTGGCCTGAAGGAACCCCATTCAACCCGTTTTCCTCCTGATTTTTTCCCTGCTCCCACCGCTGACCTGCTTCCCTCCGTCCAGCCTCCTCCTGCACTGGAAGGAGGCAGCAGGGAAGCAAGTGGAAATGGCAGTGGAAGCCAAGTCCGGCAGCCCAGCGAAAGACGGATGGATGTCCCTCGCCTGGAGCAACCCCAGTGGCCGAATGGTACCCTCAGACGCAGTCATTGGGAACCTTTACGGCGGGGAGATCTACGCGTACAAAGTGCCGGGGTATTCGAGTGACTCGCTGTCGCGAGACGGGTTTGACATCGGGAGTGGCGCAAGCACCAAGACCGAAGGAGGATCGATTATCATGAGGTGCGTTCCCAGAGAACGTTTTTCTATTGCATTCCTGATCTGGAGCCTTGCAGTTTTGGGTTGTCTCTGGGAACGTTCCCGGCGAGGGGGTATAAGGTGCGTATAAGGTGCCGGGGTATTCTCCTTTCTCACTCTCTCACTTGCTCTCGCATTCCCCCCCACCAGGTTCAGTCGCACGGACAACACGGGATGGTCGAACAAGTTCAAGCTATCGAAGAAGAACAGCCTCATCTGGGCTTATTCGTCCTCAGGATCCAACACGCTGGGGTCGCACGGACACAACTAGTAAGTGTAATGGGTGCGGTTATAACGAGTACGAATCTTGAGATATCCGGGACAAACAGCCTCATCTGGGCTTATTCGTCCTCAGGATCCAACACGCTGGGGTCGCACGGACGCAACTAGTAAGTGTAATGGGTGCGGTTATAACGAGTACGAGTCTTGAGATATCCGGGACAAACAGCCTCATCTGGGCTTATTCGTCCTCAGGATCCAACACGCTGGGGTCGCACGGACGCAACTAGTAAGTGTAATGGGTGCGGTTATAACGAGTACGAGTCTTGAGATATCCGGGACAAACAGCCTCATCTGGGCTTATTCGTCCTCAGGATCCAACACGCTGGGGTCGCACGGACGCAACTAGTAAGTGTAATGGGTGCGGTTATAACGAGTACGAGTCTTGAGATATTCGGGACAAACAGCCTCATCTGGACTTATTCGTCCTCGGGATCCAACACACTAGGGTCGCACGGACGCAACTAGTGAGTGTGCCAAAAAAAAAGGACTTTAACGAGTATAGGTCTAGAGCTATTGGGAACGAACAGCCTCATCTGTGCTTATTGGTCCTTGGGATCCAACATGCTGGGGTCGCACGGACGCAACTAGTGAGTGCGCTGGGTCTGCTGTTAACGAGGATAAAATCAAAGCAGTCTCGTCTGGGCATATTCCTAATCGGGATCCAGCACACTAGGGATGGTTGCATGGGCGCAAATAGTGAGTGCGCCTATAATGAGTACGAGTCTTGAGCTTTTGAGGAAGAACAGGCTCATCTGCGCTTATGGTAGTCGTCGTCGGGATACAACATGCTGGGTTCGCATAGAAGCAACTAATGAGTGTGCCGGGTGTGGTTATATCGAGTATGATTATCAAAACACTCCCAGTGGCCATTGAGCTGTTTGTTCTTTCTTCCCTTCTCCCCTCCCCCAGCGGCCGCCTCTCTGTTGATTTCTCCTGACACTTCCCCAATACTGCCCCGTTTCCCCCACACCACCCCCCTTCCCCAGTGGCCGCCTCTCTGTTGATTTCCCCTGACACTTCCCCAATACTGTTCCTGTTGCCCCTCCCCAAACCCCCCAACCCCCCCTCCAGTGGCCGCCTCTCTGTTGATTTCTCCTGACACTTCCCCTCTTCCCCCTCACCAACCCCCTCCCCCAGTGGCCGCCTCTCTGTTGATTTCTCCTGCCGCACAGCACCTGCTAAGTCCCGCCCCGGCTTCTCGTGGTGGCCCAGGCGGGGTGGGGGGGGAGGAGGAAGGGATGGGGATGATGATGATGATTAGGTACGAGGGATGGACGGTGGCACAGCAAGGAAGGCACTGGCTCACGTGTCACGTTCTGGTGGTGTGACCCACACGCATCAGGCTGGGAGGAGGAAGGGATGGGGATGATGATGATGATGATGATGATTAGGTACGAGGGATGGATGGTGGCACAGCAAGGAAGGCACTGGCTCACGTGTCACGTTCTGGTGGTGACCCAGACGCATCAGGCTGGGAGGAGGAGGAAGGGATGGGGATGATGATGTTTATGATTATGATTAGGTACAAGGGATGGACGGTGGCACAGCAAGGAAGGCGCTGGCTCACGTGTCACGTTCTGGTGGTGTGACCCAGGCGCATCAGGCTGGGAGGAGGAGGAAGGGATGGGGATGATGATGATTATGATTATGATTAGGAGGGATGGATGGACGGTGGCACAGCACAGCAAGGAAGGGGCTGGTTTATGTGTCACCTGTTACTAAGCCGTGCTCAGGCTTTTCTGGTGGTTAGGCAGATGGGGTGGGGAGGAGAGGAGGGGAGCAATGGGGATGGTGCTGACGATTAGAGGGAGAATGGGGAGAATGGTGTGCGTGAATTTGTAGGTTTGACTAGGTGTGACTTGGGTCGACCTGGGTTGGATGGACCTCTGAAAGTTGGCCCCTGGCCAACAAATGTTACGGTAACCCTCTTACGGTAATCTGAATGGTTGCTGTATTCTGCAGGTTATACAGCTAATATAGGGTCTAACTAAACCGTGACATACGATCACACCACGTGCAATCACACTTTTCTGAAGGTTTCTAAGCAAGTGCAATCAAGCCAAGTTGAAGAGATAATGTTGTTGCACTATGTGCCACAGCATGTAAAACTAGACATAGACCATGTACGGTAGGTACCTTAATTACAGAGCGGCTACAGAATGTGCAATGTGCACTATAGCTCTATTTGGTTATTCAGTCTGTCTAACAGGGACTGACAGTGCACTATAGCTCTATTTGGTAGCTGAGCGCTCGAGACGAGTGGCCCCGTGTGGACTGCATTATGACAATACCGAGGTACGTTGTAGCAAGGACTGCTACAGTGATTCCAAATAAGATGTTCCAAACCTGGACATGGAAGGGATTGGGGCAAAGAGTGAAGGACATGGTGCGGTAATTGAGGGGAGGTGGAATGGCTTCTGAGGCGTCTAAAAAGTCAAAAGCTGCAACTAAACCTGCTAGCGGGCAGCAGGAGGTTGGACAAGGAGTGGTGAGGCACAGAGCGGGTTGGATAAGGAAAGGCGAAATGTGAAGATAAGGTTTCGTGAAACCCATGCCCACCCATGCCCACCCACCCATGCCCACCCATGCCCACCCATGCCCACCCACCCATGCCCACCCATGCCCACCCATGCCCACCCATGCCCACCCCTGCCCACCCCCTGCCCACCCCCTGCCCACCCCCTGCCCACCCCCTGCCCACCCCATGCCCAGCACTGCCAGAACTAGCAGGCCATGTGCAAACCGCCATGACAGCCTGCTACTAGCTCCCTTGTCCCGCCGCAGAAACCCCAGCACCCCCAGAAACCTCTACAAAGCTCGCCCCTACACCCCTCCAGTTCCCTCACCAACACAACACTGACCTGAACAGACGAGAAGAAGATGATGCCGTAAAGCTTCAGGCCTGAGAAGGCGTTGGCCCACCCCATGCCCAGCACTGCCAGACCTAGCAGCCCATGCACAAACCTACAACCCCCCACACCCCCCAACAAACCCCACTGTTTTGACTACATAGTACATACCGTGACAGACGAGAAGAAGATGATGCCGTAGAGCTTCAGGCCTGAGAAGGCGTTGGCCCGCCCCATGCCCAGCACCGCCAAACCTAGCAGCCCATGCGCAAACCGCCATGACAGCCAACAACCCCCAACAAACCCCAGTGTTTTGACTACATATATAGTACATACCGTGACGAGTCGGTTTTTGAGTCGACTCAAAAACCGACTCACCCTACGTACATACCGTGACAGACGAGAAGAAGATGATGCCGTAGAGCTTTAGCCCTGAGAAGGCATTCGCCCATCCCATGCCCAGCACTGCCAGACCTAGCAGCCCATGCGCAAACCGCCATGACAGGCGGTTACTAGCTCCCTTGTCCGGCCGCAGAAACCCCAACACTGGCTGCACCAGCACCAGCAGCAGCACCACGAGGCCCATCTGACCGTGCGATTGGCTCAGGCCGTCCGATCCGACGGCTGCGAACGCGAGCGTGCAGCCGAGGAGGCAGCAGAGGAGGGCTGAGAGGTTGAGGTATTGATGGTAGGAGAAGGCGTGGAGTTGGAGGTTGGGGAGGAAGGAGAGAGAGGGGAGGAAGGGGTGCGGCTGGAGGAGGGATGCGCTGGTGGTGGGGGAGAGAGGGGGGGAGAGAGGAGGGGAGGCGTCAGGAGGAGCGGCGGGACGGAAGGAGGAGGAGGAGGAAGAGGAGGGGGCGTTGGTGGTGGAGGGGGAATCCCGCAGCTGCTGCTGCTGCTTTTGGATCAACCCAGACGCCATTTCGGACGATCCTTGAGAATCATCAAAACGTAGAGATGGGTCTGACCCGCTGGTTCCAGCATCAGGATCGTGCGAGTGAGATGAGTAGTGGGAGGAGGAGTGGAGGGAGGAGGAGTGGAGGAAGGGGAGCGAAGAGGGGCCTGAGAGGAAGAGGCGGGCAACGAGGATTGCGGAGGGTATGAGAAGGAAGAAGGCGAGAGAGAGGAAGACCGCGTGGGCTATCAGCGCGGAGGAGGTGGAGGAAGAGTAGGAGGAGGAAGAGGAGGAGAGAGGGGAAGATGAAAAAGAGGTGGAGGGTGAGGAGGAGGAAGGAGGGAAAGAGGAGGAAGAGGGTGAGGAAGGGGAGGTGGATAACGGAGGAGAGGTGGAGGGGGAGGAGGGGGAAGCAGGTGGGGAGGAGGTTGAGGAGTGTTTGGAGTCGCCTGTTATGATGTCAATTACGGTGGCGCCCCTGTTATGATAGGTGCAGAGCGGTGTAGTATAACGAAAGAAAGGAAGAAACATATGGAGAAACGAGAGGTTATGCAAAACGAGAGGTGAAGAAAGCAAGGGGGGAAGAAAGGACAATGGGAGGAGGAAAGGAGAAGAAAGAGGGGATGAGTGAAAAAGAGGGGCAAAGAAGCCTTTATGCACAAATGAGCACAAGTTTTTTCTTCCGGAGAATGGGTTAGTATGCATGCATATGTAAATGCATGAATATGTATATGTAGTCACATGCAGTGACACATGCAACACATGCAGTGACACATGCCCACACATGCAGACACAACACATGCAGACATGCAGATGTCACACATGCACCCACTTGTTCTGCATGTGGAATTCCATGTGATGTTGGCCAGCCCATTCTTTCACTAATATCCCTAAATATACAGTCACACATGCATTCACACATGCATGCGTGTGCACACTCACCAGTAATGCATGTGTGATTCCAGGTTCCAGATGTCACACATGCACATGTCATGTCACACACATGCACATGTCATGTCACACGTGCACATGTCATGTCACACGTGCACTTGTCATGTCACACACATGCAATCACACATTCTCTCACCGGTTCTGCATGTGGAATTCGAGGTTCTGCGACCCATCCCCCGCGTACGCCCATATGATGTTGGCTAGGCCATTCTCGTGCATCGGGTTTATGCCTGCTCCAAACACACGCTCAAACCTGAAGGAAAGACAGGCGGAGGGAGGATAGATCATAGAGACAGCAAATGCAGGAGCAGGAATCGCATGCAGGCCCATGTGATGTTGGCTGGACCATTCTCGTGCATCGAATTGATTTCAGGCCTGCTCCAAACACGCACTCGAAACAAGACATGTCGAACCAAACCACAAGGTGACAGCTGAGTCGACTGAAAAGACACCTCGACATGTCGAACCAAACCACAAGGTGACAGCTGAGTCGACTGAAAAGACACCTCGACATGTCGAACCAAACCACAAGGTGACAGCTGAGTCGACTGAAAAGACACCTCGACATGTCGAACCAAACCACAAGGTGACAGTTGAGTCGACTGAAAAGACACCTCGACATGTCGAACCAAACCACAAGGTGACAGTTGAGTCGACTGAAAAGACACCTCGACATGTCGAACCAAACCACAACGTACCAAATGAGGGTCCTGCCATTCACAGATGCGACGCCGCTTTTGGCGGCTCGAAACAACTCCGAGAGGCTGATCGACTCGCGGCTGTACCCCCCAATAGAGAACGCCCCCACTGCCGGCATGCCCATGCCCGTTGCCCCAATTCCCATGCTCAAGCCATTGATCCCCAGCGTACCAAATGAGTGTCCTGCCATTGACAGTGGCGACGCCGCTTTTGGCGGCTCGAAACAGCTCAGACAGGCTAATCGACTCTCGGCTGTACCCCCCGATAGAGAACGCCCCCACTGCCGGCATGCCCATGCCCGTTTCCCCCCATTCCCATGCTCAACCCATTGCCCGTTGCGCCAGCGTACCAAATGAGTGTCCGGCCATTGACAGTGGCGACGCCGCTTTTGGCAGCTCGGAAGAGCTCAGAGAGGCCGATGGACTCGCGGCTGTACCCCCTGATAGAGAACGCCCCCACTGCCGGCATGCCCAGGCCCGTTGCCCCGTACGGCAGGTTGCCTATGGCGGCATCGCTGCCGGCCATGCGGCCCATGCGGGACCACCCGAGGGCCACCCAGCCTGTTGTGGCTGCATCGGCTGCCAGAGAGACTGAGGCCTTGTTGACCCGCCAGTGCAGGATGAAACTGATAGGAGAGGGAGGGGTGGAGAGGAGTGGAGTGGATTGAGGTGGGACCAGCCGAGGGTCACCCAGCCCATCGTGGCTGCGTCGGCTGCGAGGGCGATTGATGCCTTGTTGACTCGCCAGTGCAAGATGAAACTGGGAGGGTGAGGGAGAGGGGTGTTGGGAACGGAGAGATGGGAATGGGTGAAAGAGAGGCGGTTATAGTGCGGGCAGGGCAGGGCAGGGCAGGGCAGCACAGCAGCAGATAACGGGTAGCAGGTTCCCTATGGCGGCGTTGCTGCCAGCCATGCGGCCGAGGCGGGACCAGCCGAGAGGGCCACCCAGCCTGTCGTGGCTGCATCGGCTGCGAGAGAGACTGGACCACCCGAGGGCGGGGGGGGGTGGAGAGGGGTGGAGAGTGGTGGAGTGGATTGAGACGGGACCAGCCGAGGGCCACCCAGCCTGTCGTGGCTGCATCGGCTGCGAGAGAGACTGGACCACCCGAGGGCGGGGAGGGGGGTGGAGAGGGGTGGAGAGCGGTGGAGTGAATTGAGACGGGACCAGCCGAGGGCTACCCAGCCTGTCGTGGCTGCATCGGCTGCGAGGGCGATTGATGCCTTGTTGACCCGCCAGTGCAGGATGAAGCTGGGAGGTGTGGAAAGGGGTGGAGAGGAGTGGAGAGTGGTGGAATGGTTTGAGTCAGCTGCGAGGGCTATTGATGCCTTGTTGACTCGCCAGTGCAGGATGAAACTGGGAGAGGTGGGGTGAGAGGGATGGGGGAAAGAAGTCGGAAGGGGAGAGGATGGAGAAAGGGAGAGTACCTTTCTATCCTTATAACGCTCCTCAATACAGAAAAGAGTAAACGAAAATAGGAAGGAACTCACTCAGCGCCTTGTAGTTGGCGCGAGCAGGTGTATCCCGGCAGGGGAGAGGGGTCACACGTGATGCCACGCAGCGATGGTCGGGCCACAGGGTTTCGGGTTTAGGGTGTTTTTGAGTCGACTCCAACAGTAAGGCAGGAGAGAGCGTTACTCACTCGCTGCCTCGTAGCTGCTTCGAGCAGGTGTATCCCGGCAGGGGAGAGGGGTCACAGGCAACGCCACGCAGTGTTGGTGGGGCCACTGGGGGCCGGCGAGGAGGGGAGGCGCAGGAGTAGTCCAGAAGCAATGCTCCTCTGGATGGAGATGGGGCAGATGAAACAGGACAAGGAGGGAGGGGAAAAGAATGGGGACACTGGGGGAGGGCGAGGTGGGAATGGGCAGGAGTAGTTCAGAAGCAATGGGCTTCTGAGGGGGGAGGAATGGAGAGGAATGGGGGGGAATCGGGGGGAGGAAGAGGGAGAAAGGAGAGGAGAAGGCAAGGAGAAAAGATGAGCCGGGAGAGTGACTAGCCCAGGGGGAGGGAGAGAGACGCAGGAGTAGTCCAGGAGCAATACGACTCTTGGGGGGGATGAATGGCTCAGCAGAAGGGGGAGAAAGGCGAGGGGAAGAGGGAAGAGACGGACACAAGGAGTGTGGGTGTGGAAGAGTGAGTGTGGGGCGGAGAGGGGACAATGAGGAGACGATGTGTGCTGTGCAGGAGTAGACATGGAGCACGGCCATGTGCTTGGTGGTGACCGGTGGGTGTCCTGACCGGTGGGTGTCCTGACCGGTGGGTGTCCTGACCGGTGGGTGTCCTGACCGGTGGGTGTCCTGTCCGGTGGGTGTCCTGTCCGGTGGGTGTCCTGTCCGGTGGGTGTCCTGTCCGGTGCTGAGAGTGGAGGGGAAAGGCCGAGGCAACTTTGAGTCGACTCAAAAGTTTGCTCGGTGCTGCCCGTGGGTGTCCTGTCCGGTGGATGTCCTGTCCGGTGGGTGTCCTGTCCGGTGCGTGCAAGTTGTCAGGGGAGTGCGCCCAGAGAATGGAAGCGAGGAGGGTGTGCTTGTGCCATGTACGCGTGTGTGTATGCGGGGCAGTGAGCAACACACCGGTGGGGCCCATGGTAGAGTGGCGTGTGCAAGTTGTCAGGGGAGTGCGCCCAGAGAATGACGTTGGAGGCATCTAGTGACAGAGGCACCGCTGCTACATCACCCACTGCCCGCGTGAACCTGAGGGTGAGAAAAGGAGAAGGGCGCAGGGGGGTGGAGGGGAGCAGAGAGAAGAGCAGGGAGCAGGTAGAGAATGACGTTGGAGGCATTTAGCGACAGAGGCACCGCTGCTACATCACCCACCGCCCTCGTGAAGCTGATGGGAGGGAGGGTGCACAGAGAGGGGAGGAGGGAGTGAAGCAGGGAGGAGGGGAAGAGGAATAGCAGTGGGGTTAGGAGTTAGTGGGAGGAAAAGAAGGATAATAGGAGGGGGATAGCAAGGGGGATCGCAGGGAGAGTGTTGTATGAGTGAACCTGAGAGATAGCTCCATCCTCTGGATCCCCACACCCATTCCCACCACCTACACCTTGTTCTACCTGGCAGCACACCCATGCCATCCGCACTTCGTCCTCCCCTCTCACCTCACTATAGTCGACCCCCTTGCATTCACAGACACGCTCCAGTTCGTCTTGCTGTATGAAAGCCCGCGCTCCATCCGCTGCATCCCCTCTACAGAGTAACCCGTTATATGCACTGCCATTAACGGCCCTGTAGCTTTCAACCCTCCCCCTGCCATGTTGGCTACTATCGCGTCGCTGCCTGCCATTCGTCCGTCCCACGACCAGCCAATCGCAAGCCAGCCTGCTTCCGCGCCGCTGCTCTGCTTGGCCTCCAGTGCCACGTGGATTGATGACGTGGCAGGGTGGACGGTCCAGTGGAGAAGGAGGCTGCGGAGGGAGGGATGTGGTGTGGAGCGTGTAGGAGAGAGTGGGAGAGTATGGGGGAGAGTGGGAGAGTGAGAGAATGAGAGTGTGAGAGAGTTGGGAGAGTTGAGAGTGTGTGGGAGTTGTGAGAGTGAGAGACTTGGGTGAGAGAGTGAGAGTGTGAGAGAGTAGGGAGAGTGTGAGTGTGAGAGAGTTGGGAGAGTGTGAGGGTGACAATTCGGGGGCGGCGAAGGAGTCGGGCGGGAGGACGATGAGGGCGAGCAGGAGGAGCAGGAGGAGCAGGAGCGAGCAGGAGGAGCAGGAGGAGCAGGAGCGAGCAGGAGGAGCAGGAGCAGAAGGAGGAGCAGGGGGGGCAGGAGGAGCAGGAGAGACAGAGGACAAAAAGAGGGAGGAAGAGGAACAAAACAACCTAAGAGCACCTACCACCTGGTGCTTACAAATCAATATGCCACGTGGCACTCACCCGTTGGCGGAGAGCTGCGTGGAGTGCGTGTACCCGCCCAACGTGGACGGTTGGCATCGCGCCACCTGTAACACGCTGCTGTCTGTCGCCCATTGGCTGGTTTCTTGCAGCATTCTCGAGTCGCCAGTGCTCTTCTCCCATTGGTCGCCGGCATTGTCTGGAAGCAGGCTCGACACGGCATCATGTTTCTCGAAGCTTCCAGGAAAGCTCCCTTTTCCGAGACCCTGTACGGTGCTGCTGCTCTCCTTAACCTGTCCCACGATAATATCGCTGTTCCCCCTCTTATCGTGGGACGCGGCGAATGCGCGTATAATATGTGAATGCGAGGTGATAAGGACGAGCAGCAGCTGAAATAGCGAGAGGAGAGGCAGTAAGATGCGTCGACGGCGAATGCGCTCGGAATGTGTGCGATTCGCCATGGCGAGGGTAAACGACAAACGGGCCGCCCAGCCTCGACCAGCAGCACCCGAAGCGAAAATCAGTAGTGGCATTTCACCGATTCCTGCAAACCGATTAAATGATCGCCGCTGCTTTAGCAGCATTCCCAGCTCAAAGATATCAGTGAAAGATTAGAAATGCCGTCCAGGAGATAAGATAGCACCGCAACATTACCTTGTCTGCTACAGTTCTTGGTGGTTGGGGGCAAATTGCCGACAATCCCAGGGGCTCGCGAAATGTTTCTTCCCTAACAACTGCTTCGCGACCAATCTTTAGATTGCTGGATGGTTATACTTAGAAAATAGGGGATGTTAATACAGAACAAAACATGTCAAACCAAATCAAAGGATGATATTATGCACTGCTAACATATGCACTGTACTGTGGCCCATTTACTTTGCCTTTTTCAAGCTGGTCGCGGCATACGAAGAGCATGTACACGATGACAAACACTGCCATGATGATGCCTAGAAATGCTTCTAGACCCTGCAATACATGTCAGATAGGAAACACGAATTCAATCAGAAATCATGGAACAAACAGGTAACGCAATAAAGAATATGCTATTAACAAAATGACAGCAGATGTTACAAAGGACTAGGTGCAACTTACAAATGGATCGCTTCCGATGAAGCTGAAGTAGAGGTTCATTCCAAGGAATATATTCGCCCATCCCATCACCACCGCCGCAATCCCAACCGCCCAGTGCACCCAGTGCCACGTGGTCTTTGTCCACATGGCAAACTGCGGTAGGTCGATGCTTCCATTCCCGTTGTTGTGCGGGCGGAGGAAAATGACGAGTGGTTGGCAGACGAGGAGGAGGATGAGGACAGCAATGCCGACCCACGCGTGGGCGTGACTGAAGCCGTGAGTCCCAGATGAGACAAACGCTGTGATGCACCCGATGAAGATACAGACAAGAGCAGCCACTTGCAGAAACTTGTGCCATCCAAACCAGAACGCTCGGCTCTGCTGCAGCTGTGAAATCATATCCCTCCCCTCCTGCCGCCGCAGCTGGGCTGCACGTGCTGACGTGGCACCCTGTGCACCAGCCACGTCAGCAGCTGACTCAGCATGGGCAAAACTAGCCATGCTGGCATCTAGCTGGGCGTTGGCTTCAGCAAGCCGAAGCGGGCCAGTGTGCGTGTCTCTACCCAACGTGACTGTAACGAGGCCACTACTGCTGCTGCTGCTGCTGCTCGTACGACAGTTTTCGTCGTTTCCAGGAAGGTTCACGAGGCAGATCCGGGCAAGGAGGATGGCGGAGGGCATGAGGATGAGGAGAGCAGTGATGAGGCAGATGGCATGGGCTATGATGGCTGGCTTGTTCAAGTGCGGAGGGGCGGAGGCGGAGGGGGAGGAGGGGGGTGGAGAGGCAGTGATCGATTCTCCTGTGACCAGGTTGATAGACACTGAACCCCTGTTGAGGGAGGAGAGAAGGGGGAGGGAAAGGCAAGCAAGACAAGGACCATTTGAGGGGAGAAGAAGAGTTTGCTCAGTTTCACAAGGGGCAGATGCGGGCAAGGAGGATGAGGAGGGCAGGAGGATGAGGAGGGCAGGAGGATGGAGGAGGGCAGTGATGAGGCAGATGGCTATGATGGCTACGAGGCATGGGCTATGATGGCTACGAGGCATGGGCTATGATGGCTATGAGGCATGGGCTATGATGGCTATGAGGCATGGGCTTTGATGGCTGACTGGTTGAATTGAAGTGAGGAGGGGGCGAGGTGGCGAAAGGGGAGTATGGGGAGGCGAGTTGATTCCATATCCGGTTGAGCCCATTTCCCCAATGCCACTCCCCAGGAGGCTTCTGGGAACCTCACCTGTTGTTTCCGTGAAAGGTGAGCTTCCTGGAACCTTCGTTGGAGTACGCCCAGATGATGGTTGCCACGTCAGCAGCGGAAAGCGGCAACTGTCCGTTCACTAGTGGCCGCTCGAACCTGCATGATGGGGGGGGGGAAATAGGGGGGAGAGGTGAGGTGGGGGGGCCATGCGGAAGAGAGGTGACTTGACAAGTCATACACTAATTTGACAAGAAAAGCCAGTGAAAAAAAACACTTTTAGAGCACGCAGACTCACTTCATCACAGTCCTTCCTCTGCTCGTTGTTGTCACACTCGCATTAGTCACAGTGACCTTCGGCGCCGGACGGATGGCGCTCCTCTCGTATCCACCAATCAGGAACGACCCCACAGCCTGTTCCTCCTTTCCTGCCACGTCAGCACCGCCTCCTGTCTTGATGGTGCCACGTGGCAGGTTCCCAATGGCTGCCTCGCTGCCGGCCATCTTGCCGTCCTTCGACCAGCCGAGAGCGATCCAACCGGTGGTTGCCACGTCAGCAGCGAGGAGTAGGGAGGAGGGGGTGAGATGCCAGTGGAGAGTGAAGCTGGAGAGGTGGGTGGGGGGATTGGGGGAGGAGGGGGGGGGGGGGACGATTGGGAAGAGAAGGGAGGGGGGTGAAAGAAAAGGAGGAGGGAGGAGGGGGTGAGTGCCTATGGAGGTTGAAACTGGGCAGTGGGCGGGTTGGGGGGATGGGCGGAGTGAACAAGAGAGGTGAAATAGGGGGTGTGCGGAGGAGGAGGAACGGAAGGATGGCAAGTCAACCGTGATGCAACACCCGTACAGCTCAAGCCATTCAGCTACAGCTGAAGGTAAGGCTGTAGGCAAGGCTGTAGCAGCGCTACAGGCAAGCCATTCTACAGCTACCTATAGCACTGCTACAGCCTCGCCTGTCGCCCTGCAGCTGTAACTGGGCAGGGAGACAGCTGGCAGGACTGCTACAGCTACAGCAACTATGTAGCATAGTTGGCACGAGTGCTGATAACCTTAGTGCGCGACAGTCGTGCGGCTACCGCCAAGTACCGCACTGCTACCGCCAAGTACCGCACTGCTACCGCCAAGTACCGCACTGCTACCGCCAAGTACCGCACTGCTACAGCCAAGTACCGCACTGCTACAGCCAAGTACCGCACTGCTACAGCCAAGTACCGCACTGCTACAGCCAAGTACCGCACTGCTACTGCCAAGTACCGCACTGCTACCGCCAAGTACCGCAATGCTACAGCCAAGTACTGCTACAGCGCCTCACCTGTCACCGTTCAGCTGTAGCATGCAGGTGTATCCCGGCAGTTTGGACGGCTGCTACAGCTGTGCAGCTACAGTACAGCTACCGATAGCACTCCTACAGCCTCCCCTGTCGCCCTGCAGCTGTAGCCAGGCAGGGAGGAGGACTTGCAGGCCAGCTACAGCTACCTACTAGCTACAGCTACCCAGTAGCTACAGGTACATACTAGCTACAGGTACCTACTAGCTACACGTACCTACTAGCTACAGCTACCTAGTAGCTACAGCTACCTACTAGCTACAGCTACCCAGTAGCTACAGGTACCTACTAGCTACAGCTACCCAGTAGCTACAGGTACATACTAGCTACAGCTACCTAGTAGCTACAGCTACCTACTAGCTACAGCTACCCAGTAGCTACAGGTACCTACTAGCTACAGCTACCCAGTAGCTACAGGTACATACTAGCTACAGGTACCGACTAGCTACACGTACCTACTAGCTACAGCTACCTAGTAGCTACAGCTACCTAGTAGCTACAGCTACCTACTAGCTACAGCTACCTACTTGCTACAGCTACCTAATAGCTACAGCTACCTACTTGCTACAGCTACCTACTTGCTACAGCTACCTACTAGCTACAGCTACCTAGTAGCTACAGGTACCTAGCAGCTACAGCTATTGCTGCAGCTGTTGCTACAGCTGTTGCTACAGCTATTGCTACAGCTGTTGCTACAGCTATTGCTACAGCTGTTGCTACAGATATTGCTACAGCTACTGCTACTGCTATTGCTGCAGCTATTGCTAAAGCTATTGCTACAGACTCACCTGTCGCCCTGTAGCTGTAGCATGCAGGTGTAGCCGGGCAGAGTTGACGGCTGGCAGGACTGCTGAGACCTGTGGCGTGCTACAGCAGTGCGGCTGCTTGTACTACTGCTACAGCGCCTCACCTGTTTCCCTGTAGCTGTAGCATGCAGGTGTAGCCGGGCAGAGTTGACGGCTGGCAGGACTGGCGGGCAGGCGAGGCGAGTAGGTCGCACATGTAATCCACAAAGGCGGAGCCCCTGGAGGGGGAGGAGTGAGGGGAGATGTTGTGAAGAAAGGACGGGGAGTAGCAAGGTGAGCGGGAAGGCAGGACTGCCTCGCGGGGCAGGCGAGCAGGTCGCACATGTAATCCTAAAGGCGGAGCCCCTGGGGGAGAGAGGGGGTGGTGAGGAGGTGAGTAAACGGCAAGAGAAGGCAGGTGAGCTGGTTTTTGAGAATTCTCGAAAACGGCAAGAGAAGGCAGGTGAGCAGGGAGGTAAGGGCAGGCGAGGCGAGCAGGTCGCACATGTAGTCCACAAAGGCGAGCCTCTGGGGGGTGGAGGAAAGGGTAGAGGGGGGTAGAGGGGGAGGTGAGGAGAGTGGAAAGGAGGGGGTGAACGACACAGTAAGGGCAGGCGAGGCGAGCAGGTCGCACATGTAATCCACAAAGGCGGAGCCTCTGGGGGGGGAAGGGAAGGGGGAAAACAGGGAGGTGGGCGCAGAAAAAGGAGGCGGTGAAGGGGAATAGGTGGAAGGCGAGGCGAGCAGGCCGCACATGTAGTCCACAAAGGCGGGTCCCCTGGGGAGGGGGGAGGAAGGGGGGGGGAGAAAGAGGGGTAAAACGGGTGGGAAGGGGAGTGGTTCGAGAGGCAGAAGAGTTGGCTTTTGAGTCGACTCAAAAGTCAACTTAAAGAGGGGCAAAACGGGTGCGAAGGGGAGGGAGGGGTTCGAGAGGCAGAAGAGAGGGAGGGAGAGTTGCAGGGCAGGTCGCTCATATATTCCACACAGGCGGAGCCCCTGGGGAGGGGAAGGGGGGGAGGGGAGGAGGAGAGGAGGAGGGCACGGGGAAAGGTGGCGGAATAGAGGGGAAATGAGACAGGCTAGGCGAACAGGTCGCACGTGTAAGCCACAAAGGCGGGTCCCCTGAGAGGGGGAGAGGAAGGTTGGGGGAGAAAGAGGGGCAAAATGGGTGCGAAGGGGAGGGGTTCGAGAGGCAGAAGAGTTGGCTTTTGAGTCGACTCAAAAGGTTAGGGGAGAAAGAGGGGTAAAACGGGTGGGAAGGAGGTGACTTTTGAGTCGACTCAAAAGTCACTCAAAAGGTTGGGGGAGAAAGAGGGGCAAAATGGGTGCGAAGGGGAGGGAGGGGTCCGAGAGGCAGAAGAGAGGGAGGGAGAGTTGCAGGGCAGGTCGCTCATGTATTCCACACAAGCGGAGCTTCTGGAGATACATGGGTGGGAGGGAGGCAGGGTGGGTGGGGTGGTGGGAGGGAGGCAGGGTGGGTGGGGTGGTGGATTGATGAGAGGGAGGGAGGAGAGGGATGCAGGAGAGGGATGCACATGTAGACCACACAGACGGAGCCTCTAGGGGAAGGGGGGGGAAGGGCGGGAGGGAGGGGGCAGGGAGGGGGTTTGGGTGGGTAGGGCCAGCTTACCTGGATGGCTCATGATGTACGTCAACTCACTCGGTGATTCACGTGCTTAAAACGGGTGTGCTTATAACGAAGATAAAACGCACCCACCTGTTCCTGCCATGGTATCGAAGCACGTCCTCTGGGCTGTTTGAGTACGCCCAGATCACGTGGTGGCTCATGCTGTACGTCGGCCCGTTTGAAGAACCACGTGCTTATAGCGAATGTGCTTGAAACGAGCGCCATAATTCCTGCCGTGGTATCGGAGCACGTAGTCTCGTCGATCTGAGTAGGCCCAGATCGCGTGGTGGCTCATGCTGTACGTGGGTTCACCACAGGGCGTTTCATGTGCTTGAAGGGGGTGTGAGTAGGCCCAGATCACGTGGTGACTCATGCTGTGCGTCGGCTCGCTCGAGGGGCTTCATGTTCTTTAACCGGATGTGCTTGTAACAAGGACACATACACCCACCTGTTCCTGCCGTGGTATGGAAGCACATCCTCTTGTCGGTCAGAGTAAGCCCAGATCACATCGTGGCTCATGCTGTACGTCGGCTCGCTGGAGGGGTAATTAATGTGCTTATAACGAGGCTATGTGTAACAACTCAACACACACCTGTTCTTGCCATGGTATCGAAGCACATCCTCTCGTCGATCCGAGTAGGCCCAGATCACATGGTGGCTCATGCTGTACGTCGGCTCGTTAGAGGGGGTTCCTCCCCCTGGTGTGCTTATAGCGGTTGTGCTTGTATTGAGGATGGGCGGGTTCGAGGCGAGGCTCCGGGAGAAGCTGGATGGGGGCAGCAGGGGGATGGGAGGAAAGGGACGCGAGAGCGGGGGAAAGAACGGACGGAAGGCAGGTGGAGGAGGGAGTGGGGGTGGAGGAGGGAGTGGGGGTGGAGGAGGGAGTGGGGGTGGTTTTGTTGGAAATTAACGAGAGGTAAAATTGGCTGAGAGAGAGGAGAGACAGAAAACGCAGGGAAGGGAGGAGAGGAGGGGAGTGGCGGGGAGGGGTAAGCGTGTGAAAGGGGGGTGAGGAGAGGTTAGGCTTTTAGAAATCTTAAGAAGCAGCTAGCGAGATGAACTAGGGGGCACAGCTAGAGAGAAGGAATAACAAAGTTGACCGTCACACGCCCCAGCTGACTCATCCACCACACCCGCTGACTCATCCCCCACACCAGCTGACTCATCCGCTACTACAGCTCACCGCATTACAGTCGACCCTCGAGCTGACGTGTAAATGCTCCACCCCTCCCCACCGCTCCCCACCTCCTCTCCTCCCCCGTTCCCCGTAGTTTCCACCAATCGCCGCACATCTTCCAGCTTATACCCGCTAATAGCATACGACGCCACGCCAGCCGCGCCGCCCAGAACACCCGCTTTGCCGCCCGAACCCATCCCCTTGCCGCCCGGTGCTTGGGCGGCAATGCCGGCCGGAGATCCCACGATCGCCATGCTCGGGACCATGCGACCGTCGTGCGACCATCCCACGGCGACCCACCCGTTCTCCGCGCCGCTTCCAAAGCGCGCCTCGAGCGCGAACTCGAGGAAGAGCAGGTTGCGGCGCACCCAGTGGAGGACGAGACTGGGGGAGGTGGGGGGCAGGGGAGGGAGATGGGGAGATTGGGGGGAAGCAAGCTTGTAGCGCTAACTCGAGGAAGAGCAGGTTGCGGCGCACCCAGTGCAGGATGAGACTGGGGGGGAGATGAAGGCGGGGAAACGGGGAGATAGGGGTAGAGTGGGCGGGAGTTGGCTTTTTGTTGACTTAAAGCGCGCCACGGGAGCGAACTGGAGGAAGCGGGTGTTGCGGCGCACCGAGTGGAGGATGCGACGGGGGGGGGGGATGAGGGGGAGGTAGGGGGAAAGACGGGGGAGATAAGGGGGAAATGGGCGGAAGTTGGGGGGAAAGGGAAGGGTGAACTATCGAGTTAATTCCAAGCGCGCCTTTCAGGCGAACTCGAGAAAGAGAAGTTTGGAGGCGCACCCAATGCAGAATGAGACTTTGCGGGGGGTGGATGAGGGGGGAAATGGGCGCAACAGTGGGGAAGTGGGCGGAAGTTGAGGGGGAGGAAGGGGATGGCTTGGGGGGGAGAGATGGGGGGAAAAATGAAGAAGAGGGCCCCTCAGATGCCGAAGCGCGCCTCGAGCGCGGACCGGAGGAAGAGTGCTCGTTTACGTCTCTTTCCCTTCGCTTCAGTCACACCCTTGCCTGAAAGCGCCGGCCCCTCATTTTAATCACCCCCTTCACAAGCACACACACCCTTACCTGGCCTTCGACAGAACCACCGAGTGGCTGAATCACGCCAGCCCCGACGGCAAGCACGACCCTCAGATCGCTTACGTCACCTTCTCTTCGCTTCAATCACCTCGTAACTCAGCACACATGCCTTACCCGGCTTCCGACAGAACCACCGAGTGGCTGAATCCCGCCAGCCCCGACGGCAAACACGGCGCGACGACCGCGGCACCCTCGCTACCGTCCAAATTCCCCAATGGGTCCCCGTGCCACCCGAAACTCGCCTCTACCGCCGCCACTTCCGCATCACCTGCCGCCGCCGCCGCACGTGTTCCGGCCGGAGGTGCTGCAGCTGCGAGTGGCGGCTGGAAAACGACGACGCAGATTAGCGTCCAAACACATAAAGCCGGGCATTTCAAGAACCATGTTCGAGCCGCGATGCGGGAAATACGCTTTTTGGATTCAATCATTAGTGCGGTGCGAACGGAGTCGGCCGATGGTAATTCGTCCGCTGAGCACGCAGCGCAACTTATGGGAGAATGGCGGGAATGTTCATCCAAACGTCTCTGAACCGACGGCGGAGTTGAGAAAGTCGAGGGAGTTACGGAAATCACGGTTTTAGTTCCCTCGAAGTTTAGGGCGGTGGTAGTTTCTAAACCGCGTAAAGGCGCTGATAGTTTCTTCCTTGACGGCGGATGGGGGATACGCGCTATTGAATGATGTGTTACAAGCGAGTCGCACTGTTGGGACATGACGTCTCGTGACGCGCCAACCGCCGCGCTAGCTGTGATAAGCAACTCTTAGTAGTGGCCTAATTGGTTCAAACGTCGGAAACCTGAAGTGAATCGCCTATCAAGCTCAGTTCTTTTGCTCTGTGTGATCTGCGTTGACGCTGCTCGCGGCGTTTCAATTTCGTACTGTAATGTGCTCGGAAGAGAGTTTCGATTCAATCTCTGAGCTTCCATTCCAAATTTGCCGTCACAGAAGTGCTTCAGCTCGGCACCGTAGCCATTGGTCGTCTCGCCTCCGAGCAGGGCAGGTTTGGTTGGATTGGGATGAGTGACCGTCGTTTCGGGGCTGCGGTGCGGAATAACGGGCCCAGGGTTGTTCAAACAGGGCAGGGGCCAGGGCAAGCCGCATGGCATGTGGAGCGGAAGGCAGGAGAAGGTGTTTAGTGGAGAAGGGGCAGCTGGTAGTACCTCTGCGGTCCAGAATACACCACAGTTGAGTGTGAGAGCGTGCATTGCCCCCTAGCGAGCAAAACAGGTTTCAGGGATCGTCAGTTCGTCGTCGTGCAATGTGCGACAGGAGGAGACTATGGAGGTCTGCGACGGGTCGTCGTGATTCCTGAATGTGGTGGAAATTCTATGGGCAGGTGCGTGGAGTCGGATAGGTTCGGTCGGGCTGGTCATAAATTTGTCGCGCAGCGCGATCCGTCATCAATCCTCCCACACAAGTTTACAAAGCATAAGTGTATTTTCCACTGGTATCTGTTTCGGACGCAATACTTGGGAAATGATTTCGTTTCGGGACATCAGGAGATGTGAGAGTTGGGTGTCAAGGTTGTTTTTGTGAGTGCGGGCAGCGGGAAGTGGAAATTACACTTGTGCTTTGTATCCGAGACGAGCCGCGGATTCGAAATTTGCAGCATGAAAATTCGGCAATACCCGCCGCCGACCCGAATCGTTGACTCCACGGAAATGTCATGTCCGTGACCAAGCCACGTCAGATGGGTGGACGCGCGGCGCGTCAATTGTGCTGGCTGGCATGGCTAGTTACCCGTTCAGGCTCGGAGAAAAGCAATAACCCTTCGTTGAGTACATCGATAATGCACTTCAGTCTATGCAGAGCAGCCACCTCTTCAGCAGTGCAAAGAAATCGCCAGAGAGCTTACAAGCCATGTCAACAAATGACTAAGTAATACTACTGCATCCCAACCTATGGCTTTCAAGAAGCACTCCGTCCCTTGGAATGGAACAGCATCTGCAAGGCGCCATTGCCACACCATAATCAGTAATGGAGCAACAAGTGTAGCTTATTCTAATGCCTTTTGCGCCTCTTATCATCATCGTCGTCGTCGTCGTCGTCATCATTATCATCGTCGTCCTCATCTCCATAATCCTCCTCCGCCTTGCTTGAGGGAGCATACCGGCACGAAAAATCCACCTTTGCGGTGCCACTGGGGGCATTACAGCAAAACAGAAGCAGCGCAGCAAGGGAAAGAAATTAGCAAATAAGAAATTAGTAAAAAAGAGAGAGACCTTCCATTTCAGGGGGGTATGAGGCCGCTTCTTCATGAACAGGAAAAAAGAGAAGGGCAAGCGAGAGGGATAAAAGCACTTACTAGCTGTTGCCGTGGAAAGAAAGCGAGGGAAAGCCCGGGCGGGAGAAGGCCCAGACCAGCTTAGATAGGCCAGCCATGGGGAATCGCATCACCACTCCCGTGTTCTTGGTGCGAGAGAAGCTGTTAGGAGATGGTTGGGGGGGAGTGGGGGAAGAGTGAGCGGGGGAAGGAGTAGACGAGCGTGGTAAGGCCAGCATCACCACTCCCGTGTTCTTGGTGCGAGAGAATAGGAGATGGTTGGGGGGGGTGGGAAGGGAGTGGGGAGAGGGGGGGGGTGGGTGGTGTGAGCGGGAGAAGGCACAGATGAGTTTGGTCATGCATGCCATCCAAGAAAAATCGCATTATCATCCCCGAGTTCTTGATGCAAGCGGTTAGGGGAGGCAGCAGGTGATAGGGGATGGGGAGTGAAGATGCATAGTCAAAGTGCTGTTGGTTGGAAGGAACTCCCATTCTGTACCCTGTATTAGCATACGTCAATGCAGCACCCTCATTGTGATAACAGTGTATAAAGTTTCGACCTGGATCCAGCAGGTGACTCGTCCTACTCCAACAGGTAACTTGTCCTAATGGCAGAGCTTAGGCTAGTAGGGATAGCATACGTCAATGCAGCACCCTCATTGTGATAACAGTGTCGTTGTCCGCAGCTCTCATCCTGTAGCCCTTATTAGCACACATACACCATCCTTATAACGCATCACCCACTCACGTGATAACAGTATCATTCGCCGCGGTCGTGACCGTCGCCGCGTTACTCCCGATCGAGAACGCCGAAGTTGGCTGAATCCTGCCCATGCTGTACCCCTTAATAACATACGGCATTACAAGCCCGCCAGCCAGGTTCCCGATAACAGAATCAGCGGGCGACATCTTTCCTTTGGGCGACCATCCCAGGGCGATCCAGCCATCCTTGGCCCTGCCTGCCGCCTTGGCCTCTATTGCCATGTCCACCTGTGTGGCTGACACTGGGGTCCAGTGGAGGAAGAGACTGGGGGGGGGAGAGGGAGGGGGGATATTTGGCGGGGAAGGGAGGGAGGGGACATGGAAAGGGAGGAGAAAGGGAGGAAAAGTATGAGTCGACTCAGAAGAGGGAAGAGGAGGGGGCGTGGGGGAGGGGGAGGAGGCGGGGGAAGGGGAACTTCCTTGGTAGAAAGCAGACATTTGCAGCAGAGAGAAGATGGAGCAGGGAGAGAGGAGGAAGCAGAGAGAGGAGGAAGCAGAGAGAGGAGGAAGCAGAGAGGAGGAAGCAGAGAGGAGGAAGCAGAGAGGAGGAAGCAGAGAGGAGGAAGCAGAGAGGAGGAAGCAGAGAGGAGGAAGCAGAGAGGAGGAAGCAGAGAGGAGGAAGCAGAGAGGAGGAAGCAGAGAGGAGGAAGCAGAGAGGAGGAAGCAGAGAGAGGAGGGAGCAGAGAGAGGAGGGAGCAGAGAGGGGAGGAAGCAGAGAGAGGAGGCCGCAGAGAGAGGAGGCCGCAGAGAGTCACATCGGGTGTTCTAACTTGGAAGAGGATTTGGAAGGGCGCAGGGCGACTTGGAAGGCGAATCCAGGGAGGGTGGATGCGGGGAGGGTGGATGCGGGGAGGGTGGATGCGGGGAGGGAGGAGGGAAATGGGGGCGGGAACCGGCATGCAGTGCATGTGAGGCCAGCACAAGGGGCATGACTGCAAGAGCAACGGACAGACACTCACTTGGGCGGGCGCAGGGCGACTTGGAAGGCGTATCCCGGGAGGGTGGATGCGGGGCAGGCTCTACCCGTGGCGAAGGAAGAAGGGGGGGGAGGCGGAGGGGCCGGGGCGCTGGTGGTGGGCGGAGGGGGGTTGGAGCCTGCCCCGCCAGCGGGGGGAGGCGGGGGGGTGCCTGTTCCGCCAGTAGGGGGAGGAGGGGGGGTGGTTGTTCCGCCAGTGGGGGGAGGGGGGTTGGTGGCGGGCGGAGGGGGAGGCGGGGGGGCGACGGGGGAGCCATTGCAGGAGAAATCGACTGTGAAGACTCCGCTGGGGGAGGGGGAGGGGGGGGGGATGGGGGAGGTGGGGGTGGGAAAGTGGGTGCGGGGGAAAGTTGGGGTGGAAGGGGAAAGAAATGTAAGCCGCAGTGGGAGGTAAGAAGGATTGTCGGAGGAGCGACAGGGGAGCCGTTGCAGGAGAGATGTCGACAGTAAGGGTTCCGCACAGCACAGCAAAGAACAGCACCGCACCGTACAGGACCACATGTACCTGCCGGCACCCACCTGCCCCTATCACTCACTAGTGCGAGCCGTGGTAAGCAATGGTCTTGGCGCCGCTCTTGGAATAAGCATACACCATCCTGTTGCTGCCCCTCACGTTCACCGGCGCCACCCCTCCGTCGCCCGTGCTGCGAGTGAACCTGACGAGACAAGAGACAAGAGCACCCAAGGAAGATACGGTATGAGGAGTGGTAAGAGAGTGCAAATGAGGATCAGGAAGGGTTGGTGTGTGATTCGAGCGTACACCATCCTGTTGCTTCCCCGCACGTTCACCGGCGCTACCCCGCCGTCTCCCGTGCTGCGAGTGAACCACGTTCACCGGCGCTACCCCGCCGTCTTCCGTTCATCTGGAGAGGCAGGAAGAGAAGGGCATGAGGTTTGGGATGGTGCTTGCAAGAGGTTCGGTATGAAGCTCGGGATGAGCGCGAGGCGGGAAACACACGAGCAGGTTGCTGCGTGTCGCGTTGACAGGAGCCACACCACCGACTTCAGTGCTGCGAATGAACCTGGAGAGGGAAAATCACACGAGCGTACGAGGTTCGGAAAGAGGGTTGACATGAGGTTCGGGCAACGCAAATCGGTTGCTTCCCTTTTCATTGACGGGAAAGAGGGTTGACATGAGGAACCACACAACCGCGCTGCTCTGGCCGCCGATGTCAGGGCTGCAAATGAACCTGGAGAGGCGAGAACACCCAAGGGTACGAGGTCCGGTAATTATTGTTAGGACGAGGTTCGGAATGAGGTTCGGTACGAGGTTCGACATGAGGTTCGGTATGAGGGCTTGGTATGAGGCTCTTTGAAGGACTCACTTCATCCTGGCCATCGTTCCGCCCATGAACGACCGGCTCCCCGGCCAAACGGAGAAGCTAATAACGGGTACAGCACATCGCCCCCCAACCCTCACTTCATAGTAGCCATTGTTCCGCCTGTAAACGACTGGCTCCCCGCGCCAAACGCGGTCGTGGCTTTCACCGTCGAGTAGGAAGTAACGGCGTACGTATTAACGGGGACGGGCGAGCCCTCCCTCTTCCACCCCCCCCCCCCCTCCCCGGCACTCACTTCATCGTGGCCGTCGTTCCGCCCGTGAAAGCCTTTCCGCCCGCGCCGAACGCGGTCGTGGCTTTCACCGTCGAGTAGGAAGTAACGGCGTACGTATTAACGGGGACGGGCGAGCCGCCCTGGTTCGCGATGACCGCGTCTGACGTCACCATGCCGCCGGACTTGGAAAACGCGACGCCGAACCAGCCGGTAGCGGCGGCGCCGGTGGCCGTCACTGCGAGCTCTAGCAGCGATCCGGTCGTGACTTTCCAATGGAGCTTCATGCTGGGGGGACGGAGGAGGGAGGGGAGGGAGGGGGGAGAGGAGAAAAGCGGGGGGATGGGAGTGGGGAACGCGACGCCGAACGCCGGCGAGCTCTAGGAGGGACCCGCTCGTCGTCGCTTTCCAATGGAGCTTCATGCTGGGGAGAAGGGAATGGCGGGGGAGTGGGGGAAGCGGAGGGGATAGAGAGGGGGGCGGGAAAGCGCGACGCTGAATTAGCATCGAGAAATTAAAGATTTGGACATTTTTGAAACGCTTTAGAAACGTCCCGCTAGCGTTTCTAAGTTGCTAAGTTGTCTCGGAAATCTAACATTATCACTCCGAACCGAAACCCTAGCCGGTAGAAAGAGGCGTACTTTGACCCGAGGGCGACAGCCTTTTGAGGCGACCCAGAAATAGTCTGAAAATAATAATAACAGTAAAAGAATGCGCCACAAAAGCCGGTAGAAAGAGGCGTACTTTGACCCGAGGGCGACTGACGATGTGAATCCCGCGAGCGACGACGGCGAGCACGTCGCCAGCGGTGTAACCAGATTCACCAGCACACGCCCGCGATCACGGGATTCGCCAAAGTTTTCGCCATCACTAATTTCCCCTTCGCCATCATTATGGGACGTCGCGGCTTTCGTCGCGACTGCGCTCGATGAAAATACTAGTACTAGTAGGAGCACGGCCATCGTTTGCAGACGACCGAGTCGGGGGGGGAGATTCGTCGCTGACGCGGGAGCCATCGGCCTATTATTCGCGAGAGTTTCTGGTAGCGGTTGTGACTCGCTGACGGAAAGCTTCGGTCGAAGTGACGGAGCGGTTCGAGCGGAAGGGACGGAGCGGATTGTGGGGGTGGCGGAGGGGGACGGAGCGGCACGACTGGAGGGGAGCGAGCGGCGATCGAAATGGACGGAGCGGAGCGTTTGATGGACGCACTAAGTGGCTGTGGTATTCACCATCCGTACTACTAGTAGTGCGGTAATATAAAGTAATCACTGCAAACAGGGAAAACCAACTGACCTAAAATGTCTAGTGACCAACCGACTGAGGAAAATGACGGAGCGATGGTGTGTGACTTTGCACGACGCGTCGTCGCGAATGATTTGCGACGGTGCTGCTTTCCGCAGTCAGGTCTACTCAGTTCACTCTTCGTGGCTCGGGACGGTTCCATGCGGTGAAAGTGGCATCTAAGATTCACCGTTTGAAACTTTTATAAACCGTTCTAGAACGTTCATAAACTGTACCCGTGACTTGCAAGCTCGATGAAATACCCTCTGCAGGAGGAGAAGGTTCAACCAACCAACCACCGACCATGTGGCGAGCGCGTGCTCCCTCCCTCCCTCCTCCCCATACTGTACCACCAGAGGAAATTCGCTGCAACGCCACGCCAGACGTGCACGCGCATCGAACAGTGCAGGCAGCAAAACTCCATCGAATCGCCGACACTCATTCCAGCTGTCATTTTTGTGAAGATAAGAAGAGCACGTGGCTGGGCCCAACCCACACACGATTACTGCGAGAGCCTCCCTCCGCATGCTTCGCTATGGTGTACGTCTCGGTTTGTGTCGCCAACACCTTTCAACATGTGCGAGTGTAGCGAATTCTTACATAGAAATCAACATCTCTGCATGCAATTTGCTCTGGTTTTTATGCATAATCGTCCATAGTCATTACGGTTGGGTCTTGCAATCCATTGGAATTGTATTCAGTATCAGGATCATACGGTGATTCTTAAACACCATCCGCAGCAGACAGAGGCCACTGAGGGTGGTTAAGAATCACCCGATCTCAACTCCTGCACTGCACCACTCACATAACCAATAACCAGCACCTGGATCCCCTCAAATGGTGCAACATCTACAAAGCCCCATAATACCACTGCCTCTAAAATCACCACTTCCGTAAGATATGGCCCGGTTGGATCCACCACACTAGGGTCTCGTTGAAATGTTTCTTCGCATGCTCCCATCCCATCCCTTCAGATATCCTAAGCCCTTTAGGAATGCTTTTGGCTCTTGCCCTTCTTGCCATTGCCTCGCCCGTTGCCGTTGCCTCGGCCGTTGCCATTGCCACGCCCCTTGCCCTTGTCATTGTGATCACCACCCTTCTTGTTATCATCATCGTCGTCGTCGTCATCATGACCCCTCCCTCCGCCACCGCTCCCCCCTCCAGACGATGCAGTCTTGCAAGAGAAGTCCACAGTAGTGCGACCACTGTGAAACGAAAGGTTAGGAGAAGGGGGGGGGGGTGCAGGCGAAGAGAAGGAGAGGAAACAGAAGGTTAGAAGGGTAGAGGAGGATGTTACGGAAGGATAGAGAAGGATACAGAAGGGATGAAAAGGTGGTGCCGAGGAAAATTGCAGCACGGCATCACACATCTCGCAACACTCAATATGAGCCATCAGTCACTATAAGCCGTCACTCTATACGGAGTATCCCACAACACTCTTGATGCGCCAACGTGGAAATGCAGGCGGTTGGCGCCTGACAGCAACTGACAACCTTAAGCACCTAGAAAATTATACCCCTTATAAACAGCCCCAGCACACTCACTATGCGCCGCCGTGGAAGCCGAGGCTTTTAGACCCCGACGGGGAGTAGGCCCACAGCAGGCTGTTGCTCCCTGCCACCTGCACCTTTGCTGCCGAACCTGTGCCCTGGGTTCGGGAGAACCTGAAAGAGAGGAGGTAGAGCAGGAGAGGAGGGAGGGATGGGCAGAAGAAAGATGGACATGTGAGCAGTTGAAGGGGAGATTGTGCAGTGTGCGTGGGAGGTGTACAGGAGATGTGTTGAAAGACACCCCATTTCTTATTACAGTTAAAGAGAGAGAGAGAGAGAGAGAGAGAGAGAGAGAGAGAGAGAGAGAGAGAGAGAGAGAGCACTCACTTGACCACTGTTGACCCGGAAGCAGTGGTGGTGGTGTTGGCTGTTCCGATGGAAAAAGCAGTGGTGCGCTGAATCGAGCCCATGGAGTATCCACCAATCTTATACGCCGCCACTCCGCCGCCCGCCATGTTGCCAAAGACCGCGTCAGAAGGAGCCATCTTGCCGCCCTTGGCCCATGCGAGGGCGATCCAGCCAGACTTGGCCGGAGCGGCAGTGGCTTCGATGGCTAGATCGAGCTGGGAAGCTGAAGCTGCTTTCCAGTGGAGCAGCAGGCTGTAAAAGGGGCAGGGGAGGAGAGAGGAGGGCAGAGAGGGATGCCTGTTAGGACAGCGTTGAAAGGGGTCAAACACTCCGCCACCTGTCATGTTGCCAAAGACGGCGTCAGAAGGAGCCATCTCGCCGCCCTTGGTCCTTGGGCGGGGCGGCTGTGGCTTCGATGGCTAGATCGAGCTGCGAGGCAGAAGGTGCTTTCCAGTGGAGCAGCAGGCTGAGGGGATTGGGGGAGGGGGAGCGGGAGAGCAAGAAGGGGGAAGGGGGAGTATGGTACTTTCAGCAAGTATGATTGGTATATCTGGGTAGAGGGTACGCGGGGCAGTTGAAAGTGTGGAGGGGGAAGAGGTGAGAGGAATGCCAAGGGGGTTTTGAGACGTCTCAAAACAAGAGAATCAGGAGGAAAGGAGTACACGCATGCTTTTCCTGAGCTGACTCTGGTAGGTGTATCCGGGGAGGGTGGACGCGGGGCAGTTGGAGCCTCCCCCAGAAGAGAGTAAGGGAGAAAAGAACACTTACGTGGTGCCCTTGAGCTGAGTCTGGTAGGTGTATCCGGGGAGGGTGGAAACATGTCAAGACTCAGATGTTTCCATGTTGAGACCCCCATGTTGGACATCTGAGACGTCTCAAAACAAGCAAGTATGGACGATGGAACCACTCACGTGCTGCCCTTACTCTGGTAGGTGTATCCGGGGAGGGTGGACGCGGGGCAGTTGGAGCCTCCCCCAGAAGAGAGTAAGGGAGAAAAGAACACTTACGTGGTGCCCTTGAGCTGAGTCTGGTAGGTGTATCCAGGGAGGGTGGATGCAGGGCAGTTGGAGCCTGCCCCAGAAGAAGACGGCGGAGGGGGAGGGGCGGAGGTGGTGGGCGGGGGAGGGGCGGAGGTGGCGGGCGGAGGGGTGGAGGTGGAGGGCGGGGGAGGGGCGGAGGTGGAGGGCGGAGGGGTGGAGGTGGCGGGCGGAGGGGGCGCGGGGGTGGCGGAAGCAGAGGCGTCACAGGAGAAGTCCACGTCAGCACTGCCACTGCGATTGGGGAGAAAGGAGGAAGGAAGCAAAGGGAAGAGGGGGGAAGCGGGGGGAAGAGGGGGGAAAGGGAGGGGCGGATCGGGGGAAAGGGAGGACGAAGGGGAGAGATGATGTGAGATAACGGGAAGGTGCCAGGGTGTCAGCTTGCTTCTATCCCATTGCTGGGTGGGTGCGTGCGCGGGGATGAATCCCTGGTATGCAATGCAGTTCCACGTCAGCACTGAGGAATGACAGAAAAGAAATCCACGTCAGCTCAGTCACGAGCTAGTGGCTGTTCGACATGTGACACGTTTAATGACGAACTAGTACTAGTAGCACTAAATAGTGGGTGCTATTAGAACATGTGCGTTTAATGACATGTGTTACGGTAGGCGACCGTGTTAGAACCACTGGCGGAGAAGGCCCAGATGAGCGAGTTGATTCCTGCAGCAGCAACACCCCCCCTTACAAGCACTACTATCACGTACTCGCAGTGCTCATATTGCCCACTAGCACTCACTAGTGGCCGTTGTGGTAGGCGACCGTCTTAGAACCACTGGCGGAGAAGGCCCAGATGAGCGAGTTAACGCCTGCCACGTCCACAGCGACCGATGAGCCGTCACTGGTTGACCGGGTGAACCTGGTGGGGGAGCAAGAGGGGGAGGAGGGAGGAGTGGGGGGGAAAGGTGGGGAAAGTGGGTAATAGGACACTGGCGGAGAAGGCCCAGATGAGCGAGTTGACGCCTGCCACGTCCACAGCCACAGCCGAGCCGTCACCCGTCTACCGGGTGAACCTGATGGGGAGAGGAGGGAAGGAAGGAAGGGCGGGGAGGCAAGTCAGTACTCTCAGTTTGGCCGAGAAGGCTCAGATGAGCGAGTTGACTCCTGCCACGTCCACAGCGACCGATGGGCCGTCACCCGTCGACCAGGTGAACCTGGTAGGGGGAGAGAGGGTGGGGGGGAGTCGGAAGGAGAAGGCTCAGATGAGCGAATTAACGCCTGCCACGTCCACAGCCGCAGACGAGCCGTCTCCCGTCGACCGGGTGAACCTGGTGGGGGAGAGGAGAGAGTTAGGAGAGGAGGACTCGAATCCAGCCCAGATGCGGGAGTTGATGTGAAAGCAACTGACTTGTACGACACGAATACCAGCCCCGATACAAGGCAACGCGATACTCACTTGGCGGTGGTGGTCGTCGTTCCCGCGGTCAGCGACACGCTCCCCGGAGTGAACGTGCTCGTCGCTGCGACGTTGCTCGCCGCGTATCCCGTGATTCTGTACGCTTTAATAGCCGGCGTGGTCGCGAGGTTGCACATCACCGCATCTGACGGCGCCATCGCGCCGGGCGACGACGCCCACGCCACGGCGAACCACCCCGTCCCCGCGCCGCTGGCGCGCGTCGCCTCGACGGCCAGCTGGATCGTCGACGTGGCGGTTACCGCCCAATGCAGGCGCAGACTGGGGGTAATTAGAGGAAGATTCGGGGGAGTGTGTGGACGGGTGGGAAGGGGACAGGGAAGGCCAATGCCAGGTTAGCGCGGGCGACTCGAAGGTCACCTCCGGTGTTTAGCCCCGGCCAATGCAGGCGTAGACAGAAACGGTCGGGGCGCGCGATCGCTATAACAGGAAACTACAGCGGATCGCCGAATTGTAACGAAGTAGGATTAACAGCTCTCGTGGCACGAACGCATCGTGTGCAAGCACCGCGCTTCACGGGCGGCGCATCAATCTGCAGATTGAACGATCTATTTTCCATACGCATCGACGACGCTCTTACCCACTCGCGAGCGCGATCGACGACGTGTAACCCGACAGCGACGACGGGTCGCACGTGCCAGTCGCAGCAGGTTTGACGCTACTAGTAGCAGACGCCGTCGTAGGCTGCGCGGTTTGAATTCCCGCGCGAAACGACGAGAAAATCTGCGACACGGCGGACGCGACATTCCATCCCCAGCCCGATCCTGCTGGTTGCGCCGCCAGCGCATTTTGCGGCAGAATCAGCGCGGCAAAAACCAGCGCTAAGAGGGGGAGCAAGCGTGTTGCGAGCGGGCGAGTAGTGGTCCTTCGTAACGGTTGGTGCGAGCAGCGTCGCGGAAAATGCGGAGCCATCGTTGAAAAAATACGTGATTAGGCTTGAAAGAAGCTGACGGCGGAATATGCGACGGCGAAGAAGATTAATGGCCGAGAAACACGCGCGGAAATGGCGATGGGTGCGGATGGATGGGCGGCGGGTGATTGGCGGTGGATTGTCGCTCCGCTCTGATTGACTCTCTCTCTCGCGCTCGGAGCTTCAAGCAGGAACAGCTGTCGAAGCCAGGTGTTGAAGCGGGGATAGAAAAGAAACCCCGATTCAGCTTGCTCTTCTACTAGCCAGATAATTCGTTCGGAATTCCATTCGGAAGTGCAATGGGGAAGAATGAGAGAAGGGGAAACTGATGCGGGAGTGGGGGGACAGAGTGGTGAGGGGGGAAGATCAAGTCGGGGAGAGCAGGGAAGAAAGGGGGATGTAGGGGGGAAAGGGGGATTTGGGCGCGACGCGACGCGATTGGGGAGTGGTGTCGGTGGCGCAGAAATTCAGATGGCGCGTGTCGCGCAGTTCCGTTCCCATCCATTCATTGCAAACGTGGCTTGCCAGGGAAGCCAGGTAAAAAGCACGGGCTGCCGCCAAGGGCATGATGAAGGAAGAAATATCGGTTCCGTGAACACTCAAACTGCGATTTTTATGGTATCCAAGTACCTTTTCAAGGTTTTAGAAGCAAATGTTTGACCAGTACACTATATTATTCTCATTAGAGGGCTGACGAGCACGTTGAGAAACTGCACCAAGTTTCAACGCGGAAATGACACTTGCGGTTGGTGTTTCGGTGGGTTTGGCGGGGGGAGGGCACGGGGGAGGCACCACCAGTGTTTTTGGCTGTTGTTGTAAGTTACAAATGTTCTCGATTAGAGTCCCCGTGAAAAACACGCGCGCTGCGGGCCTTTGTGGAAAACTCACAAACCCCGGGCAAAAGGGAACTTATAGTCCCGTATAAGGAAAATTGCATGAAGAGCGATTTACCTTCGCTACTATTCGTGTTTTTCTGTCACATACGTACATTCGGACTACGCTGTCTTCAACTTCTCGTCGCACGGTTTTCCGCGTTGATCAGTGTCGCAGGACAAACGGGCAGAAAAATACAAAATAAATTATGTTTATGGCCGAAATGAAGGACAACATTTTTTGTTTTACACTGTAAGCGAGACTAATGAGATGGCATTGTCGGAGCTCGCGGAGAATCGCGCGACAGAATTTAGACGCAATAGCGGTCAAGATAAACAGACAAACACAACTGCAAAAAGTAAATAGTAAAACAAAACTTCCTTTCGTTCTGTTTTCCCTGAATGTTCTGACAGGTTCGATTTGCGTCCTCTGATTGGCTGCGGAACTGATTCGTGCAATGATTCAGTCAAGATGCAAGATTTCCCGCCAAAAATGGGACTGTAGAGGAGGGGATACACCTAGGACTTATGTGAAAAATCTACTCGTTGGGGAAATGGGACTCTTTTAGGAAGGGCCTCTAAGCCAGAACATCTGTACGTCGGTGGTGCTGCTCGCTCAACTACACATATTGACTGCCAAGTTCACCAATCACAAGGCAGTTACATCACGAATTCGTTGACGGCAGTCAACATGACAGGGCTGGCCCAGCGGGAGGGGAAATGGTGCACACCGACCACGAGATTTCCACGAGCCAAGACGAGGCTGGAGTGGAGAGAGGGGTCTTGCTCCAGCGGTCAACAATATTCATACAGTACTACAGTACACGAAATAGTGCGTGGCGAACACAGAAAAAGAGTGTGTCGGAGCAATTTGGGACAAGGGAGGTCGGTCACAACGAAGTGTGAAGTGTAGAAAACGAGAACAAAATTCACTTACTACATCCGACAGTCTAAGGCTCATCTTTATCCTCAAAGACAACTTTAACATTATATGTATCATCATTCATAGTGAATGATCAGAGTGACTAACTAGAAAACAAATCCTTCCATTGTCCTCATGCACATTCATATTTTGTGTAGCCTCAATAATAAATTGTCAGTGGATGCTAATTGTACCTCCGTTTGAAATGAATCATTTGGGTTGAAATTGATTTTTAAACCCATTATTAACAAAACAAAAACGAGCTGTAAGTTGCTTCATGGGTACACTAGTTTTTTAGATCTCGATCAGTCCAGTGTAGTGCGGTACTCAATGTGGATCAGTGCACCATAGTGCGGAAGTCAATGTCGACAGCCTGGTACGCAAAGCAAGCTAAACCGTACATCCATCCCAGCTTCGGGTGTCAGATCGGGACGGGGTTTGGTTGGTAAGGCGGCGCACGCTCGGAGAACGTATCCCATGCCATCCCTGCCCGTGACGAGAAAAACTCACAGAAGCAGTGGTACACTACTTGGCTTCATTCACCAGCATCCTCCTATTGCTAATGCGAGACTAACATGTCTGGGCGAACCCAAGCTGGGCACCACACCTTTTTTTATCAAAACAAAAGTTTTTAAGCTGGTTACTTCCGAACCACCTGCACGCTTGACGCATGAGGTATGGCACTTTTCCCTGCAAATCACCAATTGCAAATCACCAACTTATGCAGGGTGTCATTTCCGAACCTTGATGCGCTGGTTCAAATCAACAGTGGAGCACCGCGGGTGATTGAGCTTGGTGTTTGGCTGTGCTCCAAGCCTCCATGAACGAACCGAACTCCAACTAACCCAAGCCTGAAGGCGCTAACTCAAGTGAACAGTGCTACCCTGGGCACCAAGGTCTGGGGGACAAGTTCCAGCGCGGCGCGCCACCGCTGCAAATCGGGGGTCCATTTGCCCAGCAGTGTCCCATTACCCACCCAGGTGCATCTGCCGCGCCGCGCTTGTCCTTTACTCAATCCACGCTGTCGCAATAGCTTCCGCGTAGCCTTCCGTTCCGACCAGTGGGAGAAGCCAAAAATGTCAAACCTGGCGCCCCATTTCCCCCCGGCCTTTTCCTTTCCCCCCTACGCCCCCAGCCTCCTCCACCCATTCATCCACCGCCCCGCGCGCAACATCAAACCACGCTTTCCCCATTTTTTACCCTCTGACCTAGGGGGAAGCGGGAGTTGGGGGGCACGCCGACAGACGGATTCCCGTCCCCTTTCCTCCCCCCCGCCCCCACCCAATGCATCCCGCGCGTTGCGCACACAGCAATTTTTTTCGCGCGCCTCCTCTCCATTTTGCCTTCCTCCCTCCGACCCATCCCTTTCCACTTCCCTTTCCGCCCCTCTTACCACTCGTCGAGTATTTCACGAGCACGACTCCAACCCGACAACACAGCAAGTCTTGGTTCCACACACACGCCTACTACTTCTCTTGTGAACTAATAAGCTTAGTCCTTTGTGGTGCTCTTCCCAACAACGTTTCAGTGGAGTCGCGTCGCGAGTTCTCTTCAACGGCTCGACCATCTCAGATCTGACGGCCCGAAGCGGTCAAATCTGACGACGTTGGAGGCCGCCTGTAATCAAGATCAGGATCGAAGCTGCGTCTGTTCGGCAATCTGACATTCCTTTCTCCGACGAGTCGGTCCTTCCAAGCGCTACCACGATGACCTGCCGAAGTTCGCGCGGCGCGCTTGCCGCAGCCACCGCCACTGAACCACGCGCGGACACGCGTCGCCGCTCAGGCGGAAGCGCTTGCCACAAGCGCGGCTCCCGCAGATCCGCGGCGTTCCTGGCGCTCCCGATCCTGCTCCTCCTCGTTCTCCTCCCGACAGTCGCGGCGCAGCTGACGTGGGGGGGTTTGTTCCAAGGAATAGTCGACTGGGCTAAAGGCCTCTTTAAGGGGGATGGCGACGACGATGACGATGGCGGTTCGTCGTCCTCGTCTTGTACCGCGTCGTCTCTTGCCGGATACACGTCATCAGTCAGTCTCGGAAGCGCGTGAGTGCTTGACCTGGTAGTTTCCTACTCGTGGAAATGCCGCTTTTCTTGAAAACGTCAACTTAAGCGCTATCCTCGGTGCTTCACCTTTTTCTCTATTATTTTCGTTTCTGTTATACCTCTTTGCCTTTTGCGTTTTCATGCATCGTGTACCTGAGAAGTTTTCCCAAGTCGGCGCCGCTCAGCTGTGTGGGTCGTCGTTTCACTCAACCGCCCGGTCCCTTCTTCTCCTTTTTCCCATCCATTCCCGTTACAGTCTTACCTTACATTGGACCGTGCCCGCTGGCGGCGCGAAGGTAAAATTCGCTCTGGAGGCGGACGGCGGCTCGAACGCCGCCAGCGGTTGGATGTCCGTCGGATTTTCATCGGACGGTGATATGGTGCCCGCCGACGCCGTGATCGGGAACATGGGCGGCACGGGGGTGTACGCGTATCGTATCTCGGGATACGATCGATCCGACGTGGCGCGTACCACTTCGTTCACGATCTACGCGCCGGGGTTAACTACCACGTCAGCGAAGACGATAATGACGTAAGCATTCCATCGTTTTGAGCCGTTTCCCCTTTTTAATCACTCTCTCGCTCTCGCTCTTTCGCTCTACCTCTCTCAATCTCTCTCTATCTCTCTCTATCAATTCCTGCTTCCAGTGAGTTATGTTTTCCTTCTCTTCCCTCCTTCCTATCCTCCGCCCCTTCCCCTGCTCCCTCCCGCCGCCCCTTCCCCTCCTACCTCCGCCGAACCTTCCGCGCAGCTTCACTCGGTCCACGTCAGACGGGAGCGTGAGCGTCAACCCGACTGGCTCGAACAAGCTCATCTGGGCCTTCTCCTCCTCGGGCTCCAAGACTCTCGCCTACCATGGCGGCAAGTAGTAAGCTCCTTCCCTCCCTCCCTCCCTCCCTCCTTTACTCACACGGATTGGTACAGTCACATCCCCCTCTCTCGGTCCCCTCTCACCTCCCCGTTTTGCCAGCGGAAGAACCACCGTTGTCTTCTCGTGGTCCTCTTCGTCATCTGTATTCGAGTGATTGAGAATTCTAATAACACCTTTTCCCTCTCCCCCCTTACCCTCTCACCTCCCCGTTTTGCCAGCGGAAGAACCACAGATGACTTTTCATGCTCGTCCCACGTCATTAGAGGCACCTCAAAGTCTCTCCCCCTCACTCCCTCCCCTTCCCCCCGTTCCCCTTCACCTCCTCCCTTTGTCAGTGGAAGAACCACAGTTGACTTTTCTTGCTCCTCCACGTCATCCGGCTCGGGATCAGGCTCGGGTTCAGGTTCGGGATCAGGCTCGGGATCAGGCTCGACGGGTAACGCCTGCGCCAAGTCGACCCTGACTGGATACTCCTACCAAACTCCGTTGAACGGCAATAGGTGTGTGGAGTGGTGAAGAGTGTTTGGGTGGCTAGTGGTAGGGAGGTGTGTGAAGGTGTGGAAAGGAGCGTGCGGTGGTGAAAAACATGCGCCGACCAATTTTAGGTGGCTGAATGGGGCCAGGTGTGTGAAGGGGTGTGGAGATGTATAATGCGGTGACGATGTTCTCCTGTGCCTGTGTGTCAAATGGACCTGTTCAACGGTCATTTAAGTTTAACTGGACCTCTTTTTTTTTTTTTTTTTTTTTTTTTTTGGGGCCTTGTTTTGTGCATCCTTTTTCACGCCCTCTACTGTGCGTTCAACCTGCTATCCTCTATATAGTCTGCTCCTGCATTGGAACAAGGAGCGCACCAACGGTGCAGTGACAATAGTAGTAGAAGCCAAGTCAGGAGCAGCCAATTCCGGATATTTTCCCCCTAACTTCCTATCCTCTATACAGTCTGCTCCTGCATTGGAATAAGGCGCGCAGCAACGGAGCAGTGACAATGGCAGTAAAAGCCAAATCAGGAGCAGCCAAACCCGGATATTTTTCTTCCGCCAAGACAGCTAATGCCAAACCCCCATACCCACTTGTTCACCCCTAACTTCCTATCCTCCATACAGTCTGCTCCTGCATTGGAACAAGGCGCGTGCCAACGGAGCAGTGACAATGGCAGTAGAGGCCAAGTCAGGATTAGCCAAGTCCGGATGGGTGTCCCTCGCCTGGACCAAGAGCGGCAAGATGGCTCCTGCTGACGCTGTTTTCGGGAATCTAGCGGGCAGCAAAGTGGGCGCGTACGAGATTAATGGGTACACTGTATCCTCGATACAGCCCGCCTCGTTTTGGATTGGGCAGACCCCGCAAACGATCACGTCTTCGAGTGGTTCGACTGTGGTCAAGTGAGTGTGAGGGAAGGTGTATGGGGGAGTGTGTATGGGGGAGTGTGAGGGAGTTTGGGCGGGGGTGCGGGCGTGTGGGACGGCTGGAGTGGGAGAGTGGGTTGATCGGGGAGTTGGGGAGTGGTAGAGGACATAGAAGATCAACGGGTACACTGTATCCTCGGTACAGTCCTCCTCGTTTTGGATTGGGCAGACCCCGCAAACGGTCACTTTAACCTCTGGGTCAACTGTGGTCAACTGTGGTCAAGTGAGTGGGGAAGAGTGTGAGGGAGTGCGGTCGGGGGAGGTGAAGCAAGGGAGTATGGAAGATTGAGGGGAGTGTGGGGGGGATATGGAAAAGTGCAGAAGTGTGGTGGAGTATGGGAGAGTGTAGATGTGTTGAAATGGGATTTTTTTAATGTGCCATCCTCTTTCCCCTTCCCCCTCCGTCCCCTCCATCCCTCCCCCCTTCACCCCCAGCCAAATGCTATCTCTCCTCTTTCCTCCTCCCTGTTTTTCTCCCATGAAATAAAAACAGCTTCCACCTGTTTTCCCCCTTTTCCGCTCTCCTGTTTATCCCCTTGCTCACTGTTCACACCACTCCTCCCACCACTCCCCACTCATGTGTTCCTACTCCCCACTCCACCGCTCCCAACCTTCCTCACCTTTCTCCACCGTTCATCCCCCTTGGTTGGCCTCATCCCCTCAGGTTCTCCTGCAAGCATGCCAACGGGAGCAGTGTCTCGCTTCCTGGCATACAACAAGAACAGCCTCCTGTGGGCCTACTCCCCCTCCCATCCACCGCACCCAACCGCTCCCCACCTCCCTGCACCATACTCGCTTTCCCTCCTCTCTGCCCCATCCCCTCAGGTTCTCTCGCAAGCATTCTACGGGATCAGTGTCGCGCTTTCTGGCATACAACAAAAACAGCCTCATGTGGGCCTACTCCCCCTCGGGCTCCAAGAGCATGGCCTACCATGGCGGCGCATAGTGAGTATCAAGGTTGCTTGTAAGGAGTATGCGTGGTTGTGTATTAGAGGGTGTGAATGGTGCTGGTCTGCATAGAAAACACCCCCATGTGGGCCTACTCCCCCTCGGGCTCCAAGAGCATGGGCTACCACGGCGGCGCATAGTGAGTGTACCAAGCTTGCTTATAACTAGTATGGTTGGTTGCTTGTAGGGGGGGGCACGGAGCGAACACGCCATGTGGGCCCACTCCCGCTCGGGCTCCAAGAGCCTGGGCTACCACGGTTGTGCATTGCGAGTGTTATTAAGGTTTGTTATTGGATATATCGGATTGTTTCTTATTGAGAGTACGTATTGTTGCTTGTAGGGGGTATGAATGGTGGTGGGATGAAAGAAAGCACCCTTATGTGAATATCTAGATGCTTATACGGTATGGTGTACAAATAGCGGTGGCTATTGTGTTGGTGTCTAACCTGTTTTCCCTCCTCCTTTTTCCCTCCTCCTTTTCCCTCCTCCTTTTTCCCTCCTTTTTCCCTCCTCCTTTTCCCTACTCCTTTTTCGCTCCTTTTTTTCTCCTCCTTTTTCCCTCCTTTTTCCCTCCTTATTCCCTCCTCCTTTTTCCTGCTTCTCTGGTTCTCCAGCAGACGAATCACTATGGATTTCTCCTGCAAGACTGCTGCTACAGGCGGCTGGAAAGGAGGCGATGACGATCGTGTTTATCCTTCTCCCCTCTTCCTCTTTCTTGCCCCCCCTCTTCCTTTTCCCTGTTTCTCCAGCGGACGAATTACTGTGGATTTCTCCTGCAAGACTGCTGCTACAGGCGGCGGGAAAGGAGGGGGTGATGATGACGACGACGACGACGACGACGACGACGATGATGATCGTGATCATGACAGGAAACGTCGCGACCGCGAGCGCCACCGCCGCTGGCACCAGGGGTAGCAGTGACAGTGGGTGGGGGCAAAGGAGGGGGCGACGAGACGACGACTTTCAAGGCACCTCGAAATCTGCCGCTGGCACCAGGGGTAGAAGTGACGGTGGGTGGGGCTAAAGGAGGGGGCGACGGCGATGGTGATGACGACGATGATCGTGACAAAGACCGTCGCGACCGTAGGCGCCATCGCCGCTGGCACCAGGGTTAGAACTTAGAAGCCACACAGTTGGGTTCACAAGTCATACCATTGGCGCTGGCAGCAGGGTTAGTAGAAGCCGTGCAGGGGGACTCGCAAGTCGTACTGTCGCCGCTGGGTCAGGGTTGAGTTTTGTTGGAGACAGGCTGTCTGGAGAGCACCGGGGCAGTTTGATTGCTGTGGAAGGCAGTATGGGTTTCCAGGATATGGAAATAAATGTCTCGGGAGCTGGTGGTGGTTTTGGGGAGGGGGTGAGGTACCTTTTTTCCTATAGTTCTTGGGACATCAGATGTGTATGAGGTGTACAACGTGGGGTTGTGAATTTGAGCCACGGTGATGGCATGGCATGGGATGTCGTGGTACCGTACTTTGTGCACCTTGCTAACAGTGGCTTTAGAATTTGGTGAATCGTTTGGTTGCCTTCTACGCAGCTGCTCATGTCGTAGGTCTTTACGTGCTATGATTATCGTATTTAGCTACATGCATGTTATATACAATATGGAAGGGCTTATGCGTGTCATATGGAGTTTCAAGCTCGCTCGAAACAATGCAGATAATTTTATTCCACCGCAATGAAGTGAGCTCACGTGACATGGTCACATGGTAGTACAGTCGATGCTCAGCCTATCGCAAAAAAATTGCTCCCCACGATTAGAAATTTAGTCACTCGCGAACGTTTTGCCCGTGAGTGACTAAATTGACAATTCTGCCGATATCGGGGTATAGTCACCAACTTGCGGAAGAAAAACATCTACAGTTCATAAACAACAACGGTTGCCCGTCATCAGAAAAGTTTACCTGGTTACGAAATTAAAGCCCGTGTCTCGATTCACATTGCAATTTCATATTACAGTCACATTTTTGCCCGTGGCGACAAGGGCGAATGTGGCGAGAAGCCCGAAACACGTTTCACTCACATGCCGCCCGCCTACCTGGTGTTCTTGAAATGAGCACCGATTGTACATTGAAACATGAGGATATGACCGCTATAGATATAAGCAAACGAGATGTGGTAGCAATTGGATCCATAACCAGGTTTTCCATGAAGTCTCTATACCGATGCAGATCGAAGTTCGTGCATATTGCACCCTCCCTCAATCCCAACCCAACCTGTGTTATCGTGACTCGTTGAATCTGACCCTGAGAAGCGCCCTCTTCTTCCTGCCCGCATTGCAGGTCGGGTTCAGACAGGCTTTTGCTCCGAAGTCTTAGTTCTTGCTGCCCCTATAACTGCCCGTGGTGCAATTCTGACAAACACGCAAGAAGAATGTCAACTGGATGGTTGAAAATGACTGCGAGGTGGAGATTTTGTAGTCTAACTCGTTCAAGATCTGCCCGTCTTTCAGCTCGTCCAATCTTCTGATGGGAAACCAGCCCGACATACCAAAGCAGGGTGACCCTGTGCCACGTGCCAGATGGGATGATTTGTGGAGGCCGAGCCGAGACGCATCTCGAATGAGTGGTGTCAATGTGCGCGCCTCGTCATCATGGACTTGGAAAAGAAATCGCACGCATCTGCATTGCATCCCAATTTCCAGCCCTTCGACAGGCGATGTATCATCGCCTTGGCTCGCATCTCTTCTCTCGAAATCGCCACCACAAAGCACCTCCACACAACCACTATGAGCAGGCTCAACCAGCAGTCACACCACTCCCGTAAGCTGCTATAAAGTTGAGACGACTGACATTGGGAAAAAGGATTTTCACGTAAGTTGACGCCAGAGCACGATCGCTCGTGCAAAACTGGTCGCGAAAGTAGCACACAGTGAAGGTGTGCACGTCACTCGGCTTTCTCTTATCTCTCAGACGTCGCGAGTATGGCGCCCCGTTCTATTGCCCTTCTCGCCTTCCTTGGCTTACTTGTCCTCGCTCACGCCCAGAAAGCTCCAGGCAGGAACAGACGCGAAAGTCCATATGATCAGTCATGGGATTGGGAACCTGTAATTTCGAAGCCGACTGACGAGTTTGGCGAAGGCGAGCCCATTCACGAGATTGACGAATCATGGGACTGGGCTGTGACGAATCTCCAGGCAGCGGACGAGTTTGGCGAAGGTGAACCTATTCACGAAACCGACGAGTCATGGGAGTTCGGCGAGTCGTCGTCCGACGCATTTGGCGAAGGCGAGCCTGTGCACGAAACCGACGAGTCTTGGGACTTTGGCGATAGCTCTGGTAACTCCTTTGGCGAAGGCTCACCAATTCATCAGACCGACGAGATGTGGGGATTCGACGACGGGGTCGCTGGCGACTCCTTTGGCGACGGGGAGCCGGTGCACGAGATCGACGACGCGTGGGCGATTGGCGAGCCCGTCGTGAACGACGAATTTGGCGAAGGCGAACCTCGGTCGCAGATGGGTTCGTCGCAATGCACGAAGTCTTCGCTGCCGGGCTACAGCTGCTCCGCTGAACTCAAGGGCAAAGAGTAGGTTTCTCGCTTTGATATCTTCTTGTAACGAGATCACTTAGAAGGGCTAGAATCAGGGAAGGTATCGAATGCCTCTAAAAGTCTGCGCGCTTTAAACTTAGTTCCAACAATCCACGCCCCTTCCATCCCGCGCATATTTAGTTTGTCTCATCTCCATCCTCACGTTGAAGTTCGGCACTTCTCAGGAACCCCGTTGCACTGAATTGCCTCGTCACCGCCTGCGTCATTGCCACATGCGTTTCATGTTTTTATTCGCCCCCCGTGTGTCCCCTGTCCCCCATCCCCCGATGCAATCACATCAGTTACATCCTCCACTGGACCGTCGGCATCAACTCCGTCTCTTACGCCGCCGAAGTCGCAACCACCGGCTGGGTCGCCCTCGGCTGGTCCAAGGACGGCAAGATGACCGGCAGCGACGCAGCCATTGGCAATCTGCCACCTGGCACGATCACTGACACCGCGAACGGCAGCCCGGCGCCCATTGGCGCTTACTACATTCGCGCGAAGAACGCGGCGGACATTGTGCCAAACCCGCGTCTCGGACTGTCGTTGACTACCGTGACCACTAGCGACGGCAAGACCATTGTCGAGTAAGTTCAGCTGTTCTGTGTAGGCTATCATTGGCGCGAGCAATAAAAAGTTCAAAAAAATACCGGCTGTATTATTTATAACCCATTTCTAGGTTATATTTTGATGTATGGTTCCAGCTAGTCATGCTTGGATTCTGCCTCAACCTGTTTTGCCTTTCCGTGCAATAATTTCGCTCCCTGTCTGCAGATTCGAGAGGGAATTGGCTTCAGGCAACGTCCCCCTATTTCTCGATGCTGCTGCGAACGTCATCTTTGCTTACTCCGACGCAAATTCGAAGGAACTGAAGTATCATGGTGCCAACAGGTGTGTTATTCTTCTGCCGACTACCCCTATTTGTCTCCCATGACTCTTTCTCATCAACCTACCCAAGTATTCATAATCAATTACCTTCCTGACCATTTTACTGGGCTTTCGTGCTTGCAGGGGTTCTGCGAGGGTTGGATATAACAACGGCACAACCACAATTACCACCACTCCAGTTCCTACCACAACCTACGGGAATTCCGCGTCTTTTATCGCACACGGTTTCTTCATGACATTCGCGTTCGCTATCCTGATGCCGTCTGCCATCATTATAGCGCGTATGTTCCTCGCAGCTGACCAGATTTCGGACCCGCTATTGTACAGCACAACTGGTGACGCGAACGGTTTGGCTGCTGGGCTGACCGCAAGCCTTTCCGAGCAGGACGAAGCGCGAAGGGCTTTATGGTTCAAGGCGCACATGATCCTGCAGATCGTAGCCGTTGTTTTTGTTTTCACAGGCGCGGTCATTGCTCTGGTTACCAGTGGTACTCGCGGGCTGGATTACCTACACGGGCAGCTGGGGCTTGCGATTTTCATCATTGTGCTAGTCCTCCCCATTGGAGGATTAGTGAAGCCTTCGCGAAACTCCAGTTACCGTGTGTTCTGGCGTTTTGGTCACTGGTTCGTGGGAATTGTCGCGGTGGTGCTGGGCTGGGTGAACGTGTTCCTCGGCCTCGACCGTTACACTACAATGTTCTCTGGAAACCAGAAGGTGAGACCATGTAACATCATTACCATATCAATCCTCCTCACAACCCTTGTCCTTCGTACCACATCGCGAGACCTGTGTCTGCCCCCTGTATCTCCCCTCTGTGTCTCCCCTCCCCCCACACCACACGATGTCTTACACAATGTTATGCACAACTATTTTCCAGTATCGTGCTTTACTCCTTCAGAAGAGGCGTTTCAACGTGTCAACTCACATAGAATCTCATCTGTTCCTCTCACCTTCCATTCCAGGCGTACCTGATTATTATCGGGATTGCCATCAGCGCGTTCGGGCTGTTCTACATTGCACTTGTCATTCGCGATTACCTCTTCCGATCCAAGTCTGAGGACAACCAGTTCAAGGCCTCTGCAGCCGCTCCTGCGAACGGTGCAGGCGATGTGTAGAGTCTTTCAGTGCTGCTGGGTACAGTATGCTTCAAATAATGCATAAAAATGGCTGCTTGCTTGCTCAGTTGTCCTCCGATGTTTGCCTGTGTCACATTGGGCCAAACTAGGCCATGTGTGCTTGGTTGGTTGCGAGTACTGCATATGAGTAGCCAGCCATTTGCTTTTCAAGCAATATGGTAGCCTGATTACTGCATCACATCCACTGTAGGCTGTTTCCTCTGCATCTCGAGTCTTACGGTATGTATCAATCCTCTTGTTTCACCCAACCCAATCAAAAGGTTCGCTTGTTAACACACCCATCCAGCGGTTGACGGTGATAATGACAAAAGAAGGCACAATGCCATGCAGCAAAGCCAAATCAATTTCCTCGGAAACCTTTTAGACAATGAGAGTCAACGTAGATAACGTGAGATGTGCACATCCTCCCACACACCACCCCAGATCCTTACAGCTCAAGGCCCAAATTGTTCAACCTTACTAAGAGCGTGTTCCTACGGGCCCCTATCACGAGCGTGTTCCTACGCGTAGTGCATAAGGTTGGCCTGATAGGGGCCCGTAGGAACACGCTATAAGGTTGCCCTTTGGGTGGTGGGAGAGTAAGGTTGACTTTGTTGAAGTTGGGCTGTTTAGTTTCGCCCAGCTTCTCGCTACACCCTTAGGGTTTTCGCTGACTCAGCTAACCCCAGGGAGAAACTCGGTTTGGTTATCGAGTCCCAAATTGCACTCACAATATTCTTGGTGTTTCCTTCTCTCCTATTCGACAAAAAAACTGTTGGCCAATCAAATTGCATCGCACTTCACGTAACCACAATTCGCAGCCAAACAACACTCAAAACATCACTTTCATCAACTTTAGTAATCTTGCCCCGCGCGCTCTGCAATTTGGGCCTTGAGCTTTAACTCTCAGAGATCACTTCAGCTTGGTAGGCAGCAGTCAGAGCTCAGACAGACGCCTCTTGCCATGCCAAGCCAGCGAGTAACTACTGTCGTTTGGCAGCCAGCAGTCGAAGCACCAGAGCCTCTTGCTCTGCCAGTCCCAGCCCCACACCCTCACCACCAACAATCTTCCCTCCCTCCTTCCCTTGACCCGACAAACCGGCTACCCTAGCCTTCTTGCCAGGCCTGCTAGCAGATGCATGCCCCTCCGCTGCTTGCCCCTCGGACTTCACTCGCTTTCCCACCCTTCTCTCCCCCCCCCCTGCTGTTGCTGCTGCTGCTTCTCTCCTTCGCCGCATCTCATGCTGCTCCTTATGCTGTTTCCTTGCCTTTGCAAGGTCCTGTGCGCCCCATGCCAAAGGCACTGCTTCAGGCACCTCCTTCTCTTCCCCTCCCCTTCTCTCTCCTGCTCTCTCTACCCTTCTCTTTCCCCCTCTTTTCCTCTCCCCCACTTCCTCTCCCTCATCTTCACTGGAATCATCCCCATTCTCCCTTTCCTGTTCGTCCATACTGTCACTCTCCATACTATCACTTTCATTCCATTGCACACCGCCCTTTTCAACCCCCCTCTCTTCCTCACTCTCACCCTCGCTATAGTCACTTCCACTGCTCTCACTCCTCCCTTTGCCTCTTCTCCTCACATCCTCCTCTTCCTCCTCCTCCTCCCCCTCCTCCTCTTCCTCATCACTCTCATCATCATCGCCCCCCCTGCCCAGCATTACCACCCGCCCTCCCTCCTCCTCCTCCTCCCTCCCCTCTCCTGCCCGTTTCTTCACCTTCAACTTCTCCTTCAGCTTTTTCATTCGCAGACGCTCTTTTTCAACTGCCCGGTCCTCCAAATCCTTCTGCTGCATCTCCTCCCGCAGCTGCCGAAATCTTTCCTCAGCTGCCCGGGCGGCAGCTGTCAGCTCAGCATCCTCCCCCGCCGCCCTCTTCCCTGTCCCATCCTCGCCCTCCGCCGCCGCCCCTCCGTTTTTGTCCTTTTCCAAGGCAAGGGCGGCGAGGGGCGGCATCGGGTTGCCTTCCTCATCGAAGACCAATCGCGTGCCGCCATGTCGGCCTGGACCCGAGAGAAGCTTCTTGCGCTGCTTCCTGGAAAGAGTCAAGGTGCTGCGGGCGAGGAAAGAATGGGGATGGGGCGAGGGGAGAAGGGAGAGATGGGGATGGAGGGGGGCTTTATTTTTTACGCGGCCCAGAGAAGCTTCTTGCGCTGCTTCCTGGAAAGAGTCAAGGAGCTGGGGGCGAGTCAAATTTAAAAAGGCAGCGACGGGGGAAGGGGAGTAATGGAGAGAAGGGGGGAGGAGGAGAGGGGACTTTTGAGTCGACTTGAAAGTCATTTTGTTTCCTGGCGTGAGTCAAGGAGATGAGGGCGAGATAAACTGGGAAGTGGAAAGGGGAGCAGGGCGACAGCATGTATTTGAGGTGCCTATAAAATGCTTCCTGCGGTGCTTCCTGGAACGAGGCAAGAAACTGAGGACAAGGCAAAAAAAAAAAAAAAAAAAAAAACATTAAAGCACTTACTTCAGTATCCGCTTCTCCTCTGCTGCAGTCACCGCCCCACTCCTCCCCTCCTTCCCTCCCTCCTCCCCTTCCTCCCCCTCCTCCCCATCCAACAAATGATTCACCCTCTTAACCCGCAACAACTCATCCTCCTCTCCTTCCCCCTCCTCCCCTCCTTCTCCTGCTTCTGCCTCCTCATCATCCTCGGTGGCTCTCAGCTTATCATAAGAAGCCGACAGTACCCCTCTGTTGGTTCTCCCAAACAGGCGCTCGAGTTTCGTCTTCTTCTTCTTCTCCTCTTTCCTTCCCTCCCTTCTCTCTTCCTCTTCCTCTTCCTCTTCCTCCCCTTCCTCCCCTTCCTCCCTCTCCTTCTCTTCATCTGTATCCTCCTCTCCCTCACTCCCTCTCTCACTCCCTCCCTCAATCTCATCATCACTCTCACCATCACCCTCACCATCACTCCCCTCCTCACTCCCATCACTCTCATCATCACCAAATCGAATCTTCTGCCCCTTTCTCTCCCCTACGCTCCCCTTCCCGCCCCCCCCCTTCCCCTTTGCCCCTTCCGCTTTCCCGTGTGCATCCCCTGATTTCTCTCCCGCCCCCTTCGTTTTTTTCAGGAAGCGAAGTTTTGGCGGGTTGGGAAGCCCCATGGAGGCCGCGATTTCTTCCACGGGCAGCTTGGTCACGTCAAAAACTTCTTTGTTGCTCTGCCCGAGGGAAGAGCATTGGGAGGGGGGAGGGAGTGGGGGTGGGTGGGTGAAGGGAAGGGCAAGGAGGAGATTAGGTTTCACACATACAATAATGTCGTTTTTATATGTATGTAACATGTATATATATGTATAATATATTTATAGTGTATACATACGCACTCATACATTCATATACATACTCCAGATGTCATACCTGCAGGTGCACGGATTATAGGTAGGTAACAAAGGAGTGCTGAATGAGGTATTTGTATAAATGTGTGTATAAATTTAAAAGAAATATACCCATATTTTTATGTAGACATACATTATAGGGTCATGCCTGCAGGTGCACGGATCGCAGGTAGGTGACGAGGGAGCGCTGTGCCAGGTACTTGATCTCAGAGTCCTTTGAAAGCAGCGGTACACACATGCATACTCCATACCATACACACATACATACACATAGATACATATATGCGCATGTGCATGGATGTGTACTCCATACGTGCATGACATTCATACCTGCAGGTGCACGGATCGCAGGTAGGTAACAAGGGACCGCTGTGCCAGGTACTTGATCTCAGAGTCCTTTGAGAGCAAAGCTGCCAGCGCTTGAGCTATGGGCTGCATCTTGGCTGGGTTCGCCTGTTGGGTTTGGTGCGGTGGGGTGGGGTGCGGTGGGGTGCGGTGGAGTACGGTGCGGTGCGGTGGGGTGGGATGGTAAGGACAAGGCTTGTAATCTCAGAGTCCTTCGAGAGTAGCGCTGCCAGCGCCTGCGCTATGGGCTGCTTCTTGGCTGGATCTTGGCCTGTTGGGGAGTGGTCGGATGGGATGGAATGCGGCGCAGTGGGGTGGCAGGAATGTGCCATTCGTCGCAGACAAGGGTTGCGCCAGATACTTGATTTCAGAGCCCTTTGAGAGTAGCGCTGCCAGCGCCTGCGCTATGGGCCGCATTGCATCTTGGCTGCATCTTGGCCTGTTGGTTGGGGGAACAGGAGGGTGGGGTGCGGTGGAGCCGCGGTGAGTTGGGGTGCAGTGGGCAAGAGGAAATCTCTGAGTCCTTTGACAGCAGCTCTGCCAGCGACTTTTGAGTCGACTCAAAACTCTGCCAGCGACTTTTGAGTCGACTCAAAACTCTGCCAGCGACTTTTGAGTCGACTCAAAACTCTGCCAGCGACTTTTGAGTCGACTCAAAACTCTGCCAGCGCGTGGGCTATGGGCTGCATCTTGGCTGAATTGGGCTGTTGGGAGTGAAGGGGCGTGGGGCAAGGAACAATCTTAAGGAAAGGGAGGGGAGAGGCATTCCATAGGAGGCGGGGCGCAAGGAACAATCTTAAGGAACGTCCAGATGCATTGAACCTGGGCGTGCGTTTCGCGAGGTTGAGTCGAGAGACCCATTTGATGGAGTGTGCAGAATCGTACTGAGCCAAAAAGGGGGTTGAGTGAGCAAAAAATCGGCTAAAACATACTCTGGTTAGGGGAAAGGGAATTTCGGCTCATTCAAGGTTCATGCTGCTGCTAGAGGTTGAATTTTGGCTGCCTCCAAAAGCGGCAGCGTGGCTTTCTCAGAGGGGGTGAGCATTGAGCAAGCAGCCAAGGCACTAGATGTTAGAGGCGGTGAGTGAGCAGAAGAAACCGCACCGCACGTCCTAGACCACCTCTAGCAGAGTGACTTTTGAGTCGACTCAAAAGTCACCTCGTTACAATGGCACACGTCCTAGACCACCTCTAGCAGAGGCAGCAGCACGCCGTCTGACATTTTCCAGTGAGCACCAGTGCGGAGGTTCGGAACTCTTCTCGTTAACGAGAGGCACTTAGATGTTAGCAGAAGAAACCGCACCGCACGTCCTTGACCACCTGTAGCAGAGGCAGCAGCACGCACCTTGGTTAGCGAAAACGGGATCTTGGCGGCCTCTAGCAGCGGCAGCATTGCTTTCTCAGAAGGGGTGAGCAGCAGCAGCGAGCGTCCAGATGCATTGAACCTGGCCGTGCGGCCGACACGGTGAATGTACGTTGCCACGTCATCAGGGCAGTCCGCCTGGAAGGTGGGGAGGGGGGGGGTGAGATTGGGATGCAAAAGAACGCGGTATGTCAACAAAGTCAACGGGAGTCAAAATGCACAAGAGTCTAAGGAGAGTGAGTCAACCAAGTCAACGGGAGTCAAAATGCACAAGAGTCCAAGGAGAGTAAGTAAACCAAGACAACGGGAGTCAACGAAATGTACAAGAGTGAACAGAGTCAAAGGACACTAAGTCAACCAAGTCAACCCAGGTCAACAAACCACGCACTCACCTGCCACGACCCAGTCGACAGCAGGGAAGTCGAGCCCTCTAGCACCAATGTCCGTAGCGAACAGCACGGCATGATCCGAGTCACAGAAGTCAACCCAGGTCAACCAAGCCACCGTCTCTCACCTGCACGACCCAGTCCACGGCCGGGAAGTCGAGCCCTCTAGCAGCGATGTCAGTCGCAAAGAGCACGGCATGGTCCGAGTTACAAAAGTCAACCTTAGTCAACCCAAGTCAACAAGAGCCACATTCTCTCACCTGCACGACCCAGTCGACAGCAGGGAAGTCGAGCCCTCTAGCAGCAATGTCAGTCGCAAAGAGCACAGCATGGTCCGAGTCAGTGAAGTCATAGAAGGAGGCTGGGCGGGTCATCTGCTTCACGCCAAGTCAACAAAGTCAACCAAGCCACCCGCAATCAGCCCATACTGACCTGCACAACCCAGTCAACAGCAGGGAAGTCCAACCCTCTAGCGGCGATGTCCGTGGCAAAGAGCACGGCATGATCCGAGTCACAGAAGTCAACCAAAGTCCACCTGCATTCAAATGATCTCTCACCTGCACAACCCAGTCAACAGCAGGGAAGTCTAACCCTCTAGCGGCGATGTCCGTGGCAAAGAGCACGGCATGATCCGAGTCACAGAAGCCGTAGAAGGAGGCCAGGCGGGTCATCTGCTTCATGCTAAGCCAGCCCAAGTCAACAAAGTCAACCAAGTCAACCAAGCCACCCGCAATCAGCCCATACTGACCTGGACGACCCAGTCGACAGCAGGGAAGTCAAGCCCTCTCGCAGCGATATCTGTGGCAAACAAAACTGCATGGTCCGAGTCACAGAAGTCAACTTAAGTCAACTCAAGGCAGTCTCACCTGCACGACCCAGTCCACGGCCGGAAAGTCCAGTCCTCTCGCAGCGATATCCGTGGCAAACAGAACTGCATGGTCGGCTTCGCAAAAGTCGTAGAAGGAGGCGAGGCGAGTCATCTGCTTCATGCGTCCGTGCAGCAGCTTTAGAGCGATGCCGGGCCTCAGCCTTCTGAAGGCTTCAAACACGAATTTCACCTGGGAGATGGGGGTGGTGCAGGCCAGTGGTGAGGGGGGAGGACAATAGAGTGGTATAAGAGAGAGGCCAGGCGGGTCATCTGCTTCATGCGTCCGTGCAGCAGCTTCAGTGCAATGCCGGGCCTCAGCCTTCTAAAGGCTTCAAACACGAATTTCACCTGCATAAGTGGTACAGGCAAGGAGGAGGGGGGCACAGAGGTCGGATTAGAAGGAGGCGAGGCGGGTCATCTGCTTCATGCGTCCGTGCAGCAGCTTCAGTGCAATGCCGGGCCTCAGCCTTCTAAAGGCTTCAAACACGAATTTCACCTGCATAAGTGGTACAGGCAAGGAGGCGGGGGGCACAGAGGTCGGATTAGAAGGAGGCGAGGCGGGTCATCTGCTTCATGCGTCCGTGCAGCAGCTTCAGTGCAATGCCGGGCCTCAGCCTTCTAAAGGCTTCAAACACGAATTTCACCTGCATAAGTGGTACAGGCAAGGAGGAGGGGGGCACAGAGGTCGGATTAGAAGGAGGCGAGGCGGGTCATCTGCTTCATGCGTCCGTGCAGCAGCTTCAGTGCTATGCCGGGCCTCAGCCTTCTGAAGGCTTCAAACACGAACTTCACCTGATCCAGAGCGAAGGGATGGGAGGGGGGGAGTGGGAAAGTGGTATAGGAGGGTGGGGAGAGAAAGTGGCAAAAGTCGTAGAAGGAGGCCAGGCGGGTCATCTGTTTCATGCGGCTCACTGGTCATGAAGAAGAGCTGCAGCGTGAGGGATCGCCTTACGCTGGGTCATCTGTTTCATGCGGCCATGCAGCAGCTTCAGCGCAATTCCAGGTCTTCACCTCCAGAAAGCCCCGAATACAAACTTCACCTGGTTCAATGGAGGAAGGGGGAGGATGGAGCGGAGTGGGGGGAGGAGGGGGATGGAGGAAGGGGGAGGATGGAGCGGAGTGGGGGGAAGAGGGGGATGGAGGAAGGTGGGAGGAGAGTGGGTGGCCAGGCGGGTCACCGTCTGCTGCAGCCTTAACGGCGTCGCTTCCCTGGCCTCGGCATGCACAGAGAGGTACTCGGGCGAGGAGAGGGATTTTTGAGGCGCCTCAAAAACGACCTCAAGGCGGGCGAGGTCCCAAGCAGTGCAGTCCCAAGCAGTGCAGTCCCAAGCAGTGCAGTCCCAAGCAGTGCAGTCCCAAGCAGTGCAGTCCCAAGCAGTGCAGTCCCGAGCAGTGCAGTCCCAAGCAGTGCAGTCCCAAGCAGTGCAGTCCCAAGCACAAGGCTCATCACTACACCCACCTGCTTGCAGCCACCCAAACCCACCTGCTTGCACCCATCAGCACCCACCTGCTTGCACCCATCCGCACCCACCTGCTTGCACCCATCCGCACCCACCTGCTTGCACCCATCCGCACCCACCTGCTTGCAGCTGCTCAGAAACACGACCGTTTTCTTCTGCAAATGATTCCTCAGAAAACTCCACAGCACGTCCAGCTTCTGGGAAGCTTCCACGACCATCACGGTCTGCTGCAACCTTAATGAAATCGCCTCCCTGGCCTCAGCATGCATGGAGAGGTACTCGGGCGAGGAGAGGGAGAGGCTGTAGAGGAGAGGGAGAGGCAAGCGAGGAGTCCCGACCTCAAGCTTCACACACCACCTGCTCTCTCACCTGCTTGCAGCTGCTCAGGAAAACAACGGTTTTCTTCTGTAAGTGGTTCCTTAAAAAGCTCCACAGCACGTCCAGCTTCTGGGAAGCTTCCACGACCATCACGGTCTGCTGCAGCCTCAGCGGAGTCGCTTCCTTCGCTTCAGCATGCACCGAGAGGTACTCGGGCGAGGAGAGGGAGAGGCGGGCGAGGTCCCGCACGGACTTGGTTTGCGTGGCGGAGAAGAGGAGGGTTTGGCGGTGCGGGGGCGGCGGCAGGTTGGCGATTATGGCGTTGAGAGCCGCGGCGAATCCCAGGTCGAGAATCCTATCAGCTTCATCCAGAACCAGCATCTGGAGGAATGGGGAGGGAGATGGTTGGGGCAGAGGGAGAGACAGTTGAGGAGAGGAGAGGTACTCGGGTGAGGATGGGAGAGGCGCGCGGGGAGATGGAGCGACAGGAGGAGGAGGAGAGGGAGAGGCGGGCGAGGTCCCGGACGGACTTGGTTTGCGTGGCGGAGAAGAGGAGGGTTTGGCGGTGCGGGGGCGGCGGCAGGTTGGCGATAATGGCGTTGAGGGCTGCTGCGAACCCCAGGTCTAGAATGCGATCTGCCTCGTCCAACACGAGCATCTGATGGAGGGGGGTGGACGAACGGGCAACGGAAGGGAGGGAGACCGGTGGGGGGGCGGCGGCAGGTTGGCGATAATGGTGCTGCTGCAAACCCCAAGTCTAGGATTCGATCGACCTCGTCCAACACGAGCATCTGGAGGGGAGGGGGGTTTGGGAGGAGGAGGGGGGAGGGGGGGAGGCGGCCGGGGCAGAGGGAGAGGCGTGTGAGGAGAGGGATCCTGTCAGCCTCGTCCACACGTGGGAACAAGATGGAAGACGGGAAATGGGGGGAGGAGAGTGGGGGAGATGGAAAGGAGGAAACGGATTTGAGACGCCTCAAAACAGCAGAATCTAGAAACAAAAATTTAGACGTGGGGGATGTGGAGGAGGGAGTGAGGACAGGAGGAGGAGGGAGTGAGGACAGGAGGAGGAGGGAGTGAGGACAGGAGGAGGGAGTGAGGACAGGAGGGTAGGAGAAGGGCAATGTTTGGCGGTGGGGCGGTGGAGGTAGTATGGATATGGAAAGGGGTATGAACAGGTATGGTATCAGTTGACGCACACATGGTAGTTTGTGAATGTAAAAGGCAGCATACCTGGAGATTAGATGCGTCAAAATTGGGTGTCTCGTCCATATGCTGCAGCAGACGACCGGGCGTGCAAACGAGGATGTTGAGAGACTGGTGGGATGGGAAATTGGAAGGAAAGGTAGGGAAAGGGAAGACGCGAAAGGTTCAAGAAGAGAGGCATTTTGAGTCATACGTACGCTGCAGCAGATGACTGGAATTTTTAGCAAGTAAACTGACTGCAAAACAACCTAGGTGAGTGTTAAGAACCAAAGGTAGAACTTCACCCACCCACCTGCACGCGCTCCCTCTCCTTCTCCACGCTCCCCGCCCGCCCGCCAATGAGCAGGCCGCCCGAGAAAGGGTGGTGCCGCCCGGCCTTCTTGAGCTCGCCAAAGATCTGGGTGGCAAGCTCCCGGGTCGGCGATATGATTATGCCGCCCACTCCATCCATGTGCGACCAGCGCTGCCGATGCAGTCTTTCCAGCAGCTGAGCGGATCATTGGTAGAAGCCAGAACAGTGGAAGAGCAGAGAAGGCGATGTCAGAAGGGAAAACAGACACACTCTAGGGAAAGCCACCATGCCGCCCACTCCCACACCGTCCATGACAAGGGCACTAGGTTTGCAAGGGAGAGGGTGGGGAGTAGGTTTGCCTGACAAGGGCACTAAGCGACCACATTGCATCGTTTCGTTCGCCCACTCCCACGCCATCCATGTGCGACCAGCGCTGCCGATGCAGCCTCTCTAGGAGCTGAAACGAGGGGGGAACAACATTGATGAAACAAATCATTGGCGAAGAAGCATGATGGTAACCCATCAGAGGAGGAGGACAGGGTACAGGGTTTAAGTTGATACAGGTTTGCAGGAAAGAAGGGGTGCAAAATGCAACACGAGATGTTGGACGTGTCTTGCACAGGTTCCGGGGGGATATTTCCTTGAAAACCCGTCTACTGAGTGTATATTGAACATACAAAGGAACAAAAAGCTCACAGGAATGATGAACGCGAGGGTTTTGCCCGAGCCTGTCTTGGCTGCTCCCAGCAGGTCTCTCCCTCGCAGGGTGTGAGACCAATGCTACTAAGGTCCAGCTAGTGAGTGTATGTATAGCTTCACATAGGATAAAACTCACAGGAATGATGAACGCGAGGGTTTTGCCCGACCCTGTCTTGGCTGCTCCCAGCAGGTCTCTCCCTCGCAGGGTGTGAGACCAATGCTACTAAGGTCCAGCTAGTGAGTGTATGTATAGCTTCACATAGGATAAAACTCACAGGAATGATGAACGCGAGGGTTTTGCCCGACCCTGTCTTGGCTGCTCCCAGCACGTCTCTCCCGCACAGCGCATGGGGGATTGCAGCTCGCTGAATGGCCGTCATGTGCACGTACTCCGAATCCTGTTGTGCCACGTGGCAGGAAAGGAGGAGTTCAATGGAAGAACAGACGGAGACAATCTTTGACCCAATGCTGTCCTCTCTGTATAAAGGTTCAATCCGTTGTCTTTTTGTTGCTTACGGATCACCATCAAAAGCCCAATCCGACAGTTTTAATCTGTTTCGTGCCCCATAACCCTCCAAGACTATATCCTCAATAATCGCAAGCTCTGCAAATGTTAGGTAATTAACCCTCATAGATAAACCGAGTCCTCCACAATAAACCCTCAATCTAAACCCTGATAAACAAAACCCAAACCTTACCTTGAGTCCCTTCATCGTTCGCTTCGATATAGGCAGCTCCTCAAACAGCTTCGCGCCGACGTACGGCTCAAATTCCCCTTTCCCGCCCGTCGATCCGCCTCCTGCTGCTGCGAGCACCCCCTCCTTTGACGCATTCCTTTTCCTCTCTTTGCTATTCGCTGGCGCGGCGGGAGAGGCGGAAGCGGCGGGAGCGGAGAGATCCGCAGCTAGGGGATTCGAGCCCGGCGCGGGCGCGCCGGCGGCGATCCGCGCTTCGAGCTGCCGGATTTCCGCGATTTCTAGCTGGAGCTTGGACGGGGGTTTCTGGTACTGGTGCTTGTTGTTTTTCTGACCCTTTTTCTGCTGCCCGAATTTGCCTCCCTTTCCGTGCGGTCTGTGCGACCGCGGGTTTCCTGGCTTCGCCATGTACGCTCTATCTTAGCCCAGACTTTGCTGCGCGGCAGACTAGTAACTAATTACTCTTTGAAACGAAACTAGAGGGAATTGAAGCAGAGTGGAGCTAAGATAACAACGACGAGCACAGGTATCCAGCAAGGAACACTGGGGAGTGAGAAACCCTAAAGCCGAAACCTAGATTCTTCCTGAATTCCTCAGCTCAGGATTGCTTGAGCTTGCTTTTTCGTCATTGACATCTTCGATCTTGGTTGTTAGTCCGTGTACCTAGAAAGGTACCGGTTTGATCATACCAATGGAGTAATGCTGAAATTGCGCTGAGCTGTTGGATTGCGATTTGATGGACGGCTGAGTATTTCCTTCAGTTCCTGCCCAGTAAATCAATCATCCTCCGCCTCCACCACAAACGGTCGAGTCATTTGCTATCTCCTGCCCGAAATATACACAACAAAAAACGCGCTCACGGGCAGATTTTGAGACGCGCTCATTGGTGCAAGAATGCTGCCCTTCCTATTTCACTGCTGGTTTCCTCATGCGAATATATTTCGCCATTCCGTGAACCAAAATTGAGGAATCATTCTTCTTCTCAGCCCACTGGGAGTATCGCGACCGAGTTGGGCAGACCATTCTCCAATCAACCACGTTCACGGTCAACAGGTCCAGACACTAAATTACTTTCTTCACACAGCAATCACAAGAATTTTTGCAACCTTCCCACACATCTCAACGTTTGCATGCTCGAGCATCCGAAGTGGAGTGAAACACTAATGGTTCTGGTTCGCGGCGCGGCCTAGAATCACTTGATCTCGAGACTAATTCCATTCTTGAGTCTCGCGTAGGTTCCGTTTCCTTTCTTATAGTTTCCTAAATGGCAGACAACGGCGATCAAGCAATTGTTGTGTCTAACGCAGTATCTGACGCGGATCCAGGAATTGTTGGTCAAGAGGGTGCCACTAATTCTGAGACATCTCAAAACCCAGCAATTGCGGTTCAGGGAAGCGCTACTAACGACGCTGCGGAGGCTAGAAAGGAACAAGACGCGGAAGGCGTACGTCACGACGCGTCTTTGGATCGGCATCCAAGCGGTCATGAGATGCAGCAGCATGCATCCCATGAGAGCGCTACAGCCGACGCTACAGCGTGCGAGAAAGCGGGACCTGCTACATCAAACGCTACAGCCGACGCTACAGCCGACGAGAAACGGGGACCTGCTACAGCAAACGCTGCAGCCGACGAAACAGCTGAAAAAACAGTCGACGGAACGTCGGGACCTACAGCGGACGCTGCAGGGCCGCAGGGGACGGAAGCAGACCAGCCGCAGTCTTGTGACGTGGTAACAGGAGGCGACGAGATGGTCGCAGAACGACCCGGGGGCGACGCTGAGTGCGACGGATTAACCGTGGACGCGTTAAAAGGCGTCTCAGAAGTAGATATAGAGAAGTCGCAAGACGTTGAGAAGGCGGCTACAGCCGTAGACAAGGAGGCGAGGACGGCAGCTGCACTTGTGGACGAGGAGGCGGAAAAGGCCGCTACATCCGTAGACGTGGGGAAGGCGGCTACACTTGTGGATGAGGAGGCAGAAAAGGCGGCTACAAACTTAGACGTGGGGAAGGCGGCTACAGTTTTGGACGAGGAGGCAGAAAAGGCGGCTACGAATGTGGAGGAAGAGGCTGGGAAGGCGGCTACAGCCGTAGAGAAGGAGGCTGGGAAGCCGGCTACAGCTGTGGACGAGGAGGCTGGGAAGGCGACTACAAATGTGGAGGAGGAGGCTGGGAAGGCGGCTACAAATGTGGAGGAGGAGGCTGGGAAGGCGGCTACAAATGTGGAGGAGGCTGGAAAGGCGGCTACAAATGTGGAGGAGGCTGGAAAGGCGACTACAAATGTGGAGGAGGCTGGAAAGGCGGCTACAAATGTGGAGGAGGAGGCTGGAAGAGCGGCTACAGCCGAGGAGGCGGAGGTAGGGGAAGTGACAATAGCGGGGGCTGCTACTGAGGAGGAGTTACACCAAGTGACAATAACGGAAGCAGAGGTTGTGACTGGTGAGCCAGCTGAGGCGGAGTTAGACCGGGTGACAATAACGGGGGGAGATGCTGAGGAGGAGTCACACCGAGTGACAATGGCGGAAGCAGAGGCTGTGACTGCTGAAGCTGTTGAGACGCCTTTTGCTGTTGCTGCTGAAGCTGTGCTCTTGGCAGGCGCTCCTGTACCGGATGCCCTTATAACGGATGCTCCTATGACGGATGTTCTTGTAACGGATGCTCCTGTCACGGATGCTCTTATATTGGATGCTCTTGTATCAGATGCTCCAGTAACAGATGCTCTTGTAACGGATCCTTCTATAGATGAACCTGGATCAGTTCCGAATGAAGGGGCCACTGGGGGAGCCACCGGGGGAAGCACTTGGGGTGTTACCAAGGAGGGCGTTACTGGGGGAGGCGATATGCTGCTACAGTCTACAGATGATGAGGAGACAGAGGATGAGTGCAGCATAGAAGAAGGTTCCTTTAATGCAGAGGGAATGGAGAAAGACGGGCTTGAATTTGGCTGCAGAGAGCAAGGCGAGGCCGTGTATGCTAGCAGGGAGCAAGGCGAGATCCGGTCAGAAGCAGAGGTTGGGGCTACAGGCACGGATGTGAAGCGAGAGGCGGAGGAGGAAGAGGGACGTGCAGAGGAGGAAGAAGCAGCAGCAGGAGTAGGAGCAGCACGAGCACGAGTACCACTAGCGACCGGTACTGTTAGTGGCAGCAGGGAGCAGGTTATTTCAGCAGCAGCAGCAGCAGCAAGTCATGAAACGAGCAGCAGCAGGAAGCGGAAGCGCAAACAACACGGCTCATCATCATCATCATCATCATCCCACGCGCTCCGTCTATCCGACGTTCGTCACATGATGGCAAGCCCAGCCCTCGCCCGAACCAACGCCATCGCCCACACCATGCGAAAGCTCATAGTCTTTGCCACTCTTGCCGTCCGGGGCGGCTTAGACGCCTTACTCAAGCTAGAGTTCTCCCATTTTGTCGTTCTGAACCGGGGGGGTGAGTACCTGTCCCCGCAGTTTCCGGGCGAGCATGTTGCGTTTGTGCCGCCGCCGAGCCTCGCGCCGAGCCTCGTGCACAAGCAGTTCTTCCCGAACCTGCAGAACCCGATCCTGTGCCCGGTTCGGATACTGGACGAGGAGGCTCGGATGCGCCCGCCCGGAGCTGCGCCGAGCCTGTTTCTGTCGGCGAAATTTTCTCGCGTGCCTTCTTTCGGGCCTCTGAACAGGTGAGCCGGGCTCACTCATATGGGCAGGAGATTTTTCAGGAGATTTTTCAGGTCCCTTGGCGTCACTCCACTCCACTGTTGCTCATGCACCCAACCTACGTGCCCATTCCCCTTCCCCCCACTTTTCCTCTCCCCCCCATCTCCCCTTTTCCACCTCCCTTCCCCCCCTTCCTCCCACCCACCCATCCACCACCACCACTCCCCCTCCCTGTTTCCTCCCTCCCCCACATAACACCTGCACCAGCTGCGCCCGCCACCCCATGGGCTGAACTAACGTGTCTCGCTCCATCCCTCATCTAGCCGATGCTGTCAGCTGTCCGAACTGGCATGTCCTAACGACCAATCCCTCCTATATGCCCCTTTCCCCAGCTCTTCCCTCCCCTTCTCCCCCTCTCCAACCTCCCACCTCCCCCACATAACACCTGCACCAGCTACGCCCGCCACCCCATGGGCCGAACCAACCTGGCTCACTCCGCCGCCCACCTGGCAGATGCTGCCAAGGCGCACCAATCAATAGCCCGATTCTAAATGCCCCTTATTGAGGTGCCTCAACCAGAAAGAACCATTTGGTCATTCTAAATACCCCCTTCTTCCCTCTTCCCTCCTCTTCCTCTTAACCCCCCTCCTCTCCCTCCCCCCCCCCCCCCCAGCTACGCCCGTCACCCCATGGGCCGAACCAACCTGGCTCGCTCCGCCGCCCACCTGGCAGATGCTGCCGGGCTGACCCACGTGGGCAGGAGATTCTTCAGGTCGCTTGGCGTTACTCTACTGTTCATGGCTGGATTCTCCTTAGATGAGGTTTTAAGGGAGGCGAATTGCTCTGTTAAGAGTCTCTACACTTTGTACTCGCCAGAAGATGATGGGGGAGGGGGAGGGGAGGTGGGGGAGGAAGCGGGGGGAGGGGGGGAAGAGGGGGGAGAGGGGGAAGAGAGGGATGAGGACGGGCAAGAAGAGGAGGAGGGGAGGTATGGGGGAGGGGGTGGTGGAGGAGAGGGGGTAACCAGAGGGGAGATGGCGGGGGAAGGGGAGTTGCAGCAGCAGGTGGGGGTTCAGGTGGGGAACTGGATGGGGCAACAGAGCCAGGTGAATCAACAGATTCAGGCGAATTCTCAGGTGCCACTGAACCAATTTCAGGGGGAAGGAGGTGCCATGGGGGGACCGATGGGGGAGACATTGAGGGGAACTATGGGGGAAGGGATGGGGGGACCGATGGGGGAGAGATTGGGGGGAACGATGGGGGAGAGATTGGGGGGACCGATGGGGGAGAGATTGGGGGGATCGATGGGGGAAGGGATGGGGGGAACGATGGGGGAAGGGATGGGGGGAGGTGCAGGAAAAGAGATGTGGGGAGGGACCGCTGCTGCTACAACCACTCAATTACAGGGGCAGAAAAACGGGCAGATAAAAACACATGCGTCTGCACAGGAGAAAACCCTTGCGAACGGGAATCGAAGGAAGAAGGTGCAGAAGGTGCAGAGTCAAGGAGATGAGGAGAATGGGATACAGAATCAAATCCAGACTTCCCAGCTGCTGCAGCAATTGCAGGAGTATCAGACAGAATGTATACAGCTACAGTCGCAGCTGCAGAAGCTACAGTTGCGCATGGGGCAGATACGGACAGAACTCGCCGCCCGGGGGGTGAACGTTTCTGTGGATTGTGTAGAGGGGGACTTGGGGGAGAGCTTGGGGGATGCTTCGAGGGAGAAGACTTGGGGGACTTGGGGTGCGTCTCAAAAGGGAGACTTGGGGGAGAGGTTGGGGGGTGTTTCGAGGGAGAAGTGGCAAAAGAGGTTTTCACAGCACCGACCACAGGCAGACCAACAGCAGCAGCAGCAACAGCAAATTCAGCAGCAGAATCAGCAGCAGCAGCAGCAACAGCAGCAGCAGCAGCGAAATCAGCAGCAGCAACCTGCAAACTCGAGAGTTATTAACGGGGGCGCTCCCTTTTACCTGGGCGGCACAGGAACAGGTGGCACGATGCTATTGGCTGGAAGCTCGACCAATCACGCCTCATTCCCTGCTGTTTTGGCTCCTGCGGTTTCCCCTGCTGTTGCATTTGCAGCAGCAGCACGCAACACGTATCTGACAGTTGCTCCTCATGCTGCTGCTGCTCCTGCTTCTGCTGCTGCTGCTGCTCCTGCTTCTGCTGCTGCTGCTGCTGCTGCTGCTCCTGCTTCTGCTGCTGCTGCTGCTGCTTCTGCTGCTAATCCTGCTACGCCTATTGCTTCTCCTGCTGCTGCTCCTGCTGCTGCTTCCGCGGTTGTTGCAGCTGTTGCTGCTACTCTTGCCCATTACGCAAAAGGGTTGCCTCCTCTCCCGACTCCTCTCTCCATGGGTTATAACGCCAATAACGCCGCAGGCAGAAATATCTTTCCAACTGCTGGCTCTGGTGCTTCTGTTGCTGCTGCTGGTGTGATGGGTGGTTCTGGTGTAATGGGTGCTAGTGGTTTGATGGGTGGTGGTGGTGTGATGGGTGGTGGTGGTGTGATGGGTGGTGGTGGTGTGATGGGTGGTGGTGGTGTGATGGGTGCTAGTGGTGTAATGGGTGCTAGTGGTGTGATGGGTGGTGGTGGTGTGATGGGTGGTGGTGGTGTGATGGGTGGTGGTGGTGTGATGGGTGGTGGTGGTGTGATGGGTGCTAGTGGTGTGATGGGTGGTGGTGGTGTGATGGGTGCTAGTGGTGTGATGGGTGGTTCTATGGGTGGGGTAATGGGGGGTGGTTTGGGGGGTGGTATGGGAGGGGTTATGGGGGCACAGGGAATGGCAGGGATGCGAGCAGGGGTGATGGGAGCAGGAGGAGGGGGAGGAGCGGGACGAATGGGGGTTATGGGGGCAGGCGGAATGGGAGGGGCAGGAGGGGGAGTATTGAGAGGGGGAGTGATGGGAGGGGGGGTGATGGGAGGGGGAGTGATGGGAGGGGGGTTGATGGGAGGGGGAATAATGGGCGGGGCAGGCGCAGGGGCTATGGGGGCAGAAAGAATGGGAGGTACAGGGGCAAGGGCAATGGGGGCGGAAGGAATGGGAGGGACAGCGGCAAGGGTAATGGGGGCAGATGTAATGGGAAGGGGGGGGACAGGGGTTATGGGGGGAACAGGAATATTGATTCACCCTGGTGTGAGTGTAAGTGGGGGAGGAGGCGTGTTGCTTCCCCAGGGTGTTCTTGTAACGGGAGTGAATGCTCCCCCTTATAACGCACACCTGTCCCCGGTCCAGCAGTTGCGGCAGGAGAAGAGGTGGAAGGAGAGGCAGAAGAAGCAATAGAGAGTAGACGAGTGAAGGGGAGGGCATGGGAGGAGGGGAATGTAAAAAGCAGTGCAATGGGGAAGAGTGGAAGAGGGGGCAGCCCAGCAGATGCGGCAGGAGAAGAGGTGGAAGGAGAGGCAGAAGAAGCAGCAGAATGTGGACGAGTGAAGCGGAGAGTGAAGGGGAGAGTGAAGGGGAGAATGAAGGTGAGAGTGAAGGGGAGAATGAAGGGGAGAGTAAAGGGGAGAATGAAGGGGAGAATGAAGGGGAGAATGAAGGGGAGAGTGAAGGGGAGAATGAAGGGGAGAATGAAGGGGAGAATGAAGGGGAGAATGAAGGGGAGAGTGAAGGGGAGAGTGAAGGGGAGAATGAAGGGAAGAGTGAAGGGGAGAATGAAGGGGAGAATGAAGGGGAGAATGAAGGGGAGAATGAAGGGGAGAATGAAGGGGAGAATGAAGGGGAGAGTGAAGGGGAGAATGAAGGGGAGAATGAAGGGGAGAATGAAGGGGAGAGTGAAGGGGAGCGCATGAGGGGAAGCAGTGCATTGGGCAGCTCAGCAGTGCATTGGGCAGCTCAGCAGGTGCAGCAGTAGTGAGGTGGAGAGGGGTGCAGATGAAGAAGCAGAGGTGGAGAGGGGTGCAGATGGAGAAGCAGAGGTGGAGAGGGAAGAAGAAGAAGCAGAGATAGAGCGATGGGGAAGGATGGAGAGAAGAGCAGGGGGGGTTGATTAGTACAGTCTGGACGAGCGAAGATGGAGAGGAAAGCAAGGGGGGTTGAATTAGTGCAATCTAGGCGAGCGAAAATGGAGAGTGGAGGTGGCGGAGGAAGGGGAAGCGAGGAGGCACGGCGGAAGGAAGAGTGAGAGGTTGAAGCTAGGGTTATGCGTCTGTCTGCCTTCCCACTCACTCTTCCTTCCACCATGCCAACCCAACCCAACCCAACGTTACATACCTGGTTTTCAAGTGCCGAGTCTGATCAGTTAGCTTAGGCAAGTGTGAGGAGAGAGAGGTACCATAACTAGGACGGGGAACAGAGACTCCCTCCATCAATGATCCAAACTGTTGAAGGTAGACGAGGCTAAAAACAAGGTGGTGCATTCGAGAGAGGAGGGGGGTGTTTTATGTCAGGACCTGTTACAGTAATGCATCGTCGTAACGAAGCTGCCTCTTGTGTCAGTGTGCCCCCAGTGGAGGGTTATCCCCCTTACACTGGTGCCACCTTGCACTGTAATGGTCATACATGCTATGCTGTGCTTGAGAATAGCATAAATACTGTGTTAACATGAAGCATACCAGTGTCCGACTTTTTTAGGTTCCTCACCTCTTTTGCAAATCTCCTTCAAGGGTAACAGGAGACACTCATCAAATTCCAGAAAAGAGAATATAGCAAGTACTGTGCTGTTACAGAGTACTGCACTTGTGTTTTTCATATCACTCACATTAGAATATCAAAGCAGCCACCACCCACAGCTGCCTATGCCCCAAGCACATGTCCCTCCCGCCTACTCGGGATGCTAAGGGTAAGTTGCTAATTACCACTTCATATCAAACACAAGACCAGATGCGCTGTTGAGTTCAAATGTCGCTCGTATTGACACCAGGTGCTGCGGAGTTCCATTGTTACTCATATTGGCACGAACTATGCTGCTGTGCTACATTGTCACCCATATTGACACATGGTGTGCTGCTGTGCACCATTGCCGCTCATACCGACACCAGGTATGACACTGTGCTGTTCCTTTGTCGAGTCGCTTATATCAAACTGCCACCAGTGCCGGTACCCCAACCAGAACTCCCTCCCGTCGTGCTTCCCCCTGTCGTCCCGCCCCACCCTCCTGCACTCCCCCCTGCCTGCCCTCCCCCTGCCCCCCACGCCCCCCCTCCCCCTCCCGTCGACGCACTCCCCCCCCAACCCCCCCCACCACCACCACTACCTCCCCCAAATCCCCCTGCCCCTCCAACATTCGCACTCCCCCCTCCTCCCCACGCACTCCCCCCTGCACCTCCCCCCATCGTTCCCCCTACCGGTCCCCCCAACGCACTCCCCCCTCCCCCACCCCAAGGGCTGGGCGCAGCAGCAGCAGCCCCGCTCCCCCCACTCCAAGCCGACACACCGCTAGGCTTCGCTGCCATACCACCCGCCGAACCATACCCGCCGACCGGAGCTGCTGCCGAGGCTCCGCCGCCGAAGCTGCTGAGAGGCTTGGCGGGAGGTCCGGCATAGGCCACGCCGGCGGCCGCAGCTGCTTTTTCGTTCTCGCGTCGAAGCATCTCCTCTGCTTCTTTGAGCGAGCGCTGCTTGCGCCCGTCTGCATCCTCTGCTGCCTTTCGCACGGCCTGAGATAGCACCTGCACCACCTTCATCGCTTTTTTCCTGGCGATTGGGAGTGGGGGTCGGGAACAGGGGGGAGAGAAAGAGAAGAGAAACAGAGAGAAGGAGGAGGAGGGGGGGTAGGGGGGAAGGGGGAAAGTGAGGGTAATGTGTGAGCCCATGTGATGGTGGTCGGAGCATCTCCTCTGCTTCTTTGAGCGAGCGCTGCTTGCGCCCGGCTGCATCCTCTGCTGCCTTTCGCACGGCCTGTGACAGCACCTGTACCACCTTCATCGCCCACGTACTTGTCACTCCTTTACAGCATGAGACATGAAGAGAACCCACAGACTCACTTGGGGTCTTGATCAGAGGGTAAAGCGCTGGCTGATGGCACAGCGGCATAGGAGGGCACGGAGGAGGAAGCACCGCCGAAGGCAGCACCGCCACCAGAGAACCCCCCTCCCTCGCCCACGTATTTATCCCCCTCCACCAGCCTCCCTGTTGCCTCGCGAATGGCCTGCTCAAACTGCGGCCCGGGTCCCCCACACACCTGATGAACAACAGGGAAATTGGGGTGGGGTGAGGGAGGGGAAGGGATATGGAGGTGCGTGTGAAACCCCTGCCTCCCTCGCCCACATATTTATCCCCCTCCACCAACCTCCCTGTCGCCTCGCGAATGGCCTGCTCAAACTGTGGGCCGGGGCCCCCACACACCTGATGAAGGTTGGGTTGGGGAGGGGGAGGGGGGATATGGGAAAGAAAGGTGTAAACTACCTCTTGCCCAAGTTATTGTCCCAAGTTATGGCGGGAAAGGGGGTAGGGGATGGTGTGGAGGGGAATTGGGGGGAATGGTTTACTCACGTCCTGCACGAGGAGGATGGCGAAGTAGAAGTCAATGACGAGCTGGTCGCGGTCAAAGTGGTCCTTGCCCATGCGAGACGAGTTCAGAAAGTCCTGCAGCCCCCACCCCTGCCCTGCCCTGCCTGCTCGCCACTCGCTCCCTCACTCACTCCCTTACTCCCTCCCTCCCTCCCTCCCTCCCTCCCTCACTCACTCACTCATTCACTCACTCCAGGTGGCCTCCCCGCTTGCTACCCACTCTCCCTCTCGCTTCACTCAACAACACCTTGAGAGAAGGTGGGGGGGAGGGGGGGATGGTGGGGAAAGAGGGGGGATGGTGGGGAAAGAGGGGGGCGGAAGGGGGCGATGGTGGTAAAGTGGGGCGAGGTTTACTCACGTCTTGAACAAAGAGGATGGCGAAGTAGAAGTCAATGACGAGCTGGTCGCGGTCAAAGTGGTCCTTGCCCATGCGAGACGAGTTCAGAAAGTCCTGCAGCCCCCACCCCTGCCCCGACTGCTCGCCGTAGCGCTGCGACACTGACGTCAGCACCCGGGTCAGCAGCAGTAGAGTTTCAAGAGCCACGGAACTCTTCTCTCCTGCCGTCTGGGAGAATGGGAGAAGAAGAGAGGTCGGGGTTGGGGTAGGGAGCAGGTAAGCCACGTGAAATGAGGGTGTTTTTGAGACGTCTCAAAAACACCCTCTTTTCACGTAAGAGAACGTGATTGCTTGCCGTACTGCTGTGTCCTAGGCTAGGCTTTAATTTCCGTCTCAAAAGATAATTGGGAAATCGAGACGCGAAGTAGGATTCGGAGCAAAGACAGAGATACTGGAACTTCTGAGGAGTGCCCTGACTGCTCGCTGCCAGGAACTTCTGGCAAGCTCAAGAAACTTCTGGCACACTCAAGAAACTTCTGGCAACCCCAAGAAACTTCTGGCACACTCAAGAAACTTCTGGCAACCCCAAGAAACTTCTGGCACACTCAAGAAACTTCTGGCAACCCCAAGAAACTTCTGGCACACTCAAGAAACTTCTGGCAACCCCAAGAAACTTCTGGCACACTCAAGAAACTTCTGGCAACCCCAAGGCCCTCTCACCAGCTTAGCAACTGCTTTCTGGGCGGCAGCAGCAAGCTCGTTGTCGTTATCAGCCATGCAGAGATACTGGAAGCGCTGCAGCACTGGCAACCCCAAGGTACACCACCAGACAACCCCAAGGCAGACCTGGCCTGACAACCCCAAGGTTCTCTCACCAGCTTGGTAGCTGCTTTCTGGGCGGCAGCCGCAAGCTCGTTGTCGTAACCAGCCATGCAGAGATACTGGAAGCGCTGCAGCACTGGCACGTGGGGTGAGGGATAGGGGTAGAGAAAAGGTATGGGATATGGGCCAGGGAACATAGGGTTACTCATGGCTGTAACCAGCCATGCACAGGTATTGGAAGCGCTGCAGCACTGGCACGTGGGGTGAGGGAATAGGAAATAGATTGGGGTGTGGGACATGGTGTAAGGAACAAATGGTTACTCACTGTTTTAGCGGCCCATGCAGAAGAAATAAATGAAGCACAAATCATGTTTTCGTGAATCTATGCAATTATGATGTCACTGACAACCATGTTTTCGTGAACATGTTAAATAAGAGAACGATGAAATCATAGACTCCCGCAGGCCTGGATTCATCCAAGCACGCATTCATGCTCAGATGCTTCGATAAATTCATGGTTCATGAGATTCCGCATGAATCCATGAACATGCTCTACACACCGTCGAGCAACACACGCGCTATCGGGATATCAAAAGAAAGACGATTCAACAGCATACCAGGTGCACATGTCGCGTGCAACGGACTTACCTAGATATAGGTTGTCTGCTGGTCGCTTGCCGGACTTCTTAAGGGCTTCGATCTGGTCACGCTCGTAATAGTCCGTGTACGTCTGATACGCCTTGTTTATCCCCGTTGCAATCGCACTCACGCTTGTTACAGTCGCATTGTACAGCATGCTCAGCCCCTGCTTCGCGAAGTAACCCGCCTGCGACGAATTCATCTTCGCTAACGGCGAGCAAACCACGAGTTTCACCGAGCGAGCTGACGAGGGATCTAGGCGTCAACGGTAAATAAGAAACTAAAGGAGCAGAGCCTATGTCACTTAGATAAGTCCAAGCCGCCAAAAAATACACTGGAAACGAGAAAGGAATTGAGCTTAGGTGTTTTTCTTCTTCTTCTTCTTGGCTGCGCGGAGAGCCCCACGAAAGGCGGTGGTGGATTCAAAACACGCTGATTATCGGAACTTTACCACCATCAGCGAAAACTGCTACGGTAGAATACGCGGTCTGTCGAGACTCGAGACAAGAAGCGTCATACGTTGTCGAGCTATGTTGGCTGGGTCGTTCCCTCTTGTGGGTCGTAGTAGGCAAAACAAGGTTGCTACAATAGATCATATAAGTTGCTCTGGGATTCCCGACACTGACACGATTGACAAGCTTCACTTCGGATGTAAACCTTCACAACTTCGGTTGAAAAAGGTGCCTTGCAATCCAAAGCATTTAGGCCAGGGTTGTGAGCGGTTGGTCATGGAATAGACGGGAATCTAATGCCTGATTATGGACTGAAATAACGTTTATACATCTATATATTTTGCACCAACATAAAGACAAGACATTAACTTGATGCACAATCCAAAATGAAAGCAATGCATACGTATTGTTACGTAGCCGAGCAAACCCTATTGCAAAGCAATTCTGACAACTCTGCGTCCGTAATGCTTGGACGGCTGTTACTTTCTAGAAAACCATGCTAAACAAAACAAACCAGACAATCACGGGCCTATGGGCCTATTGGTACGTCTATACTGGTACATGATTTATCACCAGCTGCTTCCCCGCATCCCTCTCCTCATTTGAGGTTGTTGCCTTTTGGATCATCGATATGAGTGCGACAACTTGATCCGTGATATAAATAACAAGGTAGATTGCTCCCAGAAGGCCAACTGTGACCCCAAAGATGATGTAGCACCACTGTTTGAGGAAAGAGAAGGGGAAGAAGCGCACAGGGAAAGAAAATATGAGCTTGTGATGAGAGGCACGGAAGGCACATGAGCGTGTGATGAACGAAAGGACATGAACACGTGAGGAGGGGAATGTAAAGCATTTGTCTCTGCAAGGAACACAGACTGGTGAGGAGGAAGAGGGAGGCACATCAACCACAAGAATCAGCGACATCTTCTTCAAGCATAGCATGCAGCTCACGAGAAAAGCAAGACCAGAGGCTGTTCGGGTAGTATTAAAAAACGCACCTGGAGGTTAAACGAGTATTTCGTCTGCATGATGTCGAATCCGAGGAAAGTGTTGAGCCACGCGAGTCCGACAATCCCAATGCCAAGCACCCAGTGGATGACGAACCACGTCGGCCGATTCACTGTACCCTTGTTCGGCCGGAAGTGACCAATCATAGGCTGCACGAAAATCAGCACGAAGATCGCGAGACCCAGCTGTCCGTGGGAACTCTGCAGCCCCACCGATCCGGATTGCACAAACACGATAATACACCCCGCGATAGCAATCGTAACCGCGGTGATCTGCATCCACTTGTGCGTCTCAAACGCCAGCGGCTTCCAGGATTTTGCGCGCGCAACCTGGGCCTCCCACTTGTCGTGGTCCACGCCGGGGGGACGCTCTTGGAGCTTATCGGCGAGGAAGATCCGCGAGATGAGAATCGCGGCGGGCATGAGGATGCCAAATGCGATCCCGAGCAGCCATGCGTGGACGACTAGTAGAGTGGTTGAGGGCGGTGCAGTGGACGAAACGGTTGTGCTTCCAGAGATGAAATCGATGGACGCAGAGCCTCTGCGAAAACAGTTGTAATTGAAATGGAGGAGGGAGTGCAGGAACGGGGGAGGAGGAGGGGGGAATAGTGAGCAACCAGCAGCGTGTGAGAATGCACAGAGGAGAACCTTTGGACTTTCCCACAAAGAAAAAAGGAAAACAAAAAAAACAAGGGGGAAAGGAGAGGAAGGGGGGAGGGGAGAAGAGGGGGAGGGGGGGAGGGGGAGGGTAGGGGGAGAGAGGGGGGGGAGGGGAATGGGGAAGATGGGGAGGTTGGGGTGGGGATAAGGGGTTGGTGAGGCAGCTCACCTGTTGGTCATATGGTTGGCGAGAGACTGCGACCCATCAGCCGAGTAAGCCCAGATGACCTTGGTCACACCGTTCGCATTGATAGGGAACGACCCCACCGCCAGCTGTCGGGTAAACTTAACCACCGTCTTCCCATTGGCCCCCGACTCAACCGCCGTAGCCGAGACTGCAAAGCCCGAGCTCGGCGACACGCTCGTGTAACTAGAAATGGAATGCGGCGCAACTGAAGCGCCGTTACCGCTGCCGGAGCCGACGACAGCGTCAGCGGGGTACATCTTGTCGTCTGCGCTCCACCCCAGGGAGACCCACCCGGTGGTTGCCACCTCGCAGGCGAAGCTGATGGTCGACGCGTTGGCCTTCCAGTGGAGAATGAAACTGGTGGGAGAGCGGAGAGAATGGAGGGAAGGAGAGAGGGAGAGAGGGAGAGAGTGAGTGAGTGAGTGAGTGAGTGAGTGAGGGAGGGAGAGACACCCACGCAGTGGTTGCCACCATTGCACATCTCGTACGCCCACCCAGTGGTAAAGAATACGGTCTGGAAGATGGTGTTGGGATTATCGTGGGCAAGGGAATGATGCCCACCTGTCGCCACTGAGCTTGGTGGAGCACTCGAGCCCAGCAATGGTGGACGGCGTGCAACCACTCCCCTTCCCGCTGCTGCTAGAGCTCGCACTAGCTGCACTGCTGCTCCCGCTCCCACTGCTCGTACTACCACTGCTGCTGCTGCTGCTGCTGCTACCGCCTGTGCTTGTGCCGTTATTACCAGCACCCGCACCAGCACCCGCACCAGCACCCGCACCCGCACCAGCACCCGCACCAGCACCCGCACCCGCACCCGCACCCGCACCAGCGCCGGCACCAGCACCGGCGTTGCTGTTGCAGTTGAAGCTGATCTTAGCCGAGCCTCGGAAGGTGCCGTGGTAGTCCAGCGCCTTGCTGTCATCAGCGGAGTAACCCCAGATGATCGTGTTGGTGGCTGGACCTGTGAGATCCAGAGGGGAGATGCCTCCGTCGCCCTTGGAGCGAGAGAACCTGCATTGGAAACAGAGGAGAGGGAGAGAGCGAGAGAGCAGGATGAGATCAGAGCCATTCTGCTTGTGGCAGAGTAGCCGCAGATGACCGTATTGGTGTTGGTGGCTGGGCCTAAGTAAAACAAGAACAGCACAAAGAACCAACCAACACACAGAGCAACAAACCATCTGCAGTCGCAACCCGCTGCCCACGTAAACATCACATGAGACTCACTTGATAATGGTGCTGCCGCCGTTGGCAGCGACCAGCGACGCCTTGCTGATCTTGAAATTCGTCGACGGAAGCACAGCAGACGCGTCATATCCGCTCATGTCATACGCGCCCACGGACCCGCCCGTGAGATTCCCGATTACCGCCTCTGTAACACGGTAACACCTCAAACTACCTGGGATGATAACTCACTGGGTAACCAGACTCACTTGATAATGGTGCTGCCGCCGTTAGCAGCGACCAGCGACGCCTTGCTGATCTTGAAATTCGTCGACGGAAGCACAGCAGACACGTCATATCCGCTCATGTCATACGCGCCCACGGACCCGTCAGGGAGATTCCCGATGACCGTGTCTGCAGGGTACATTTTGCCGGCCGCCGACCACCCCAGCGAAATCCACCCCTTGTTGGCGCCACTGGCCGGTTTGGCTTCTAGTGCCATGTCCAGCTGGCCGGCAGGGGTGAGCGTCCAGTGGAGGAGGAACCTGAGGAGGAAATAAATACAAGAACATAATTAGTATTAATAATGAGTTGATGGTAAGAACAAATGCTATTAATACGTGGTTAGCAAAGCCGTTGACCAGCATTGACTACATTGTGTACGTTGACCAGCATTGACTACATTGTGTACGTTGACCAGCGCTGACTCACCCTTTCCCCGTGAGGTCCTTGGAATGCGCGTATCCTGTCAGCATGGACGCATCACAGACCGGCAAGTTGGCCGCACCACTGCTGCTGCCACTCCCACTACCGCTGCCGCTGCCGCTGCCGCTGCTAGTGCCGCTGCCGGTGCTTCCACCAGTGCTGCCGGCACCAGTGCTACCAGGAGCAGGAGTAGGAGTAGGGACAGGGGTGGTGGGGGTGGTATGGGTGCCGCCGCAGTTGAAGCTGATCTTAGCCGAGCCTCGGAAGGTGCCGTGGTAGTCCAGCGCCTTGCTGCCAGAACCGGAATACCCCCAGATGATCGTGTTGGTGGCGGTGCCGGTGAGCACGAGCGGGGAGCTGCCGCCATCGCCCTGAGAGCGAGAGAACCTGGGAGATAAGAGAAAGAGAGGGGGAATGACGGCCATTAGAAGGTGAGCTTAGGGCCTTGCTGCCAGAACCGGAATAGCCCCAGATGATCGCGTTGGTGGCGGTACCGGTGAGGTCGAGCGGAGAGCTGCCGCCGTCGCCCTGGGAGCGAGAGAACCTGAATAAAGGCAGCGGATGGAGATGTAGGGAGTCATTTCAGTCGACTGGGGAGGGGAACAACGAAAGAGGCGGGTAAGGGCAGAAAGCGACGGGGAAGAAGCGGCAGCGAGGGCAAGAGTCTGAATAGGCACAGGAGCGTTGAGACGAGCGTTGTTCCCGCTGACAGGGCAAGAGTCTAGGACGGTCTTTCAGATAACCAGGATAATACCACGCACTTGATGATAGTGCCGCGGCTGTGATGAGTCTATATTTGAGTCGACTCGAAAATAGACTCAGTCCAAACACGGTCTTTCGGATAGCCGGGATTAAACGAGGGTTAAACCACGCACTTGATGATCGTGCTGCGGCCGTTAGCGCTGCTCAGCAGTCCTCCGGAGATCTTAAAGCTTGTAGAGTCGAAGCGACACAGTTCCACAGGAGAATCGCGTGACTCGTGACGCGTGTGTGCTAAGGTCGTGATCACTCACTTGATGATGGTGCTGCGGCCATTCGCATTGCTGAGCAGCCCTCCGGAGACCCGTGAGCACGATGGTCGTCCCGTCGTATGATGCGTGGGACTCGTGAGCACAACTCGTGAGCACAACTCGTGAGCACAAGGCCCTAAATCACTCACTTGATGATGGTGCTGCGGCCATTCGCGCTGACGAGCAGCCCTCCGGAGATCTTGAAGCTCGTAGAGTCGAAGCGACACAGTTCCACAGGAGAATCGCGTGACTCGTGACGCGTGTGTGCTAAGGCCGTGATTCACTCACTTGATGATCGTGCTGCGGCCATTCGCGCTGATGAGCAGCCCGCCGGAGATCTTGAAGCTCGTCGAAGAGACAATGGTCGTCCCGTCGTATCCGCTGATGTCGTACGCGGCGACCGCGACGCCCGGCAGGTTACCAATGACGGCGTCCGCGGGAGCCATTTTCCCGTCCGGGGACCATCCCACGGAGATCCACCCGTTCTCCGCGCCGCTCCCCGGCTTCGCCTCGAGCGCGACGTCGAGTCGGCCGGGAGTCGCGAGCGACCAATGGAGAATGAACCTGGATGGTTGCGATTCGGAGCAAGGGGGGACGGGAAACGGAGGAACGGGGTGAGTTGTCATTCGCCTCGACGGCGACGTCGAGTCGGGTGGCAGTTGCGAGCGTCCAATGGAGAATGAACATTGATAGTCGCGGAACGCGAAGGAAACGGGGGAAGGGGGAACAGAGACCGAGGGAAAGGAAACGGGGGAAGGCTTTATACCGCGCGCAGGGAACAATAAGCGGCTATTCCACTTGACGCGACCCGATTTCATTCGCCCAAGACGAACGAGATGCGTGTATTGGGGCGACGTGTGCATTGTACTATACCGGGTACGGCCGCTTACCCTCGCCCCGTAAGGTCTTGCATATGCTGGTAACTGGGCAGAGTCGACGCGTCGCAACTGGCTGCTGCCGCCGCCGCTCCCGATAGACTGAGAGCGAAAAGGCTTATAAAGAGGATGCGCGCGAATGCCGTTGCGCCGCGAGGCTCCAGTCGTACTCTCCGCAGAGGAAACATCTTAGAGATCGACTTTTCCCAAACCGCAATTTTGTTGCGAATGTGACGTTCTGCCAAGGGGAAGGCGGACGCGCCAAACGAAGCTGCTCTTGCGAAATGCGCGAAGTGGCGACACTCTTGTTGGGGAGAATGCGGCGCGCGGAACTGCTGAACATTAGGAGCGAGAGAGGACAATGCAATTCGGAATTTAGCGAGATAAGAGAGATAAACGATAAACGAGCGCATTCAAGGATGCACGGCCGGCATGGCGGATAGCGGAGGCTATGCGCGCGGAAGCCGCAGGCGGCAGCGTCCTGGTATAAAAGCTCACCTTACTTCCAATTCGTAGCTTCACGCAGGGTGTGGAAAACGTGAAGAGCAGAATCAACTGAAAAGTGGATGTGTGATGTGAACGTTTTCGGATGCGCAAATTGTCGTTGCTGGCTCGCTTTTAGTCAAGCTTGGAATGGAACGGGATGGTTGGGTTGGGAGTGGAATCATGCTCCTGTCTTGAGGGGAGGAAGTCTTTATTCGAGTAGCAGCAGCGACAGCAGCAGCAGCAGGAATGCAGCTCTGACAGCAGCAGCGCGGTTATCGAAGCACCAGCGGAGGAGAGGGGGTGATTTGCGGGGAGAGGATGCGGGCGGGGGGCGGTCAAGCGACGAGGCAAGGCGGAAGCTGAAGTCTTGCGCGCGAAGACTTGGTGCGCGCGGTCGGTGAAATTTCACGTTTCCGCTTGTTTGAGGGGAGGGGAGAGGAAGTGCGCTGTGGCAGGGTGAAAGCAGGAGCGATGGGGGGGAGGGTTCGGGAAGCGCGTGGTCGAGGAATGAAGCAGCGGGGAGGTTTCTTGAATTGCGCTGGCGGTGGTGGTGTAGGGGAGTGCTTTGTTTTCTTTTAGTAGGTTGATTCGGGAGTCCGGCCGGGTTCAGGAGGTGTTGGTACTGGCTGCTTCTAAAATATGGAAACGGTAAACTAGAGCAGAGGGATAGGTTGTTTGCCTTTGCTTTTGCGGAGTGTTTAGCTAAATAATCTACGGTCAGCTCAAATCCTTATTTTCGGGATTGAGAGGGCAACAAATCCTGTTCAGATGCCACACCACGGGATGTTGTGATAAGCGGTGAATCTTGCGTGCCGAATTTCAGAGACCACGAACGCCGCGCGGTGTGTGGTTCTCGGGCAGGAGCAAAAAGCCCGCTCTGCGATGGGGCGGAAAATGGATGTCCATGTGTGGTGTGAATGAGGACCAGCGCGAGTGCGATGGGCAAGTTCTGCACTCGTCAAGCGAATTCCATGGTCCACCTGGTTGCCAACGTGGAGAGCCAGAATATGAAATTTGAGTCACGTATATTGAGGTAGCAGTTGCTTCTCGCGTGTTTATCGTGTGTGTCGGTGAGAAGGTTGTGAAGAAAAGCAACAGAATTCAACGCCGATCGTGACGTGGATGCTATAAAACACACCGCCTACCAACCACAACCACGAGGTCCTGGACAGCGCATCACGCCTCAAGCACATGACAAAATCGGGCAGATAAAAAGAACAGCATCCCCAGCAAGTTTGTGCGTGGTGTATGGACGTGTAATTTGCCAGGGTTCAGGAGATCATGCTTGTTTACAGCTCGAGTATCACTCCGTTCAGACTGTTGAGTAGAGGTTTAAAGCCGTGAAGAAAACCAACTGCTCTGGTGACCACAATATTGTACTCAACCTCCTTATAGCGAGCTGTAAGCAAATCATGCGTGTGGTACGGTGCAAGGGGGAACATAAAACAGAAAGCATTTCATCTCTAGAGTGTCTCCAGTGGGTATGATGGGGGGGAGTAAAGGTCCATTCCACCATTCTCAGGTGGTGCAACGTGTCAGAGATTGAGAGAGGTTAAGGGAGGACGAAAGAGAGAGAGAGAGAGAGAGAGAGAGAGAGAGAGAGAGAGAGAGAGAGAGAGAGAGAGAGAGAGAGAGAGAGAGAGAGAGAGAGAGAGAGAGAGAGAGAGAGAAAGGGTGTCTTCTATTCTGTTTTCTCGTTTCGTAATGTTTTCTCGTTTCGTAATGTTTTCTCGTCGTTTCGCGGTTCGTTACTACCTGTCGTTTCTAGGCGTGGTCATCCAGAGTCGCGCACACCGGCACCTCTTGCGGGGGTTCAACCGCAACCGGGCACCTTCCGTGGGGGTTCAACCACGGTGGTTCAAGTTGCGGCATGGTGATGACTGCACTTAGGGTAGAGCGCCCCTCACTGGCTATGCTTGTATACAGTTAAAGCCCGAGTACAGCATGGTTATTTTCAAGTTCAAAATTCTTGCTGTACTCAAAATTCAAAATTCGCCTAAAACAGGGTTACCCTACTTTGTTTGAAAGTACTCTCGTGGGTCTGGGACAACACCTAGCGACACTTTCTCTTGATTGACTTTTCTGCTCGATCGCAAAACTCATCCGGTCGTCGCTCACTCTGGATCACTGTTCGATGCTCACATGGTATCTTGAACACCAAGCAGTACTCATAATCTTGTCAAACTATAATGCTGCTTATGTTGTGTAGGCTGTAGAGGGGTAGCCTATATGGGGTACAACCCAATTAGGGTTAGCACTTGTACCACATTTTTTATCAATACATTCATTCCTGTTCGTTAGTTTCTGATCTGGTTTCAGAGCGGTCGTAGGACCGTTTTTTTTTCGGGCCCACCATTACCTAGTGACCGACTGCGGTTACCGCGTTACCCCACGCCCTGCCCTGCGCTGCGCCGTCAGCGCGCGCCCTGCCCTGCCCTGCCTTGCGTCGCGCTGCCCCGCGCACGCCCTGCCCTGCTCCGCGTCGCGCTGCCCCACGCACGCCCTGCCCTGCCCCGCGTCGCGCTGCCTTGCGCACGCCCTGCCCTGCCCCGCGTCGCGCTGCCCCGCGCACGCCCTGCCCTGCCCCGCGTCCTGCTGCAGCCCGCGCCCTGCTGCCCTGCGCGTCGTGCCCTGCTGCAGCCTGTGCGTCACGCTCTACTGCTCCGCGCGTCGCTGTCAAATGTTATATCTGCTACAGTTTGTTTAGGCTGTAGTGGGGTAGTTACTATGGGGTACAGTAAGTTTAGGGTTTCCTACTTGTACCCAACTCTTTCCTAGTTCAATCACTCTTGTTGATTATGCCATGGTATCACGAGCCTAGGTTAGCCACCTAGGACCGCTTACTACTACGGGCCCACTATTCCGCTAGACGCGCCCTCGTGCGCTCTACCTTTCGTGCGCCCTCGTGCGCCTTTCTCTGCTCGTGCGCCCTCGTGCGCCTTCTTTCTGCTAGTGCGCCCTCGCGCGCCCCGCCCTTCGTTCTGCCCGCGCGTCGTCCTCTGCCAGTGCGCACGCAGCCCTCTAGCCGCCCACGCAGTTCGTACCGGCCTCGCGCGGCCCCTCGAGCCGCCCGCGACCTGTCTGCACGTAGGCCACCGCCCGTAGGCTGCCCGTCGCCCGCCGTCGCCCGTAGGCCGCCCGTACGCCGCCCGTAGGCCGCTGCCGCCCGTAGGCAGCCCGTACGCCGCCCGTAGGCCGCTGCCGCCCGTAGGCAGCTCGTAGGCAGCCCGTAGGCAGCCCGTAGTCAGCCCGTAGACAGCCCGTACGCCGCCCGTAGGCCGCTCGCGCGCAGGCCGTAACCCGCGCGCCGCGGCTGCTGCACGCCGGCGCCTGCAGCCCGCCAGGACCCGCGCGCGTCGCCCTCTGCCTCTTCGCGACGCCTCTGCGGGACCCGCGCGTCGCCCCCGCCTCTTCGCGACGCCCTTACGGGACCCGCGCGTCGCCCCCTGCCTCTTCGCGACGCCTCTGCGGAACCCGCACGTCCCCCCCCCGCCTCGTCGCGACGCCTCTGCGGGACCCGCGCGTCGCCCCTGCCTCTTCGCGACGCCCCTGCGGGACCCGCGAGGCGCGGCTCCTGCGCGGCGCGCCGCCCCAGCGGGACCCGGGCGTCGCCCCCGCTCGTCGCGACGCCCCTGCGGGGCCCGCGCGGCGTCGCCCCTGCCCGCCGCGTCGCCCTGCCCAATCCCGCGTCCGCCCTTTGGACGGCCGCCCCTGCCTCGCCCTGCAGCAGCTGCCTTTCCGGCCCTGCCCCACCCTACAGCAGCTGCCGTCGCGGACTGCCCCGCCCTGCCACAGCTGCCGTCGCGGTTTGCCCCGCCCTGCAGCAGCTGCCGTCGCGGACTGCCCCGCCCTGCAGCAGCTGCCGTCACGACCCCGCCCCACCCTGCAGCAGCGGCCGTCACGGCCCTGTCCCTTCCCTGCACCAGCTGCCGTTGCGGCCCGGTCCCGCCCTGCAGCACCTGCCGCGGAGCCCCTAGCCGCAGTCGTCGCCCCGCCCTGCAGCAGCTGTTGCGGAGCTCACTGCCGCTGTAGCGGCCCCGCAGTCGCCTCCGTCGTGCGCCTGCCCTTCCCACCACTGGTGAGCACTGCCCTGCCCGCGCTGCTACCGCTACTACTGCTGCTACTGCTGTTCCTGCTGCTACTGCTTCTACTGCTGCTCCTGGCGTGGCCAGATGCAGCTCCAGGGCCGTCCGCATGTGTCCCTCACGCCCCCGCAGCTTCGTGAGTGGTACGCCAGTTGGGGTTGTCGGGGTGGCCGTAGTGGGAGTCGTCCTGGAGTGGGTAGTTCGGGAGCTTCTTGTAGTGGCCCGGTGCAGCAGCAGCGTCGTCCGCGCGAGACTCTTTCGCCCCAGCAGCTTCGTGAGTGGTACGCTCAGAGTCGAGGGTCGCTGAGTACTGCTCGCTGCCCGTACGTTATTAGCACGGGTGTCCGGACTGGTCAGCCTTGCGGGACGCGTGGTCACACAGAGTCCCGCTGCTTCGCCCGTCTGAGCGACGCTTGGCGTACAGAGTTTGGCGACGACGCTGAGCTCCCCGACTGGGTGGAGCTGCTTAGGCAGAGGGTAGATATCTTTGCTCTTGACTATGATGCTATTCTCACTGCAATGTATGCATTGTCTACTAGTGCCGAGGGAGCCTGTCACCTGTGTGTGCCGCCTGACCCCGGTATCCAGTCTGCTGCTCCAGGTGCCGGTGAGGCTGCCGCTCTAGGTGCTAGTGCGTCTGCTGCCCCTGGTCCTGGTGAGGCTGCTGCTCTAGGTGCAGGTGTGTCTGCTGCTTCAGGTGCTTGTGAGTCTGCGCCTTCAGGTACTGAGTCTACTGAGGCACTGCACACCTTCACACTGGA